GATTTTGGCTTGTGTTGCTCTCATTCTTACATCAAGTTTCCTTCTATATCTCCTGTACACAGACGTCTGTCTGTGTTAGTTAGTTACAATTTTAGTATCTTAGTAAGACAAGATTTGCTGGAAGAAATGTCTTATTAGACATAAGCTCGCCTTTGTACATTATGTTTAAAATGAATTGTGCTTAACATTATGTTTTGTGTACAATAAAGAATAAAAAAAGAAAGATTACAAGAACCACAATCGTTTCTGCAACTATTTTACAAGACAGATCTTAATTCCGCTTTTTTCTATAAGTTTAGTGATATTTTCGTCAATGAACCGATTTTATGTATTTAAAAAAAATTTTTTTCTCTTGCATTGACCCATAATAATAATTCTACCAAAATTAAACTCAATAATTATAATATTATATAATTATATAATTATTATATAATAAATAATTATATAATTATTTATCATTAGAATTATTCTAAAAATGTTTAAAGGATACTCAAAACAGGTGAACAGAATTGCGGTTTAGTAGAAAACTTTCTTAAAGAACTGTAAATTCAGCCTTCGTCATTAGAAATCACCGTTTCGCCTTTTAAAAAAAAAAGTTACGCCGTGTTGCCAACCCTAGGCTCGCCGGCTATTGTTATTACAAAATGACCCATCTCAATGTCGAACGTTTCTCGGAACCGGGCGTTATGTATAAAGTTAAACAGCTTTTGAGCATTTATAAGGGCTTATTTCTGACACCTCGAATGAAACATGGCGCATAACGAATGCGTGTGCGCATCGCACTAAACCAGGCATAATCAACATTTTTTACTCGGGCGGCTAGCTTTAATTAGAAAAGAATGTTTACTAGGAATTACATATAAAATGAATTTTTCGTAACAATCTTTGCGGCTTCATTACGTACATTAACTTAGTCGTTAACATTTCTGGTTTAAAACAAATAGTACTATCAAATGGCATATATCTGACCGCAAAACCCTTACAACAATTTGAAATATGGTCAATCGAGATTTATTCACAATTAAGTTAACGGTGTAGGACGACCCCTCCACTGGGGAGAAAAGGGTTGTTAGTAATGGTGTCTAATTTCCCCATAACTAGCAATACACCCCATCAGGACGACCTCCACGCGGTTATCCCTGGAAACCTGCTGCTGCTTTTTCATTCTCACCTAACACCCCTTACTGGTGTCCTGCCAGCATATACCGATGACACAGGCGAGGTTACCCTTTCTTTATCAACCATTAAAAAAATATGATGTTTTATAATTATGTATTTTCATATAATCCACGCCATAATATTTTTTTATGCAACTTAGCATGGTAAACAAGCTGACGGGCCACCTGATAGAAAATGGTAACTGTCACCTATAAACATGAACAGTACAACAGAGTATACTGTTTCGCTGATGATACTCCCCATACATTGCCATTCCTGAGAACTCAGGTTTTATATTTCTACCCTATACATTCACTGCCGTAAACATAGCACAGAGCCAGTAGTAACTAACTACTTTTCCATCCCCAAAAAGAGGTCAAAGAGGTGGCCATAGCAACATTAAGCATGATACATTAATGCAAAAGGAGAAAGAAAACCTGAACCAAAACCTTATAACAAGCTACCTGGTCACCATAGTAGTTGTAAACTAATATCCTGCTCTTATAGGGAAAAAACCCATACTCAATATTGGTGGTGGTAAGAGCTTAATCTATACTAATATAAAAAAAATGAAAGAATTTGGACACCCTAATATATGGAACTACTAATCACATTTGAAACAAATATTTTGCATTTGATACCTATTTATTTTAGCTTCTCATCATCACAATATGATCACAGGTGAAGCTACAGGATACAGGTAGGGTTTGTCTGCCTTCAAGGGATCCTAAAGTCGAATCCCGGATTTAACACTTAATTTTTTGTATTCATATATGTATTATTTAAATATTATTGTCATTTGCTTTGTCCTTTGGAGGGTATGGAAAGCCGTCATCCGATAAACTATGTAAAGGCAAAGGCCTTCATATAAAATGAAAAAGCCTAGAAATTTGATAAGATAACATGCCACTCCCTCAACAATGTAGTAGTATAGAACAATTTGTAGGTGATGATGGTCCATTGATATAATGGACCAATTTAAATATAGATATATTTTTAAACACTGCATATGTAAATCTAAAATAAATTAACTTGAAAAATTTAACTACCTTCCTCTTTCCCCATCTATGTGTACAGTACATGAAATACTCAGGGACTCAATGATAAAACTGTCCCTTAGTTTGGTCATATTTAATCTTTATATCTAGTTTATTTGGTAAATTATAATAAAAAAAAAATTTGTTCAATGTTTGGACCAACATTATGGAATCAAGTAAATATTCAACCAACTTTAACTAACTTAAATATCACAATCATTAGCTATCAAATAAATATATTCAAATTCTTAAATGAAGTTACTTAGGAATACTGACAGATAGCATCTAATAAAAAATCATATTTTTTTACATTGACTGTTCCAGGAAAGGGAAATGAGAAGAAGTTACATAGACTAGATCACATTTCTTACAATAGATTACACTGAATTTTAAAAATATTATACTTACTAACATACCTAAACTTTAACATTGTTTATGTGTAAAATATGAAATGATATAAAATGGAAAGACAATTTGAAGACAACTGTGGGTGCAAAATGGAGATGCAAATGATAGAAGCCAGTGGAAGTTATTGAATGAGGCCTATACCAAAACGCACACTAGGATTAGTGACATACTATAATAAACATTAGTTTCACATACATTTACATGTAAGTACTAATCACAGAATAAAGAGCTTTACTATTATGTTATTACTGAAAAGTATTAAATAAAAAATATGATAAAATTATAAAAAAAAGATACAAATAATGATCGAATGCAGTATTTTGGTCATAAATAAAGGAGAGAAGCAAAATGAACTCACTTCACTCTCTAATATATACACAACAATTAAAAAAATACTTTGAAGAAATGATATTAAAATGGTAATACTAAACAGATTCCTTATAAAAAAATTTAATACCTCAGGACAAGCAGTTTCTTGAAGCTTTTTTGGTTTATTTATCAGTGTATTTATACAAAACATAAACTCAACCAGAAAGACATCTATTGAAAAGAATGTGTCAACATAAGATAGTGTTAATTCTGAAATAAATGCATGTACATACAAACCCACCTAATTAGAACTTAATTGTCTTTTGTTTACAAAATCTTATAAGCGCTGATTACTACATAATATAAATATCAATTAATAATTAATTCGTGAATAAGAATTTAAAAATCATTATTTATAACTAGGTATAATAATATAAGTAATTACTACCAAAAATAACCAAATAATAACACTGTTCATTATAAACAGAATCGATAAGCGATAGATAATTGCATTATACATAAAATCAATTAAGAAAAATCTAAAATAAATGCGATATACGTAGATATTCATGTAAGACAACACACACTTCTCTTGAAAATTGGAGGCCCTTGAGAGTAGATATGGTAGAATATTCACAAGTGTATAAAAGGTACAATAAATAAGAGTAAATTCGACTCACCCATTTTTCGCGGAATTTTAATAATAATGCACAATTAGAAATTCAACACAGAAAAACATTAAAAACACAGTAAATAGGGAGCCATTTTCATTTTTGAGTGTTGCTAGTTATTAAAGTCATAACTTATTTACAAAACATTGCATGTTTTCAAAAATATATTCCTTTTTCGATATGACATAGATAAAGTAAATAGTATCCAATATTTTACACTATAATTTTCAACCGACTTCAAAAAGAAAGAGACTCACAATATAAAAATACACTAAGTATTCAAATATTTTATTCGAAAATAAAATAATAATTAATATTCTATTCAATATTCGTGTATTTTTTATTTTTGTTACCACATAACTGTAAATCAATATTGAAAATTCTTTTTTTATCTGAAAGAAAAGGTATATTTACAGATTGATACCATAGAAATTTTAACAAAATCAATAATAGCTAATCTATTTACATAAATAAAAATATGTATTATATCATTTTAAAATCTGTATTAAACGCGCATATTTTTATAGTTGGTCATTCAGACTTTCATACATTTTTTTCATCGTGCACGCTTAAATTTTAACATAAAGAAAAAAATAACAAAGTTCATTATTAACATTTTATATCGATATATCAAATTTATTCAATATTTGTCGCATGATATATTCAACTGACTTGATCTTCCAACAAATATTTTTTTTAATCGACATATCGATATATTTATAGAAAAAACATTGAATTAGTAAATTTTAGTATTATTTAAATATTTCGATTTTAAATCAATGTCATTAAGAGGTAGTAAATGAGCAGCTAACGGAACAATAATATACATATTTAAAAGCATGAATATTAATTTTTTAGGTTTATTCTAAATACATTTTGTAGATTTTGTAAGTTCATTAAATAACATTCGTAGAAAATTACAATTCTTACACTACAAATATTTGAAGTGTATGGCTATATAGTTATGTTAATATGATGTCTGATTCTACACATACGAAATTAGACAGTAAACTTCTGTTTTTAACCAGAAAAAGGTAACACTAACCTTATGTGGAAAGTATTAAAAAAATATAGAATAACTATTATAATTAAATTAAAAATGTCGAAGCTTTCAAGAAATATATCGCGAAGCATCAATACTAGAATCTGATGTATTATTTGGAATATTATTATTGATATATTTTTTTAAATGGTCATGCAATATTTGATTGACGCCTAAATTTGATATAATAACGGTGTCAACAGTCAACTTACTTTTGTAACACGACACGTAAGCATCTTTTCCATTCCTAGAAAAAAGATTGAATTGATCCAACTTTATAAATAGTAATAGATTTATTTTAAAACCATTAATTCTGATCGTCGACGACCTTCTATTTATTTTGATTTCTATGTACTTATTAATTTTTTTTTTCTGTTTCAGAACGAACTTTAAAAATGTTGCCATAAAATACACTGTTTTTCTTTTTCTGTCAACAGCTGTCAAAAAGGTTAGGGATTTTGTTTTTTCTGTAGAAAAATACAGGAAATCCGAAATAATCACAAATTATCTCAAATATTTTTTTATATAAATTGATGAAATAAACCGTGGAAAGTGTATTCAATATAATTCCTTTTATATTTCAGCTCCAAAATGGTACAGCGGCTTACGTTCAGACGACGTTTGTCATACAATACCAAGTCCAACCAAAGGAGAATGTGAGTGTTCTTTTAAGAAATATATATAAAATTTTACTAAATAATTGCTACCAATGTGATATTTAAGTATTGTTGTGGACTATTTATGAAAAACTTTCCTTCACAAAAATAATAACCTCTAAAATTAATAGATGAGTATGTGGACCTTTACAAATATCAAATAGATATTATGTATAAGGTTAATAATGTTTGTACAATTATTTTATATTGTTTACTGACGGTAATGGTAGGCTATTACCCGCGTGAATAAGAATATCGAGTATCCTAAAAGTTAATGAATAAATTCAGTATCTATACAAAATTTTATTTAAATCTAGTTAGCAGTTTAAGCATAATATTAAAACAAAAGTTTAAACTTATTCACAGTCTAAAAAATCATTAGTAATATTATAATAACTTCAGATTAGTAGTGCATCTTGTAAGAAACTTCATATCGTTTGATAACCTAAAACATCCATATCCAGAGTCAATAATTCATTTATTTATTTAAGAATAAATTGCTCACTTCTCTTACAGTTTCCCAAAATTTATAACTAATAGTAATTGTGAGTTAATAGATTGTTTACACCTTTTATAATGTAACTACCTCCAACATTATATGTCATATTGGATAAAATATAAAGTATTCTATGTTTTAATTTAGACCATGCTGTAACTAACCTATTTAAATGTGATTAAGATGTATAAACTTTATAAATATTCACATTAAGTATAATAAACAAAATTCTTACAGTTTCAAATTGGACAATCATCTCAATTAGTAACAATTAATAGCTTGCTGGAACACACAGAATATACTGTGCTAGGATATTATCTGCATTTCAAATTTCATGTAACAAATATTTAAGTATTTACAACCTTTAACATTCACAATAATATATTTACAGGAACTAAAATGTTACTACAAATTCATGAACAATATTTCAAATTGTTAAGTTAAAATTATGTTATATCACTGTGTGAATATATTATTTTAAATTTCCCTTATTGGTTGCATTTAATATAATCGATTTCTTTTTGAGTATCTTCATTAGAAATTGTCTTAAATGCTTTACACCATTAATGTACTTGGTGCTATTGTATTTCACTTTAATTTTCTAATTGTCATTTTATATACATACATACAAATCTGTCAGTTCTGTCTCCCATTTTCATTTTATATATTTGTTTTTCATGCAATGAAGAATTAAATAATGTTTTAAAAAATGTAAAAAAAGTTCCAAATGGTATTTATGTTTACCTAATATTTACATGTAAAGAAAATCTATTTTCTGATTATTACAGTGTAAGGACTCCTGGTGGTCGGCTTGTATATCAGTATGTTAAGAAACCTAAGAAGATCCCAAGATGTGGCCAGTGCAAAAGCAAACTGCGGGGCATCCAGCCCGCCAGGCCAGCAGAACGCTCACGTCTCTGCTACCGCAAAAAGACAGTGAAACGTGTTTATGGAGGTGTCCTCTGCCACAAGTGTGTCAAACAGCGCATTGTCAGAGCCTTCCTCATTGAGGAGCAGAAGATTGTGAAGGTCCTCAAAGCGCAACAGGCCTCTTCTAAAGGTGGCAAAAAGTCCGCAAAGTAGGGTAATAAATAAGTAAAAATCAAAGCTGTCTTTTATTTATTACTAATTTTATTAGATGTAGATTTTGTCTTCTCCATGACATGACTTCCAGTTTAAAGGGTGGGATATGCCAATGAATTTACAAGGTATGAAGGCATAACACCTTTATCCTGAGGAATGGCAATACATGAGGGGTACCATGGGTATAATAGTGTATTCTGTAATGTTCATGGTACTCTTCATGTCTATAGGTGATGATTACCACTTTTTATCAGATGGTCTGTCAGCTTGTATATTATTCTAAATGTCATAAAAAAGGAGTTTACACATGACGGGGATAAAAAGTAACCTATGAACTTTCCCATCCCATATAGTATGTGTACAATAAATTTAATTTAGCAATCATAAAATTTTGACCTCATGGAGGTCGACCTGATAGGGTATATAACAATATACTTAATCAGGTCGACCTGCCAACCACCGTGGTAAATTCTTTGTTATTTAATTCTTCACGATGGACCAACTGAACTACTTCATTCCCACCATAACTCGTTAATGGCGCTTGTCTGATAGAACATCTGTGCATACCGACATCACAGACGGTGTTACTATTTTCAAACAAAAATATATTTCGTAGTGATTGTTCAAAACGCTTTCAGATAACAAATTCCTTTTCTTTCAAATTTATAAGTAAGCATTGTTTTGCTAACTTGTATAATTCTAAGTACATTATATTAAATTTATGATTATAATTAGTGTCCGACCGAAACAGGTTTTACAGCTGATACAGAACTTTCGGCCTTAGTCTCAGTTTCGACCGAAACCGAAGCCGAAATTTACTGAAACATATTTAAAGTTCAGTCGGACACTAATTATGTTAGAAATAGGTTTATTTTCATACTGCTATAAACTACTGGCCGGTTGTAATTTAAAAAGATGTTTTTAAATTTAGTTGACACACTGTTAGAAACAATCGTTGCTTTTCTGTATTTGCTCTTCTATTAAATTTTATTGTACATTTTTATTGTGTTTATCCACTACGGAAATATTAGTTGATATCTCAAGCTAAATACCAACATCTTACCAGGTTGACCTGCACGCGGTTTCCAATAGAAAACGTGGTTAATTCGCTTTTTTAATGGATGTAAATGACATGGTAATCCCGCCTGCGCTATCAATATACACTGGCGGGATACCAATGAGAGGTGATAGGAGAGAATGAAAAAGCAGTTCAATTAACCCATTGTGACGAATTCAACGATAAATTAGTTATGATAGTTTCCAGAGGGAACTGCGTGGAGGTTAACCTGATAGGGTATATTGATAGCATTGGGGACTAACTTGATTACTAACAACCACTTCCTCTTGGTTAATTCTTATTAGATTTTCATAAAATGTGCCTGTGTTAATATTTATAAGAAAAATTGCACACATATAAATTTATCTATAAGTAGTTTTAACATCAAGCAAAACTGTATCAAATTGAATAAGGTTTTTATGATCTTCTGAAGGTCTAACTTAAAAACTAGTCTATATCATCTTCACACGTCATCCAAAAGTGGTTTATTTTCCTTATATTCAAATCTAAATCACGAAAATAATAACAAGATTTCATGTATCGACAATACAATTTCGAAAATACGTTGCAATTTTTCAAATTTATCGTAGTGTATGTGTGTGGCTGTGATCTAAAGTCATCTGTATAAGTAATCTGTGGTGTAGTGTCATTTGACATTGATATTACCCTTTTTTTATTGTATAAGTACGTAGTTTTTTAAGTGAATCATTGTTTTGGTGTAAATTTTCTTAAGAAAAATAAAGAAATTGTGTTCCTTGTTATATAACTATTAAAAATTTCTGTGATATTTATATTTAGTTTAATAATAATTTAATCAAAATGTCGAATCCTTGGAAGAAATTATCAGCACCGACAGATGTTCAAAATCTCTCTGATATAATGTCAGAAGAATATGCCAAAGGCCTTCAGATTAAAGAGGAAACAATTTTTGCTCAACAAATAGGCGTAAAACTTGAATCTGAAAAGCCTGTAAGCTCTGAATCGAAAGATATATCGTCGGAAATATTTAAACAAATTGAAGACGCAAACGTCAAGAATTTTTGCGACTCTGACGCTATTATTGCAAAAGTGTTGCAATCTCAATTCGACAAAGAGTATGACGATGAAATCAAAAGGGTGGAGAAGAAGCGTAACGGCGAATCAAAGGTGTCTGTGTCGTATGACAACTACCGCAATGTTCCTGAGCATTTATTGTATGATTCTAATTCAGAAGAGGAAGATTATGAGGTGGCAAAGAAACAGGATTGGGATCGCTTCGAAACCAACGAGAAAGAATTCGCAAGTTTATCTAAAAGAGGATTTATTATGAAGGACGGCGAAATGGTCACTAAACACGATAGCGTTATAAACGGTAGAAGGAATGCATGTCGCATGATGACGTTCCCACCGGAGGTGTGTACTGGAGATGGTGCTGGATTTGATATGAAATTGTCCAATCCTGTGTTCAATCATCTTAGAGAGCATACAAAGCAACATCAGTCTCGTAAGCACAAGATGTTAGATAGAAAAGAAAGTCAAGCTACAGCTGAATTGGGTCTAGATGAACCAACAAGACTCATACTCTACAAGTTCGTCAATAATGGCCTCTTGGAAGACATCAATGGAGTGATATCCACGGGCAAAGAGTCAGTAGTGTTTCATGCTAATGGAGATACAACATATCCGGATTTGTCGATCCCTAAGGAATGTGCCATCAAAGTATTTAAAACAACTCTAAATGAGTTCAAAACTAGAGATAAGTATATTGAAGCCGATTACAGATTTAAGGATAGATTCTCTAAGCAGAACCCTCATAAGATTGTCCATATGTGGGCGGAGAAAGAGATGTATAACATCATGAGGATGCAAAAGATTGGTCTCAATTGTCCAGAGATGATATGCCTCAAAAAGCATATTCTATTGATGTCCTTCATTGGTAAAGACAATAAGCCAGCCCCGAAACTGAGAGATGTTATTCTAAAGCCTGAAAAGTGGCAAAGTGTGTACAATGAAGTTGTTGATGCCATGCATAAGATGTACAATGTGGGGCACATGATTCATGCTGATTTATCGGAGTATAACATACTTTGGTGGGACAATAAATGTTGGTTCATTGATGTCTCACAATCAGTGCAACCTGACCATCCAGTTGGCTTGGAGTTTCTACTCAGGGACTGCCGGAATATTTGTAATGTAGGTGTTTATAATTACTTATCAAGAATACTGTGATTCATCATAGCATTCAAACTTTTTTTTCTTTATCAATATGAAGTTACAACCTTTATGGGTTATTTCATCCAGTCATGTTTTTTTGTTATACACTTAACTCTTATTTAAAAAAGCAACAGCTGTGTTTCTTGCCCATTCTTCTCAGCTGAAATTACATTTCAGATTGGGTGGTAGATTTATAAAAAAATCACCATTCAAAAATGCTTATTATTAAGTTTACTTCAATAAAAATGATTTATTATTATTTACTTAATTATGCAACTAGTAAACATTGTTATTGCTTGTTACTATTCTATCTAATCTATATTATGTTAAACAATTTCTTAATAACAAGAGACTGTCATTAATAAGGAATGAAATATCAATCTCCAAGTCTGATAGATTTTTAATAAGAGAATTATTTCAAAATACATATTATAGTTATATCTAACCAGTGTACTCAAAAAAAGAAAATACTTGACTGAAATTGGGATCCTGAACAAAAATACCCCCTAAAGGTCAACAAATAAAACATTTTAATAGCTAAAGCTTACTTTCAAATGAATTAATTGTATTGTATTTGTTCATGATCTTTACTTTTTTATTATGTTTAATTAACATCCTATTTTATTTGCAGTTCTTTGAAAAAAAAGGTGTTACTGATATGAAGACGGCTGAAGAGCTTTTTAAATCAATCACAGGGTTTGATGAAGTGGACGTTAATTTACTTGAAGGTGTTCATACAACATTCAATGCACTATCTTCCAGATTTGAAATAGCACCTGATGATAACAGGAATATCAGTTATCCATTTGAGTACTGCTGGAATAAGACCAATGAGGGCAAGCAGGTCAAGAGTAATAAAAATGACAACGACGACGACGAATTTGAGGAGATGTGGACTCATTCCCAGAAAGACGGGGTTGACACTGCTACCAATTTTGGTAACATATTGACTGATACTGTTACTGATGCAAATGTTTCAACAGTCGGAGAAACTGTAAATGCTGTGGATGAGAAAGTCAATTTTGGTAATGAAATAGAGGTGACTGTGCCAATTGATGGAGGCATAAGTAGTTGTAGTAAACATAAAAAGTCTTAAAAAACATGTTATAATTAATTTGAGCTCATCAAAAAGACGTGTCCAATTACGACAAAAGATATGAAGAAAATTATAATCTGAATCATAAATTTTACAATTTGATTTTTTCTACTAAATCAATGATAGTTTTTAATATTTAAGTGCATTTTAGTATATAAAAAAAAATTGAGGAATCTTTACCTTTTAATAATTTACTTCTATTGGTTAATTACTTCAAAATCTTAAAAATGAATCAACATTCTATTTTTGTAATTGATTAAAGTTATGACACCAGAAAAAGAAAAAAACTACAGATTTCTAAGATATTACATAATGGAATAAGAAGTGTACCAATGGTATATAGTGATATAAAAAAATGTTGCAATATATATGAAGTTTGTGTTTTATTACAAAACAAAAGATGAGTATAAGACTAAATAAAACATGTGCTTTATTTATTTTTATAATAATTATTTCACAATATTTGATATCATAATAATTATATTGTTTGCTTATTATTTCTTTTATCAGTTTCTTTAATCACTCTAATTACAAAATTCATATCTATATTTATTAATTTTACTTTAATTTTTTTTTTATACAACTTAGAATGGCAAACAAGCTGACGACCCACCTGATAGAAAGTGGTAACCGTCGCCTATAGACATGAGCAGTACCATGGACATAACAGAGTATACTGTTTCGCCCATTATACCCCTCATGTGTTGCCATTCTTGAGAACTCAGGTGTTATTCCTCTGTACCCAGCAAATTCACGCCATATCCCACCCTTCAAACCGAAACACAGCCATGCAAACACAACTGCTTCACGGTTGAAACACGAATGTGACAGAGGTACCCAAGCAATTGACTTTTTGTACATTTGGACAGTCTCCCTCTAGTATTAATATTACAAATACTATATAAATGTTCTATAAAATAAAATTTCATTTATTCATTTATACACAACTATTTAATAAATTATTATAACTAATAAGAAAAATCTTTGCATTTACACACACAATAACATTTAAAAAAAAATATTTAAGACCAACATCAACTAAAAACATATTAATTGAACTTATATAAAACTGAAAATATATATTAATTTTGAATTTAATCTTATTATGGATAAATTTAGGGACAGCACAATTAATCATGATTTTTTTTTTATTGTGAATCAAGTATTTTGTAAGCGATAAGAAACTATTTTAATACTATACATGATTTTTCCATAAAAAGTTACAAAAGTGTGGGTAGTTCTAGAAAAACACTGACACAGATTTATTGATATACAACAAATCTATTAAAAAATTAGTTCATATTGATCCTTACAATAAATATTTCGCTGTCACCATTTAAAATGTAATTTAGAATTACATTAAGAGAAATAGTGTTTGTGAATCAATCCCAATGTTTTACTATATGTACTAACATAAATTATCCACAAACTAGAATTGTATGTATTATTAGAAACAAGAAATAATATCAGAGACCACATAATCTGCCTTTCGCTTTATTTGTAATGTAATTCTGGTTTCTATTAAAAAAAAAAATTCTCAGTGCAATAGCACATGTTTACGGTGTCTATATGGGAAGGTGGGGGGGGAAAGGGATTGTTAGTAATAGGGCTTAACAGCCTCATTGCTAGCAATATACCCCATCGGAATGATCTTCACGCGGTTTCCTCTGGAAACCATCTTAGGTAATTCATAAGCAATTGGCCAGTATTGGCAAACTGACCTTTTATTCTCACCTATCATCACTCCTGCCTCACCTCACTGGTGCTCCGCCAATGTATACCGATACCATACAAAAATACGAATGTGGAAGGAAATCCCTAATCCTATACTATCTATGTAACTACTTGAGAATCAATCTAATATCTGCCTTATCATGGAACATCATATATAATCCATAAATAATTGTTTATGCAAGCCATCGCCACAAAAGCCAGGAACAGTTCTGAATCACCTGCATTGACAGGCATAAGATTGGTGTTCTGCACATACTAATTTAAATACGATCTTACACTGTCACAATACTGAGTCAATCTAATTTCGGTATTTATTTTGTCCAATAAAAATGCTTGCTGCATAGTGAGGAACCCTTTTGTGTCTGCACAAACACAGATTAATGAATTTGCATCGCCTGTCGTGCTTGAAATTATAATGGACTGAAGTTTTAATCGCAAATCGATGTTTACTGGAAATGCTGAAAAAAAAAAACAATTCTTGAAAACTCTTGTTGATATAAAATGAAGTACATACTTATGAACATTAACATATAATGGAAGAGATTTTAATGTACTCATAAAGGTTATTTTTTTAATGTAAAAAAAGGAAAAAGTTGTAAAAAAAATGTTTAGACTACTAAGTATAAACCTTAGATTATAAAGTTTATTGATTGACAACGCATGAGACAGAAAATATAATAACCTGTATGTTAGAAAGAGAGAGAAAATCTATACTTATAATAAATCTGTAAAGAGGTCAATTCTGTACATGAAATATATTTCCAAAATAACTATCAGCGGGTGATTAGTGATCGATACTGATGTCAAAAATGCAATCAGTAAAATTTTTGTCTGTCTCTCTGTATGTTCGTTATAGAAACAAAACTACTCAACGGATTTTAGCGAAACTTGGTACAATTATTCTTCATACTCCTGGGCAGGTTATAGTATACTTTTTATCACGCTACGATTAATAGGAGCAGAGCAGTGAAGGGAAATGTTGGGAAAACGGGAGAAGTTACTCCATTTTTAAGCTTCCATCGCGTGTGCAGCCTTAATGTCCACCCGTGGGGCGCCGGGACGGGCCGCTAGTAAGATAATTATTTGCACAAGATATGCTCGAAGCTGTTATGGTAGCAGATATATTAAGTATATAATCTAATCATTTTATAATCAAGTAAGGTTGATTCCATTATATCAGTGTTTTTCAAACTTTTACATGACATGACCCCCTTAGAGTGCAAAAATATTTTGCTATCTCCTACCCTCCGCGGTTCCTAACTTCCTTCCTCAGTACATTTTTATTTATTTTCGTACTTAGATATTAGTTAAATACAATATAATAAATAAATAGTACACAATAAAGTACCTAAAACATGCATCGATTACGTTGCAAAAATGTTATTGTTTAAGGCTTGGTGACTCTGCGACTCCCATGTTTTTCAAAGTGTGGGTCGTTTTGAAATACATTATTTTATATCATCTCGAATAAAAGCTAATAAGTTTAAATATCCAAAATAAATGCTAGAATAGATAAAGTACTAAGTTATATTGTTTGCTGCTGTAATACACTAATAAAATACTATATAAAACAAAAAAATAGGATACATTTGAATATTTACCATCACTATCACAGTCATTGAGTATACTCGTAAACAAATTCTTCAAGGAGTCTGGTTTGTTTTCATCCATTGGTTTCACAAGTAATGCCAGAAGCACCCTGCTGACTTGAACCCTACAAGTTTATTGTGAGACACTTTAGTATAGTAAAACTCCTAGGACTGCAAAATAGACAGCCTTTTTCCCAGTTAAAAGCACATATTTCCTTATGAGTCCTTGAAGTATTTAAAAAAAAAAATGGTTTTATGTGACAATATATGGTATCACATCATTCTATTTACTTTATAAATGAATCTTTTCTATTCTGGTTAACAAAAAGTATTTCTAAAACTGCTGTTGATCTGGTTAGTGTCCTTATACTTACTCTGCTAGAATATTCTCAGGTATATTCAATATCTTGTCAACTATTGTATTGGCTGTATCAAGAGCAATGTCCCACTTCTCTAAAAAAAAAATATAAAATAAAAAATTATAAGCTTACATCTAAGAAATATTATTTTTAGAATTTTACTGTTCTATTCATTCATTTCACTATTTTATTCATTAATGAATAAAATAGTGAAATAATATATTTGTATGTAATATTAAGGTTGCAGGACACCACCAGGTTTCATAGTTGGTGATGAGATGATATGTAGCTATGTTATGCATGTATGTCTGACTTAATAAGATATACATAAGTACAATAAGAAGTGATATAAGTTTGCCAATTTTCTAATAACACAATCTGTGTAAAAGTTAACTTTATAACACGTTTGCATGCAATAACTCAACAACAGAATGTTAATTACAATTCCATGAACTGAATATTTTTAGTTATTTATTTATTTTATTAACTGAATGAGCTTTACAGTATCCTAATGTGCTCACCCAGAAAGCATCCGTAAAATAACAAATATGTTTAATTAAAAAGAATAAGATTTCACTCAAATAGAAATAACATTAGATCTTAAATCTCTGAACACAAACACTCTATGGTCATCCAATGAAGTTCCAGCAAGTTGGAGGCATATTGTGCTGTAGTGTACCATGGAAACATGGAGCATGTATATTTCTGGTATTCCTCACGCTTTGACAGACAAATTAAATGTAAATAATTCTAGAACATATTAAATGCAACCCAAAGTGTGAATATGATGAAATAAACTAAAAAGAAATATAATTACCGCATTCAATTAGTAAGTTGAGTATAGTCCTCATACACATTAGCTTCATTGTTTTGTTTTCAATATTTTCTAAAGCTTGTTCATAATAGGAAATAGCCTCCAGCTTATGGTTGAAGGAAACCAAATTGCTCGCCAACTCCATGAGTATAGATGTTCGCATCAAAGAATTCTCTGGATATTTGTTTAATGCTTGATTGAAACATCCTATTGCTGCCTGAAATTTAAAATGCATTTTAAAATCATAATCATATTAAGAAAATGCAGTATATCTATTATACATATAGTATTAAGCAAACAAAATAAAAATTTATCTGTATGAATAACAAACTTTACAATATTAAAGGAAAACATTTTTATGTATTTTAAGGCCTATGTCCAGCAGTAAATGGATAATGGCTGAAATAATGATGATGACAATATATTTAAAAAAAAGTAGGGATTATATTTATTTATTCATCTATTAAGACACATGTTTTAATTCTATCTATAACTTTTTCGAGTTTTTTCACGAAATTTTAAAGTATGAAAACATTACCCATGTTTACCTCCAAATTTTCTCTATCTGTACTAGAAAACTTAAGAGACACAAATTTGTGTTCAGCTTTCATGAACTGTCGTGCAGCAGCCAGATACTGCTCCGCTTCACCCAGAGAATTACCAGCGGAGGCCTCGCACTTGGCTGCACCCACGTACGCATGACCAGCAAACGCTGGTTGCTCAGAATGTTCGCATTGAATTGCCAAGCCTACAAATTCGTTTGTTGCCTCGGATATATTAGGTTTCCTCATAAAACGTCTGTAATATCAATTCATAAGATATACAATTAAAATATGTTTAGAACAAGCAATGAAAATTTCTAAATATTAATAAAATGGTAAATTACTTTTTGAGTTTAGCGTTTATGTTCATGTATTGTTCATTAAAGCTTGCGTAAAGATCTGTCGCCATAATTTAATAGGTATTCACTTAATTTCCTAAAATATTCAATTATTCGTAGGAAAATAAAAAGTAATATTTTGGAAAACAATAAAAGCACAGATTAGAAAAACTATGGCACAAATTACAGAGACTATGTTTAAAGAAATCATTACCCTAATATCGGGGTGAACGCCACAAAAAAAAAAGTGTCTAAAAGTTACTATCTTTACTGAGAAAAAAAATTAAATATTTTGTTTTTTTAAATTATTTGCCATTTGTAAAGCAAAAATTAATAAAATAAAATCAATATATGTATTTTGTATCAATATAAAATTCTTATATTTTAGGATATTTTAATATTTTTAATTGTAAGAGGGATTTTAAATTTATTTCTATTGTTTGAACTATTAAATAGCTTTGTGTATGTTAAGAATTAATTATGACATCATAAACTGCCAAAGTCAAAAGTTGTCAAAATCAAATGCACTTCTTTGACGTGTCAGATATTTGTAATTTAGTTCTTTCATATATTATAGTTTAATTTTTTGCATATTTCTCTATTTTGTATGAAATGGTTTCTTGTTAATAATAATTATTATTTGTATTAATAAGTGCGTAGGAGTAGTGAAACATGGATTTCTTAAAAAGCGGTCTCAAGACGGTGCTTGGTGCTCCGGAGCCCGGGCAACAACCTTCGGCGGCTGAAACGGTGACTATTTGATGCATTTTATCATCTACTGACTATTTAATAAATATATATGATCATTATACATAATTCTTGATGTTTATTTGATACATAAGAAAATGTTCACAAAGATTTCTGAACTTCTTGCTTAATAACAAATTGTGTAATATTTGATGCTTATTTAGTGTATATTACAATTATTAATACGCTAAATGTATTACAGTATCATTCGTTTACGTTCCTAGTTAAGAATTCTATACATTTAATATAACATGTAATAATTTTTAAGTATTCCTTATTTTATGGATTTAGATGAATTTAAAAGTTATGGAAATATTATTGGCAGCTTTCCAAATCTAATAATTTTATCAGTAAGTAGCCGCAAGGACGGAATTCTTGTCCTATATAAATGTACTGTTCATTGAGGCATAAATTTTTATTAAAATGAAAACAAATAAGTTTTTTTTAATTCTTAACTAATTAAATACAGTTCAGGATTAATGTAATTTATATAAAAATTGAGCATATGGATTCACCATTACTTTTAGATTTTTTGAGAAAGTTACTCTAGTTTGTTTTTTCTAAATTAATACATTTATAAAAGTATAATATTATTTTAGAGGAAATTGATGTTGTTAGCATTGGATCATGGTACTGATGGTTCACCATGATTGGTTCAGTGGAGAAGAGGCCTGTACTCAGCAGGGTGTTTAAATAATGATGATACTATTATTTTATTCTGAAACAAAAGTAACTTTAACTATTAATCTAATACAGCCTCTTCTAAATGTCACAATTTGACTCAAATTATGACTACTTGTCTCTATTTGGATACTTTAATCATATGAAGTAATTTAAATGGTTGAACAATTTTAAATGAAATGAATAAACTTCTCCAATTGTATTATAGATTAATTTATTTATCTTACCAATATGTATTCATTTGCAAATTGTTTACCTTAATAATTTGTTTATAATTGCCCCTTAACAATATTTTGATTTGACTTACTTTTAATTTTTTTTTTTTATATAATGTATAACAGATTTTTTTTTATGTTTCATAAACTTTTGTCTGACATCTATTTTTCCTCTTGTCTTTTCTTTCATCACCCATATCTATTTTATTTTCAATATTCCTAACATTGAGAGTTAAATGATTACTCAAAAGGAATGAAAAATATATGTGTGATTAATTTTTTCCAGGTTGAACGTTTAGTCGACAGAGTAAACAACTCTACACTGTTAGAGGACCGCAGAGATGCATGCAGGGCTCTCAAGGCGATGTCGCGCAAGTACAGAGTGGAGGTCGGAGCGCAGGGCATGGAAACTTTGAAACAGGTTGGTACCACTCTTAGTGGTCTTATTGAATTATGGTCATACTAAAAAACAAACATTTTTAATATTTCTGAATGATTATTAAAAAATGCTCTTATATAATATAGTTTAATAGTGAATTGTTTTTTTTTGCTATAAGGTTTTTATTAACCTATTACTGAAGGTTTACACATTAATAATAAGAAGTATTTAGAAATCTTAAAATCAAAATAGTTATTAAAAAAATTATATATTTTATTTGATAATTTGATGTGGACACTAAACTATGAGTATATCTCAATCCTACTAATGTGTAAATATGCATTGTATTGCATATGACTTTAATATTTATTTAACATTACTTGTACATCAAGTTGTTCATTACAAAAAAAAAAAAAAGGATTTCATAGATTCTTTATAATAATTTCTATTATTCTTTATAAAAATTCTTAATAAGATTCTCAACCAAATATTATAGATGTATAATTTAATTCCACTCCAGAATTTTATGAGTCCATCATAGTGTAAAAGAGATATACAGTTGTACATATCAGATTATACTTTGCATGGTAATTGAATTATTATTATTTACTCTACAATTTTCAGGTGTTAGAGCTAGACAGAGCTGACAATGAAACAATAAATTATGCATTGGACACCCTCAACAACGTCATGTCACCTTCGCAGTTCGAAGAAGAAGAGGACAATCCTCACATACCCATGAACATTGGTGAACAATTCACAGAAATGTTCATAAAAGACCACCACAATATTCAACTTGTTTTAGAATTACTAGACGAGTATGACTTTAGAGTTAGACTGTCCGTAGTACAGCTACTGACTTCGTTGCTAACAAATAGACCTAAAGACATACAGGAGATTATTCTAGTAAAACCCATGGGAGTATCCAAAATGATGGACCTCTTAAGTGACACTAGGGAGGTTATACGTAACGAAACGCTCCTGTTACTGATCAAATTGACAAAAGGAAATGCTAATATACAGAAAATTGTTGCCTTCGAGAATGCCTTTGATAGATTATTCGAAATAGTGTCATCTGAAGGTTACTCCGATGGGGGAATCATTGTTGAGGACTGTTTACTGTTAATGTTGAACTTATTGAAGAATAATAGTAGTAATATTTACTTTTTCAAAGAAGGCAGCTACATACAAAAGATGCTGCCAATGTTTCATGCTCCGGATGAGTCCGAGGATGCTGGTTGGTCGCCGCAGAAGGTCTCTAATGTACATTGCATGCTACAAATTGCCAGAACTCTAGTATCGCCCAGTAACTCTGTACAGATCATATCCTGTTGCCAAAAAATCATGAAGAATGTAGGTTTATTGGATTCGTTGTGCAATATTTTGATGGCTAGTGGCGTGCCTGCGGACATATTGACTGAGACAATAAATACTGTTGGGGAAGTAGTGAGGGGAGATGTGACGAACCAGGATTTCTTAGGCAATGTCATGGCGCCGTCCAATCCGCCACGTCCCGCCATCGTAGTGCTCCTTATGTCTATGGTCAATGAAAAACAGCCGTTTTCTCTAAGGTTAGTGCTTTTTTTTTAGAATCACTATATATGTATTCTTGGTTCTTTTCAACCGACTTCAAAAATTATCTATTTAGTTATATATATTTTTATGCTTGTTACCTCATAACTCCTTCAGTTATAAACCTATTTAGATTTTTTTATCTATCTAAAGGGAAATACTTAAAGATTGGCCCTGGGCCAATCTGTTCCCCCCATTTGAAACATTATTGCTTTCATAAGCTTTCTGTTTTTACCTAATGGTTAGCTGGTAGAGAATGCCATATGGCATTAAGCTCGCCACTTGTACATAGTTTTATTATACAAAAAAGAAAAAAATAAATGATAACTCTAAAACCTTGTTAAATTACCTACATATGAATATACTACAATATCTTTAAATTACGTACTCGTATAACGGGAATTTTATGAACTTACTACCTTCGTCGTTTCTGCCAATTCTTTCGACTTATACGAAAGACTTCATCACGATAAACGGCGCTTTGCATCACAGCGTTTCGCCTTGCACTGCAGACTACAGTTCACAAAGCCCGTGAAGACATTGGTGCATAAAATTTTCATTATATATATATATATATAAAGGTATTTGAAAATCCCAATGCTAGTGGTTTACATCGGATTTTCCCCTTGTATTTTGCATATAAAGAATTATATATATATATATATATATATATATATATATATATATATATATATATATATATATAATAGTGTTATTTTGATTTAAAAAATAAACTACTGAACTGATTTTGATAAAATTTCTATTAAAGATAATAATAATAATGTTTATTTATTTATTTATCTCAAAACTTTTTTGCTAGCCAAATTGAGAACCTCCATCTTTTTTAAAATAAATTGTATTTATTTATTTAGTTTATTTGGGTTAACAACAGCGTTTTACATGATTAAATATATAACACATTTAGTAAATGCTAGCCAGTTACAATTATCCACAGTGTAAAACATAAGCACCCATAAAGCAAATAATACCCAAATACCAAAAATTTTAAAAATAATATTTTACAATGTATCCCCAACAGGTGTGCCGTGCTGTACTGCTTCCAATGTTACCTCTACCACAACGAGATGAGCCAAGCGGGGCTGGTGCAAACTCTGCTGCCGTCGTCCACCGATGTCTCCAGCCTGACCAGTGGCCAGCTTCTCTGCGGGGGGCTGTTCTCGTCTGATGTCCTATCCAACTGGTTCTCCGCTGTGGCCCTGATGCATGCCTTAACTGAGAATCCAGCGCAGAAGGAGCAGCTCCTCAGGGTGTTATTGGCAACGAATATAGGGAGCTCTCCAGTGTCGCTGCTGCATCAGTGCACATTGTTGCTACAGCAAACGACGAAACTTCAGTCTAAGGTTGGTTTTCTCCGAAATGTCTATACTGATTGTTTTTCGCCAAAATCAGCCAATCGTTTTATTCACCATATCAATCTTTAACTGTCCATTGCTGAACAGGATTCCTTCCTCAGAAGGGGAGTTTTGCCAGTAGTTGCCACGCTTGGCAGGCGGGTTGGTGACCGCAGTTAGGCTTTTTTTTTAATGAGTGATAATGAAATGGTCCTTTCCACCAATGGTCCACCTTCGCTATCAGTACACACTCGCAGGGCACCACTGAGAGGTGATAGGTGACGATGAAAGCAGGTCCATTAGCCCATCGTGATGAATTCCACTAGAATTAACCACGATAGTTTTCAGAAGGAACCGCTTGGGGGTTGACTTGATAGAGTGTATTGCTAGTAATGGGGAAATTAGACCCCATAACTTTTTTTTTTTTACAACACAGGGGGCAAACGTGCATGCGGCTCACCTGATGGTAAGTGACTACCGCCGCCCATGATCACCCACAACACCAGCGGCATTGCAGGTGTGCTGCCGGCCTTTTAAAAAGGAATATACTCTTTTCTTGAAGGTTATGTTGTCGTATCGGTTCGGAAATACTGCTGCTGGAAGTTGATTCCAAAGAATGGTTGTGCGTGGAAGAAAGTGCCTTGAAAAACGCACGGTGGAAGACCGCCACTCGTCCAGATGATTGGGATGAAACTTTAGTTTGTGGCGGGTTGTACGGTGGTGAAAATCAGCAGCAGGTATCAATCCGAACAATTCCTCAGAACACTCCCCATGATAAATTCGGTAGAAGATGCACAGAGATGCAACATCTCTGCGCAGTTTCAGTGGATCAAGTCGGACAGTAAGGCGTTGACTATCGATTATTCGAGCCGCCCGACTTTGAATGCGGTCTAACGGAAGGAGTTGGTACTGTGGCGCTCCTGCCCACAGGTGAGAACAGTATTCCATATGCGGCCTGACTTGGGCTTTATATAATTTCAGGCGGTGTTCTGGCATGAAATATCGTCTCACCCTATTGAGCACTCCTAACTTTTTGGAAGCTATCTTAGCCTTCTCCTCCAGATGACCGCAAAACTGGACGTCGCAAGACATATCAACGCCCAGAATTCCTAGACTCGACTTTTTATCAAGGGAAGTGCCCTGAAAGTGAGGAGATACGACAAACGGCGTCTTTTTTGCGGTAAACGCGCAGACTTGTGTCTTTTTGGGGTTAAATTGGACAAGATTTTGTTCACCCCAGATCGAAACTTGATGGAGAGAAGTTTCGATTTCAGACACAAGTCTATTCCGGCACTCATCGGTATGTGCCCGCGAGATCTTTGCATGACCGGTATATAATGTATCTCCTGTACTGTCGTCTGCATAGCAATGAATATTACTTATCTGTAACATATCATTGATATGCAGAAGAAACAGAGTCGGAGATAGTACACAACCTTGCGGGACTCCAGCATTCAAAGGTTTTAAATCAGAGCATGCTCCGTCGACTACGACCTTAATGCTACGTTCCTTGAGAAAACTGGCGACCCAAATGCAGTCTCGCAGGCAACCCAAATGAAGGTAGCTTTGAAAGCAGCGCTCTATGCCACACCCGATCAAAGGCCTTCGCAATATCCAGACTAACTGCTAAGGCCTCTCCCTTACTCTCGATTGCCACTGCCCATCGGTGTGTTAAGTAAGCTAAAAGATCACCGGCCGAACGTCCCTGTCGAAAGCCGTACTGGCGATCACAGATCAGCTGGTGCTCTTCTAGGTACCGGAGCAGTTGACGGTTAATGATGGATTCCATAACCTTCGAGAATAAGGAAGTGATAGCTATGGGCCTATAGTTAGCTGGATCTGAGCGATTACAATCCCTTTCCTGCCGCAGTTAGGCTTTGGTGATGGTTTAGAGATACACTGCTGGCCATCCCTCTACTATTAAGTTCTCTTACAAAACCCATGGAAAAAGAAGGGGTAGTCGAATTGGTCCCGGCGTTGATATAGACCTGTTCAAACATGAATATTACAATTTAAATTCCAGGTGGCTCTCCTCATGTTGTTATCACAATGGATGAGCTACTGCCCACCAGCGGTGAGCGCCTTTCTCAAGGTCCCGGGAGGTGTCGGCTACCTCGTCAACCAGACGTGTTCAAACGAGCACGACGACAACGAATACCTTCTCCAAGGTCTCTCCGCCTTCCTGCTGGCCATCTGTATACACTTCAACGATGACTCAGCAGAGAACTACACAAAGGACTCCTTGAAACAGCTCCTGCTGAAGAGGATCGGTATGGAGACCTTCACGGCCAAGTTGAGCGAAGTGACCAAGCACGAGCTCTACAATAAAGCGGCGAAACACCCCCAGCTGAGGGTGAAGATGCCGGCAGAGATATTGATAGACTACGAATTTTGCAGGCTCTTCAAAGTTTTAGAAAGTAAGTACTTTAGTAAGTAATTTTTGTGTATTTGTTCGTTTGTAATGTATAAACTCAAAACTTTTTTTTTAACGTCTGGAAAATGCTTTATGCAGACCCATACACCTTGCTGGAGGTGAATGGGTACTGTGGGAATCCCCCCGTAAGGTGGGGGTGTACCCACCAAAAACCAGACGATATACCCTCGAGGTGCCATGTCGGAAACATGGGTTCGCTTTCGCACTCACCACATCTCCGACGGCAGCGACCCGCCCCCTAATGGTAAGAGCAGGTTTCCTCTCTCAAGATAGGGTGGATGGCGTGCTCATCCTACCACTCGGGGGATGCACCGGTATATTATCACATCCCCCAGGATAAACTCAAAACCTACTCAACCAATTTTAGAATTCTTTCACTTATATACATCTACTTTATGGACAAATAACATTGGTTATATATTATTTTCGAAAAAAATATTATAAATTTATATTTGAAAAAAAAGATGCAACAGTTGTTTCTTGTCTGTTCTTCTTATCTGAAATTGCATTCCGAACTGGGCGGTAATTTATAAAAAGACGAGTATCCAAAAATATTTATTTATAATAAATAGTTCACTTTAATACAAATTATTTATTATTATTATTATTAGAGATCTCTACGAAAGTTACAATAATGTTACCCAAGATGTCATAAAAAACGTGTATTAAAAAATTTACTTACCAAAATCAATATAAACTACTAATTTATCTATCTACCCATGCGAAACCGTGACGAATCGCTAGTTAATGTATAAGACTGGTATATACCCAACACTTGGACCATGTTGTCCATTTTACTTTCTCGTGGGTGTCGTAAGAAACAATGAAAAATTTAGTGGTCGAAGGATGAACAGCAGTGTCCCTCTTAAAACATCACCACAGTCTAACTGCGGTTGGCAACCTGCCTGTCAAGCATGGCAACTCCTAGAACCTACCAGGGGGGGGGGGCTATGTTCAGCATAACTGATATGATGATAATCATCCTTGTGCTTACTCACATCTGTGTCTGACCCTATGTGATCACAAGTTGAGCTATTATAAAGAAAAAATAATGTTCCATTCCAGGTGTCCTGATCCAAAGCCTAATAGAAAAGAAACAGGATGAGAGCAATGAGCTGAACCATGAGCGGTCGTCCCCGGAGAGTGGCACGCTGGAGCAGTACAAGAGTCTCATCAGGCAGCAGGACGCGAGGCTGCAGGAGCTGTTGTCGCAGGTCGAGGGGCTGGTGCAGCAGAACCAATCGTTACAGGTATATATTTATCCACTATGTTATGTTTTTTTTTACACTGAGGCAAACGAGCATGCGGCTCACCTGATGGTAAGTGACTACCGCCGCCCATGATCACACACAACACCACAACACAACACCAGAGGCATTGCAGGTGTGCTGCCGGCCTTTTAAAAAGGTATATGCTCTTTTCTTGAAGGTTATGTTTAAGTAATAATAGAGTATGCTACTCTTTTAATAAAATACAAATTAAATTGAAAATAGAAAAAAGCACGTCTATTAAATATTGAGAAAACTTTATACACATAACATCAATTTATTTAACTCTTTGTTGCATCAAAGATTAATACTGTATATATATATATATATATATATATATATATATATATATATATATATGGATACAAGAAAAAAGAACTGGCTGCAAACCAGCGCTGTGCAGCTGTACACACTGCACTGGGACACTCGCAGCATCAGCGAAGCCAGTTCCTTTGGCCTGATATGAGATACTTCTTATATATATATATACATATGTATAGAAGTAATGTATATTACCTCTGTATTTTATGTTGTATACTATGTGTTTTTCTGGCAATAAAATATTTTCTATTGTATTAAAAAAAACATGGTAGCTATTTGGCGCAAGAAGTGTATTTAATAAAAACAATTTAATTGATTATATAATTTTTTAAGCCAATTTTAATAAATAAATTTATGACTGCTGTTAAACTTTTGTTAAAATGTTGGGACACTTGATACGGCACGACGAACTTATGAACATTATAATAGAAGGCAAGATAGAAGAAAGGAGGGGAAGAGGGAGACCGAGACATAGTTACATGAGGTAGATCAAGGAAGGAGTTGATGTCGTGTCGTATCAAGAGGTGAAGAGACTCGCTGAAAATCGTAGTGAGTGGCAAGAGCTCCACCGACAAGAGCGCAGCTCTTAAATAGATAGATAGATAGGTTAAACTCTTAAATATTGAAAAATATAAATATTCATACATCAATATTTCACGTGTTTAAAAACAATATCATCAATTACAGGGCGCCCTGAACGACTCACTAGCATCGAACTCCCATCTCAAAGACGAGAATACGATGTTGAAAGCTCAATTGTCCACCGCCAAATCATTACCAAGCAACCAAGTTCAGCCGCCAAGTCAAGACAACACCAAGTTAATAGAATACGAGGAAAAGATCAAACAGCTAACGGCCGAAGTCACACGACTGGATACGGATTTGAGGGTATCGCGGGACAGTCAGAAACTCGCCGCCGAGGAGTTGGAGACGCTGAGGAAAGACCAAGATGACTTGTTGGTGTTGTTCGCTGATCAGGTATGCTCTACTATTGAAGACGGAAAGCTTTTTCTTGAAAACCTACTTCAATAAAGTGTATTTTGACTTTTACAAGCATTACACGCTGAATTGTCGTTTTTTTTTTATGGATGACAATGGAATGGTAACCCCGCCCGCGCTATCGGTATACACTGGCAGGGCACCAGTAAGAGATGATAGGTGAGAATGAAAAAGCAGGTCAATTAGCCCAACGTGATGAATTCACTTGGAATTCAGTACGATGGTTTCCACAACCCCCCCCCCCCCCCGAATTGCCGTGTAATTCCCGGCATAGAATACGCCACCCCTTCCTTTCCCGTGGGTGTTGTAAGAGGCGACTAAGGGAGCTTATGGTGGAGGGACGGGCATCGGCGTACTTTAAACATCATTAAAACCTAACTACTGTTCCCAACCTGCGTGCCAAGCGTGGCATTTACTGGTAGAACGGGAAGATCGGTCACGCGAACGAAGTTGCGGGTAATAGCTAGTTATACATAAAAAAGTAGGTATTAAAATTTTATCATTTCTTATTGTAAACTCAACCTTCTGTATTAATTTCCAGGATTTGAAGTTGAATGAATACAAAATGCGTTTGATCTCACTGGGCCAACCAGTCGACGAAGATTCTGTGGAGCCGCAGCAAAATCTCACGTAATCAATAGTTTTATTTTAGCTTATTTTAAAAAAATCCTTATAAAATATCTGTATGTACATTTAATATTTATTGTATAATTATTAATTTAAATTAAAAACCAAATCCATTCAAATTATATTAAATGTTTTATTTATACTGATAAAATCTTAGAGACTTAAGACTATCCACAGTAAGAACATCAAGTCATCACTGTTTATAATTAGTGTAATAAATAATTATAATTAATATAAAAAATATATAATTAATATATATTTTTTTTTATTTTCTATAATATTAAATATATTTTGCCATATGTATTACCGTTATTATTTATTCGCGGGCAAAAAAATGTCAAATATATCGGAAGATTTGTATGTTTAATTTGGCGGGAATTTTGCCCGCGTATTGAAAAAAAATTTTTTTTTTAATTTTTATAAGGGCCTAGCCCCTTGTCACGGGCAAAACAATAAATAAAAATAAAAAACTTGATTGGTGTATTTATAATCTCGTACAGGGAATTATCGACGGGAAATAATACCCCGACAATTTATTATAATACTAGCGACTCTATATTCTATAAACTAGCCCCTGCTATGAATTGTTAATTTTATTACTCCTATGCAATACATTGTTCTTAGCTTTTAGATCGAAATAAGTGACGATCGGCAATCAAAACAAAACCAATAGAAACTGATTTACTTTGAAAGGCGACTATAAAAAAAAAAAAAAACAGTCGGACTTTAAGAAAGTTATATTTGTTTTAGATAAATAATTATAAACATATCGTAAATTCCAATGTATTTAATATTATATAGTTTGGCTAGGCGAAACTTTATCGTGTTCTAAATTTACACAGCGCCATCTAGCGATTGTCACTATTATCACGCAACTGATGATAAAATGATAGGCATGCTTACGCTATCTGTATACGCTGGCGGGCACCAGTGAGTTTTTTTAATGGACGATAATGGAATGGTAACCTTGCCTGTGCTGACGGTATACGCTGGCGGGGCACCAGTGAGAGATGATAGGTGGGAACGAAGAGTACATGTTAGTCCACCGTGATGAATACACCTGGAATTCAGCACGATCGTTTCCAGAGAGACCACGGGGAGGTCGTTCCGATAGAGTATATTGTTAGCAATGGGACTGGTAGTGCGCGTTACTAACAATCCATTCTCCCCTATACATTTGTTATTCATGAGTATGTTTTGTTTGTTTGTTTTATTATTAGGAGGTATTTAAAAAATAATTTTTGAAGTATGTCTATCAGTCATCTAGTATCCATAGTACAGGACTTTTTTAGTTTGGGACTAGATGGCATGTTACGTGTAGTGATATTTATTTATTTACTAGCTGACCCTGTAAATTTCGTATCACATATAACGCCATCTATTAAAAATATTTCGAAGTATCGACTCCCATGCAAAATGATCTATTTTAATTTTTGATTTTTCAGCTGAACTTCAGCAATTTTACTTTTTTTTTTTAAACGTATTAAATTGTATTACAATGAATAAAATTATTTAAATCGGTAAAGCCGTTTTTGAATGTTAACAGGATTTACGATTCAATTTTATATAGATAACTCGTGAAGGAAAATAAAATAGATTGCTTAACTCTGTGACTAGACGGTTGATGAACGTAAAACCGCAATATACACAATGCTAAGTAGATATGTAACTACATATACACATTATAGAGAAATCATAAGCAAAAATATTGGATTAGTCCATATAACATTGGCGACACTGTATATTCTATGTTGCCCATCCATGGTAAGATGTTTATCGTTCCTAGTTACACCCAAACAGTGTTATAAAAACATTATTAAATTAAATACCTTTATATTTTGAATACAATGAATACTTTATTTAAAAAAATCATTTAAGCTTAATTAGGTACATTTTTTTTCACCTTATTCATTGCAGTAAGCAATTAAATAATTTATTCTATCTACAATTAAACCGCCTAATAGATAGCAGTCTCATATACATGATTATTTTATAATTATACATTAATATACATTTGTCAAATCAAATTAAATATCACAATTTCCTAGTGAAAAAATTAAATTAATTTATTAAATATATAATTTTAATATATTTACACGTAGTCAAGTGGACGAAGCAAGAGATGTAAGGACAGGATGTCCACTCATCCCGTAAGGTACCTGGCGTGATAGATATTTACAAGTAAAAACGTAATTAGTACTTTATTTACTACAACTTTCTCTCTCTCATAAATATTTGTTGATTGTAATTTATAAATACATCTATATCACGAATACTTCGTTACCAATAATTCCCACAATTTTAGCAATAATAATACATGTATAAAATGCTGCAATATCAAACTGACTGAATCTATTTTTTTAATGGACGATAATGGAATGGTAACACCGCTACCATTCCATTATCATCTATTAAAAAAAAAGACAGATAGCTTATGGCTTATCCACTATTTGTGGGACAAAATTAAATTAAGAATTTTTTTACAGCATTTTATATTATTTTAATGATTTTTATTTAAGAAATTCTTTATTTGAGATGCAAAATAAAACTTTTACCTATCTATATAATAAAAATACAGTAATAAATAAAGTCTTTTCTTTTAATCACGATAGGAACTGAATAGGATAGGATAGGATTTTTACTAAGTGCATTTTTTTTTTTGCTGTGGTACGATATCACCTACCAAATTTATTTATCTTGATTTACATAAGTTTAAAAACAAAGTTTGATTTAATAACATTGATTCACATGTATCCATACTTAACCGCTTCAGTGCCATTGATTTTTACTCATATCTACTTAAAAATACCAAAGAAACCATTGTCGTGTTGATGTCATTTAGCCTTGTCTCTGAAAAAACTGTATCTTCTCCAAGAAATTATCCAATTTTAATAATTTTTTTACAGCAACTGATTTCACGAGTGCTATGGCGCTTGTCGGCATTCAAACGGTTAATACCGTATTAATCTTTTCTTATTCTGAATATTTGTTAATTTAATTCAATTATAATCGTATTTACTGATATTACTCACAACTTAGGTTACACTAATAACGCGACTGTTAAGGGGGGAAAGGGATTGTTAATAATGGAGACTGAGAATCCCATTGCTAGCAATATACCCAACCAGGTCGACCTCCTCGCGGTCCCCCCTGGAAACTATCATGGTTAATTCCTGATGAATTCATCATGATGGGCTAACTGGCCTGTTTTCATTCTCATCGATCAACCTTCACTGGTACTCCACCAGCGTATTCCGTTAGCGCAGGCGGGGTTACCATACCATTTTCACCCATCAAAAAATAAAAACCCAACTTTTTAAATATTTGTAGGCTAGTATATATAATATTTAATCCCTTAAAATTGTTTATTTCACATCATACTGTATAATTATGTTAAAGCAAACGCTGTGAATACCTTTAATAGGCGTGTGCATTAATATTGTATTGTATTTAACGTTTGTTATATATGTTATAGTGCAATATGCTGTTGGTGTTCCTTTGAATAAATAAATAAATAAATAAATAAAATATCTACCATTGTGTTATAACGAGGACAAAATATAGAAACGTAGATGCAACAAAATACATTACTTACATTCACGCTATTAACAATATGTACACTTATCAAGAGTCAAAACACAAACGGATTACGTAGTTCCATTAATACAATTTTAGAACGGTGGCGCTGATTCTGATGTGTCATTTTTCTAAATTTATCTCTTATAACCGTATATTTTATTTGTTACTTTCACGAAATCACTTTTTTTATATCACAAAGATGGGTAAACAAGAAGCCCGTCTGATGGTAAAAGGTCACTGTAGCTTATGGACGCTTGCAACACTAGGGGTGTAACGTGCGCGTTGCCAACCTTGAAAAAACTTTAATAAAGAAGAACTTTGAAGAACCCTCTACTGTAGTCTTTAGGAAAAACCTCGGTAGGGAGCTCATTTCACAGCCTGAGCGTTCGCTGGAAAAAAATCCCTTTGAACCCGCACTGTACGTGGTACTGTACCATTTAGGTTCAAGCGTGTGAGGATTAATTCTCTATCGATGGCGAGCGGTGCGATGGTAAATTATCATTTTATGGACCAACATAAACTATAATTATAACAATTTTGTCTTAAATCTATTAGAAGATAGATAGATAGATAGATAATTTATTTACATTATTTACAGCACACAAATTACAATAAAAAAAAAACATACACATAATACACAGTAAAAGAGATAAAAGAATGAAAATAAAAAAGCACAAAACAAAATATATAAATTAACAAGTTCATATCGGTCCATACATTGGATATAACTGTGATATCAAATTTATATTTTAAATTCAGAGATAGATTTAGAAAAACAGCGCCTCAGAATCGATTCTAATACTTTAAAATCTATTCAACAGTGCATAATGTATTAGAAATAGGAAATCATTATTTGCAATGTTTATATGATGACAATTTAAACCTTAATGATACTAAATACACATAGCAACAACATACAATATCAATTTAACTGGATTTCATATACAGTGGGTTGCCAAATTAATAGGGACAGTCACATTTTTTATAATTTTTGTTCCTCAAGTGCCCCTGATTGCGTTTTTAAGTGGTATAAGTGTGTTTGAAATATGTTTTTATGTTATCAGTATCTCTGTAACTCAAATTTAAAGTGAATTTCAAGTGCTGAGAGATTTATTTATTTTGTAAATATATTTTAATAACGAGAGAGACACACAGTCGTCCACACGTGTAAAAGTGAAACACGTAAATAATTCTTTTGAACAGTTCATTTGTGGTTTTGTGAAATAATTATTACCTGCAAGTAAGTACTATTTTACTATTATTAAAATTAAAGTATTTTGAGGCAGATTTTAGAACAATTTTTATTTTTATATATTTTTACAGCTTTGGCTATGGGTCGAGGGGTAGATTTGTCTCCGAGAAAAAAATCTGAGATTAAAACTCTTCTCCTAACCACAAGTCATTCTCAGAGAAAGATAGCAGAACTGGCCGGCGTATCTAAGTCTGCTGTCAATAAAATAAAGGTCAATTTAGACCAGAATCGGCCACTTTCGCCCAAAAGAAAAGGCAAATGTGGCAGAAAACGTATCACAACAGCACGTTCTGATAGGAAAATTCGGGATATCTGTTTGCAAAACAGAAAGAAAACTGTTGGATTCTTAACTCAGATGGTACAGGAATATGGAATACCTGTTTCTAAAAGAACTGTACAGCGAAGGTTGGCAGAGGAAGGCCTGACAGGTCATCGTCCAGTTAAGAAACCACGATTGACAAAGGCGATGAAGAAGAAACGGCTTGCTTGGGCTCGTGAGCACCGCCTGAAGACTGTTGAAGACTGGAATAAGGTCAGTTCTAATGTCAATTTTGTTTGTGTTATATAAAATCATATTTATAAAAATTATGAATAAATTTCTATTTTTTTTTAGGTATGTTTCTCAGACGAGTCAACATTTGAAATTCTAGCCGACAAAAGTAACTTTGTCAGGCGGCGTCCAGGCGAGAAATGTCACCCTGATTGCATAGTGGAACGCGTTAAACACCCTGTAAAAATAATGGTATGGTCTGTCATAAGCGCAAAAGGGGTTGGGCGCCTCTATATAGTCCAGGAAACCATGAGACAGGACCAATACAAGCAAGTATTAGAAACACGCCTGTTGCCACAACTCCAGGAATGGTTCACGAATGGGGAGGAATTTGTGTTTATGCACGATTCAGCACCATGCCATAAAGCGAGGAGTGTAACCAAATTTTTGGAAGACCACAACATTCCAGTTTTACCTTGGCCTGGCAATTCTCCTGATATGAATCCCATAGAAAACTTGTGGCAAATTACCAAGGCGGAAATTGCCAAGGAAATGATAACTACCAAAGAAAAACTGGTTGAAAAGTTAATAAATGTTTGGCATCACAATCCCAAATAAAAAGAAAGTGCTAAACAGTGTATCGAAAGTATGCCGAGGCGGATTCAAGCACTGATAGAAGCAAAAGGAAATGTGACAAAATATTGATAATTTCCCATCATAGTACTTATTATACTTGTTTACATTTTCAAGTTGTTTAAATATTAAATTATTGTATTCTAAATTCATTAAAGATATGTATCTAATATTATTAAATATAATCATAGCCTAAAGTGACGTTTTGAATTAATTATGGACCAATATTTTACAAAAAACCAATATTTCGTGACTGTCCCTATTAATTTGGCAACCCACTGTATTTTATTACTGGTCTGATGATTGGGCAACAAGTTATATAGAGTCAAAGCAATATACATGAGAACTAGCAACCCCATGGCTAGCGCTACACCCTGTCAAGTCAACCTCCACGTGGTTCCCACTGGAAACCTTTGTGACAAATTTTTTATGCTTTCCAGGGTACCGCGTGGAGGTTGACTTGATATGGGCATATTGCTAGCGATGGAGTTATTAGACCCAATTACTAACAATTCCTTTCCACCTTTTACATGTTGGATTAATTATATTTACGTCATCCTCACCTATCATCCCTCACCGGTGCCCCGCCAGTGTATACCGTTAGCGCAGGCGGGGTTACCATTACATTATCACCAATTAAAAAACTGTGCTCTAACAAATTAAGAAAAAAGAAACAGCTTATATCTATAGAGGAATGCATATAAATAATGTTTAAACACGAACACTCGTAGGCCCAACGTTAACACCTTGGTACACGCCACGTAAAGGTAGTACACCCACTGCGATATCGCCAAGTCTTTGAGATATTGTATTTGGGCCGACAGCTAGGAGAAGGAGAAGTAAAGGCCCACGCACATGAGCACGCCGAGGACTAAGAACACCATGACCAGTATGAACCGGTCCTGCAGGGCGCGGATTATCATTGAGTTCATAAGCCGCGACGAACGGTTCAGCTGCTCGTCGGTCTCGCGTAACTGAAAATTACGTTCCACATTTAAATATTCAAACAAAAAAAAAAATTATACAAATAAGTGACTTAGGTGTGACGTTTGTGAAAAATTGAATTCAAACGAAATTTAACAGAAAAATATAGAAGTCTATTTAATTTTTTTTTTAATTCAATTTTGATATTTGCTTAAATTTATTTTATGATATCTATGATACAAGTACTGTTCACATCTATAGGCAGCATTTGCCATTTTCTACCAAATCAGTTACAGTCTGCTTGTTTGTTATTTCAAGTTATATAAAAAAAATTAAATTTATTGGGCACATAGGTATGCAAACCCGACTTCCTAAGCCACTGTAGTTTCTGACCAGTATCCTCTCGACAACTGCAGTGTCCAAAATGAAATAAAGATTTCATCTCATCAACAACATATCATTTTCCTTAACCTAATTAAAACAGTTGCTTAATAAGTTTTAAGAAATAAATGAGACCGAAGTTTTTTTTAATAGATGATAATGGAATGGTAACCCCGCCTGAGCTACCGGTATACACTGGCGGGGCATTAGTGAGGGATGAAGCAGGTCAGTTAGCCAATCCTGACAAATTCACTAATGAATCAATCACGATGGTTTCCAGGGAGAACCGCGAGGAGGTCGACCTGATAGAGGATATTGCTGGTAATAGGTTTGTTCATTCCTATTACTAACAATCCCTTTCCTCCTTAGACAGAAGTATTTAAGCTGGTATTTTTGTCTCGGTCTGTGACACATTCAATAATAACAATAAAGCAATCTTCATAGTCTGAACTGGTATAATATGTTATACAGTAAAAATCTCTCACCCGTCCTCTAGACCTTTGTATAGTTTCCCTTTGCCCACTGAGGTCCTGCAACACGGCCGCTCCAATCTGCTCCGTCTCCAGTATTACCCGGTAGCCTTCAGTCAGATTCTTGCCGGTGCGTTCCAGCCGCTCTGTATTGTCTAATAACTTCCTGCGCTGTTCGTTGGCACCACTCCAGTCATCGTATGTTTCTTCGGATTCCAAATTATCTGAAGAAAGAGGTTTTATTTTCATTGATAAAAAAAAATACTGACAACTGTAATTCCTAATAGGCTATTGGAAAAAATTAGGATATTTTGGTAATTGGGAAATAAGAGATTGGAAGGCTATGTTTTATCCTGGTCATGCAGATGAGATCTTAAAGAAACACTAATAAATCAATTTGGAGGGTGGGATATGGCGTGAATTTACTGGGTACAGAGGAATAACACCTGAGTCCTCAGGAAAGGCAACGCATGGGGGGTATCATGGGCGAAACAGTATACTCCGTTGTGTCCATGGTACTACTCATGTCTATAGGAGACGGTTACCACTTTTCATCAGATGGGCCGTCAGCTTGTTTGCCATTCTAAGTTGTATAAAAAAAATATGAAAATACTTTATAATATAGTTTTCTAAACTCAGAATTTCTGATGCATAAAAATGTAGTCATTCCTAGTTTGAACTGTAAGGTGTGAATTTATAATGGAATTATGAGATACAGTAATAATAGCAAATGCAATAATTTAAGTAGGTACACATTAACAAAATAATCAGGTATCAAAAACAATTTAAGTTTTTATCCAGAGAAAGTTCAAACAGATGCTCATATATATACATCTCTCTTTTCATTTAAGAGTTTCCTCTTGTTGGTGCAACTAATTCATGCATCTTCCTCCAGCCAGCCCTATCCCAGGCCATATCCTTTATCTCCCTATACGATATGACTATAGGGAGATAAAGGATATAAATACATACACAATTCTAATTCACTCTTAATTAAAAATACTCAAATATATTTAAAATAAAAATTTTTATTCTTTAATATGGTTAAACCGGTTTTTTTTTTCTCGTTTTCGAATCCATCGTGATTTAATGTACAACAGTTTCCCACTCTCGTAATTTAGAAGTTCATCTATAATTTATCGATATTAAAGTAAATAAGAAATATTTATTATATATTTTAACAATATATGGTATGGTAGAAAAGATTTCCGACAGGAATATTTGTTGTTTGTTAGGGATCTAAATGCCTACCTGCCGTGAAATAAAGATTCAAAATTAGATTGGTAAGACATATTCTTTCTTTTTATTTTTATACAATCCCTTTATTTTGTAGTAAATTATTAATTATCCGTTTTTAAAATACTTTCCTTTCGTAATTGACATTTACGAAAGAAATTCACATTCAAACAAGAAATAAAAATACTTACATGAGGATGAATTGTTGAGAACAGAACGGTATTCGTCGCGAACACGCTGAAGCTCAGCGCGGTAGGCACCGACGCGAGATCCCGCACCCGCCCCACGGGATTCTAACTCTAATTGTTCTAACTGAAAAATTTAAATATTTTCTTTTAGCATGTAATTAAATTGGTGGCACACGAGGAGTTTAATTCCGCAACACAGTGTACTGAATTTTTTTTTATTTACAACTTAGAATGGCAAACGAACTGAAGCCCCACCTGATGGAAAGTGGTAACTGTCGCCTATAGACATAAGCAGTACCATGGACATAACAGAGTATACTGTTTCACCCATGATAACCCCCATGTGTTGCCATTCCTGAGGACTCAGGAATTAGAAGCCAAATTTAAAATAAACCAATAATCGTTTGATAAATCTAATGTTTTTCGATTTATATTATACAAAGAACATTGTTGTGAAAATCATATTCTTCAAGTTATACTGAAAAATATAAGAGAAACAAATAATCTTGTTATACAAAAATTTTTTCTTTCTATACAACTTTTAATTAGTTAAATATATATATATATATATATATATATATATATATATATATATATATATATATATATATATATATATAGGTGATAAACATTATCTGATGTTTCTTTATTCTTCTTCTTTACCTAAAGATATGAACAGTATACATTATAAATAAATGTGCAATTAAAAAGCATTTATTTTATTTTTTTACTTAGAATGCCAAACAAGCCAAAGACCCACCTTATGGAAAGTGGTAACAGGTCTTATTGATAAATAAACAATAGAAATAAACAATAGAAATGTGCAGAAAAAATTAATTGAAAATGTAATATAATAGACCTAAATACATATATATTTGTATATATTTAACTATCACACATAGTGTTTCTAATAAAATGGGCTCAAACTTTATATGCGTTATAATACAATTCTTTATATGCAAAATACAAGGGGAAAATCCGATGTAAACCACTAGCATTGGGATTTTCAAATACCTTTATATATATATATATATAAAAATTGAAAATGTAAAATAGAACAAATTGTGCTATACCTAAACAATTAATTTTTTTAAAGATAAGATTAGCTGTTCCTTTGTGTTGGTGTTCCTTGTATTTTGATACTAAACTAATTTATTATTTTTAAAGAATATTTTTGTTGTTAAACTACACTCCTCGCAAAAATTAAGGGAACATAAAAATTATTGAAATTTTTGGGTAATTTTCAACAGGCTGTATTTCAGTGAAAAATAATCGTACAGGAAATTTAAAAAAAGGGTTTTGAAGCTTGAAAACTCTAGTTTTCAGATTTTTTGGTGAAAAAATTTTTTGAGCTCCGGTTTCCATGCAATTCTTAAACAAAGCTGAAAATAATTTTTTTCTAAATTTTATAGGTTTTATTTTTCACTCTATGGGCATGGAAAAATTTTTTCGAGCTACTCCATTGTATAGGTCTCTTAGCGTGTTTATTCAGCTTCAAAAATCGCTTTGGATGGCTCAATTACGACCATTTGTCTCCGAGATATCGAACTTTGAATGCAAAAGCATCCTTTTCCATTCAACTGCTAATATCTCTGGAACTACTGGTCGCACAGCAAGCGGGCGCCGAGTTTCTTTATCTGCATAAAATTTTCTTGATTTTTTTCGATTTTTTTTTGATAATGAATTTTTAAAAAACAAAAAATTGAGTAAAAAGTGAAAAACAAATGAAATTATTGATTTTTGAATGGATTAGGGTGAGTTTAAGGGACAAAAACCTTGTTCCCTTATTTTTTCCAAAATTTCAATCAATTGGTCCGGGAAAAACCGTTGAACCGATCGCTCCAGGGATTTGGGGGTTCTTTAAGGAACAATAGACTGTAAAATTTTCCTCAAACCTTAGCTTTCCCGCCCATATTAGCGAAGATACAGCCAAGTAACCAAAAAAGGAGAAAAAGTCACTTTTTTCCACTTTTTTCAATTCAATGTTAGAGGTGGAAAAAAAATTTTTCTTCACTAACTCTTGACTGTGCTTAATTGGAAATTTTATGCAGATAAAGAAACTCGGCGCCCGCTTGCTGTGCGACCAGTAGTTCCAGAGATATTAGCAGTTGAATGGAAAAGGATGCTTTTGCATTCAAAGTTCGATATCTCGGAGACAAATGGTCGTAATTGAGCCATCCAAAGCGATTTTTGAAGCTGAATAAACACGCTAAGAGACCTATACAATGGAGTAGCTCGAAAAAATTTTTCCATGCCCATAGAGTGAAAAACAAAACCTAGAAAATTTAGAAAAAAATTATTTTCAGCTTTATTTAAGAATTGCATAGAAACCGGAGCTCAAAAAATTTTTTCACCAAAAAATCTGAAAACTAGAGTTTTCAAGCTTCAAAACCCTTTTTTTAAATTTCCTGTACGATTATTTTTCACTGAAATACAGCCTGTTGAAAATCACCCAAAAATTTCAAAAAATTTTATGTTCCCTTAATTTTTGCGAGGAGTGTATATACACATTATTTACAACTCTATGTGTATTTATGTTTTTAGTAAATTACTTTATTGTAGGTTTTGTTTTTTTCAATCCTGTAAATATATGTATTATCACTATTACAGCCATTAACTGTCCACTGCTGAACATAAGCCTTCCCCATAAAAGAAATGTTGTCAATAGTTGCCATGTTTGGCAGGCAGGTTGGCAACTGTAGTTAAGCTTTCAGAGATGTTTTAAGAGGGGCACTGCTACCTATTATCTAACTACATAAACTTCTATTGTATCAAATATGTTTCAGTACTTGTTGACTATTTTTATTTTAAAAAACTACTATAATTTTGGAACGATTACACCAGAATAAATGAAAAAAAAAGTTAACAATTGAAAATATAAAAGAGAACAAGCACATAATGGGCAATGGATAAACAATTAAAAATGATTGACTGTTATTTTTTTACATCACTGGCTTCCACTTTTTTTAATGTTTTGTTAGCTATACCATAGAGTACTAGATGAATAAACAATAATTAAAAGTAGATATTATTTTGATAAATTATATGAAATCTTCCACACTGCAATAAATAGATAATTTCTTTATGCAACTTGGAATGGAAAACAAGTTGACAACTATCAACATACTGTGACATCCATATCTCCAAACTGGAGGACTAAAATGTTATCTTCACATTAAGACAGAAATACCAGTGGGACAGAGTTCGCCAAGCTGTGGTTTTTTATACAAAAAAATGCAATCTTACCAAGTCATTGGCTTCTTCAAAATTCGCTTGAATCTCTCTTGTCAACTGATCACGGTTATCTAAACACAGAAGATGATCAATAGAATGCCTTGTGCATATATTCATTGAAACTCTTTATCAAAATAAAACTTACCCTCGTTTCCCGATTTCAAACGGCCAATTTTAGCTGTAATATCAGCTGTAAGCACTGAATATTGTTGTTCGTATGACTGAATTAAGGTAGCCATTTTTTAGTTCCTATCTTAAATCAATAAACTACATTAATATTACGCACAAAGGAAACTGTAAATTCTATAAAATAACATATCAAAATTTTATTCAAGAAATTATTTTAAGAATATGATATAGATCCGTAATTTATTGATTTGATTGATTGAAATAGAATGACATCTTGAATTCAGAGATGTCATGTCAACGTCATCCTAGATGATATGTCACCGTTTTTGAGCACATTATATCATAGACGTAGAATAAGTATAGATCTGTCACTTGAAGGTGTTAGTGAATACACGTTTTTTGTTGGAATCTTTATTATTTAGTGTTATATTGTGTTGAGAATCCTTATATTTATTTCATTTTGTCCTGTGTTTGTCCTATTTTCTTAGTGGTGTGTGGTAAGTAGTTTCTTATGTGTATATTCGCTCCACCTCCGTAATTATGGAGGTGAGCGGTGATGAGGATCCTCCCGATATAGGAGGTATACCTATAGAACCTATCGATGATGGCTTGGAGCCCTCTCAATCCCTGGTAGGTAATACAAGGAAAAGACGAGCGTCTTTGGATCTTGACAATAGGGATGGGAAAAAAACTAATCCACCCTCAGAATCAATACAATTTGTTTACACCAGACCAGGTTTTGAGAGTGACTCAAAAGCAAAGTATAATCCCCAGGATGCGGCTCCTTATTCCGTACATGTAACAAGAATAGAACCCGATGTTTCAACTGGATTGTCAATAAAACTATTAAGATTTGCGCAGTTCTTACACAAAAATAAAATCACAGGAATCAGGAAGGGGGGTATCAAAGCATTAGGTCGTAATAGGATATCTGTTGAATTTAAAAATCATTTAGAAGCCAACAATTTTGTTGAAAATCCACTCCTTACAGATAATAAATACTCTGCTAGCATCCCAAGATTCCAAATCTCCCGAATGGGGGTTGTTCGTAATATACCTAATGACTGGTCCCTTGAGGAACTGGTCCAAAATATCGATACTCCTCCTAATTGTGGACAAGTGATAAGAGCTAGACGATTAAATGTCAAATCTCATAAACCGGACAACTCAGTCACTTGGATTCCCTCATCTTCAGTTGTATTGACTTTTGAAGGGCAGGTTCTTCCAGAAAAAGTTTATTGTTTTGATACCTCTCTCCCGGTTCTGCTATATAGGTTACCTCTTATTCAATGCAGAAATTGCTGTAGGTTTGGCCATATTCGTACTCAGTGTCGATCTAAACCTAGATGTTATTATTGTGGTGCTCAACATGCAGGTGATGCATGTGATAAAAGTAAGGAACAACCACATTGCATACTCTGTGACAGTGATAATCATGCAGCTACAGAGTCGGTGTGTCCCGAACATGCAAGACAAAAAAGTATAAAAATTGTAATGGCTGAAGAAAATATAAGCCACATGGAGGCATCTGTCCGATTTCCTTCTGTAAAGCGGTCATATGCTGATGTAACATCGACTCAACAAAATTTACACCAACCTCAAACCTCTCATCCTCCAAACTATCAATTCTCAGTTACATCATCTCCATCCTCATCACCCAGAAAATCATATCGTGAAACAGTCCTTTTAACTCCCCGACCTCGTCCCCCCATGGGTAAATCGTATGACATATCTGCACATAATAATATTACTCAGACACCCAAATCCTCTCAACCTAATGGTTGTGCTGCTATAGGCCAACAAAAATATGAGGAAACAACTCCTCTCCCTACCCCAAATGACAATCTTGTGGAACTTCTTGTTTGTACCCTCATTAACATTATATCAAAATTTTCAGATGCATTACCGAACAATGTCCAACAATTACTGCAGCTCCTCCTCTCCTCCTTCTTAAAAAATGACCCTAAACCTCCTACAATGGAATACTAGGAGTATCTTAAATAAAAAACATGATCTTATATATTTACTCAATAAATTTAAACCAGTGGCATTTGCCATCTCGGAGACATGGTTAAGACCTGGCACTACATTCAGAGTGCCTGGCTACTCATGCCTCCGGGATGACAGAGCCGACGGATGGGCGGGTTCCGCTCTTCTGGTTACAAAATCTACTACATTCTCCCAAATCCCCATCCCCTCACACAGTCCAGAATTTCAAATAGTAGCAGTCAAAACCTTTGGTATTACCTTAGTCTCTATTTATATCCCTCATCCAAATCAATCCATACTCTCTGAGCTTCAGTCACTCCTATCGACTCTCTGTCCTCCTTTTATTATCATGGGAGATTTTAACTGCCATCACACATTATGGGGCTCACAATCCACTGACACAGTTTCCACATACTTGTTAGATCTACTCGACGACATTGACCTCTGCGTGCTGAATGATGGATCTAGTACCCGTAGAGTATCCCCTCTTCAAAACCCCAGCTGTCCTGATTTAACACTTGCATCCCCTACCCTAGTCACTAAACTTACATGGCAAGTCCTACCTAATTCATATGGTAGTGACCATCTTCCTATCTTAATTACATTCTATAATACTTATTCCAAACCTACGTCTGTCCCCAGTCCACTTCTAAAATATAAAACAGATAAAGCTGATTGGCATAAATTCTCCAGTCTTTTAGAAAATAAATTTTGTTCCCTCCCTGCCATAAGTATAAATAATTTTCATGAAACCTACAATAATTTTGTTACTTTTTTAACATCAGCAGCTAATGATTCGATCCCCCTTAAAAATTCTACTCTTAACAAAATCCCTTCCCCCCCTTGGAGGCTGAAAGAACTTATTTATCAAACTTGACGATGGATAATTACCTCTCCTATCGTAAGATAGCTGCTCGCACAAAGAGACTGCTCTCCAAGAAAAAATCTTCAGGATGGCATAGGTTTTGTGAATCCTTATCTCCAAGAACCTCCCCCTCTCTTGTATGGAATAAAATCAATTCATTTCGCAATGGAACTATTAATCATAATTTAACATCGAATAATCCCTCGTTATGGGTAGATGCTTTTTTTGATAGGCTTGCTCCACCTTTTGTCCCCTCAGAAGATTCCCTTCCTTATGCAACTCCTCCAACTTCTAGTGGTGACAGAATGGATGAACCATTCTCGTTACCAGAATTGATTTGCGCCCTTGATCATCTCCATGACTCCTCTCCAGGAATTGACGGCATCCCATATTCTTTTATATGTAATCTACCCATGTCAGGTAAAAAATACTTTCTGGATATTATTAATTGTGTCTTCTTATCTGGAATAGTACCTGAATCTTGGAAATCCCAAATTATAGTTCCCATCTTAAAACCCCAAAAAGATCCTAACGATCCAAATTCTTACAGACCGATTGCCCTATCTTCGGCCTTGGCAAAAATTCTAGAAATTCTCATTAAACATAGACTTGAATGGATTTTAGAAAGTAAAGGTTTATTATCCAAATTACAATTTGGATTTAGACGTGGCATGGGTACTACAGATAGCCTTAGTGTCCTTATTTCGGAAATACGCCTTGCTTTCTCCTGCAATGAACACCTCATAGGAATTTTCCTTGATATCTCGTCTGCGTATGACAATGTCCAGCTTCCAATACTCAGGCAAAAGCTGCAAAATCTGAGTATTCCTGTGAGACTGACTACTATCATATGTAATCTCTTAATGGCTAGATCGATTTCCTTGCGTGTTAATGGCTCTCTTTTTCCTTCAAGACTGGTCTGGAAAGGTCTCCCACAGGGCTCTGTCCTTAGTCCCCTTTTATATAATATCTATACATCTGACCTTGAATCCTCCGTTACTTGTTTCTGCAAAATCCTACAATATGCGGATGACATTGCTATGTATATCGCCTCAGATTCCTTTTCTGACTCCTCTTCCCGCCTAAATTCCGCGTTATATTACCTCAATCAGTGGCTAGATGATCATGGGCTAACACTTTCTATACCAAAGTGCTCAGCGGTCGTTTTTAGCCGCAAGAGACAAATCCCCGTTATTGAACTCTCTCTAAATAACGAACCTATCTTAGTACAAGATAAAGTAAAATTTTTGGGTGTTATCCTGGACTCAAAATTAACAGGCCTGCATCATTTAAGCTACGTAGTAAATAAATGCGAAAGTAGTATTAATATCTTAAAAGCCCTTTCTGGTGTACGTTGGGGTTCTCATCCATATAGCCAAAAACTCTTATATAATGCTATTATCCGAAGTCACTTTGACTATGGCTCATTTCTGTTAGAACCTTGCAACAAAATTGCTCTAGCTAAATTTGACAGAGTTCAAACTAGGTGCTTACGTATAATTATTGGTGCAATGAAGTCATCTCCAGCAAACGCTCTGCAAGTCGAATGTCTAGATCCCCCTCTCCATCTACGTAGACAATATCTCTCAGACCGCTTTTACCTCAATATTGCTCAATATAACTCCCATCCTCTCCTTCCTATCTTAGAGTCTCTCTCAGAACAAATAAACCTATCAAGTTACTGGACCCATAAAGAACCCCCTCCCATCCTTAAGAGCTTTACCAAGTACAAAAACCCGATCTCACTTATTAAAAAAATAGACCGTAACCCTCTTTTCGAATTTGATTATGATTCTCTAATTTATCGTCCTAATGTAATTCTAGATTTTGGATTAGTAAAACATTTACCTTTTGCTAATCAAAAGTTTCATAAACTAATCAAAAATGTCATAATATAAAATACACGGAGTCTTCTCTAACCCTGACATTGGCAGAAAATCACCGTTGCTTCTACGGTGGAAGCCATATTTTAAAAAAGAAGAAGAAGAAGAAGAATAAGTATAACTTATGTACCGACTACCGACCCACTAAGGATCATATTAAACAAATAATGATAGTACAAAAACCTGTACCTACTTAGTGAAGGTCAAAGTCAGAGAGAAGCGTTTTATCTTTTTTATCTTACAAGTTACTACATGATGAAAATATAAACCGCTTTACACAAAGACATTGGATAAGTACTAGTAACCCAGTTCCCATTTAAGGTTTTATCGTTTATAAAGAGACACTTCATTATGAGTATTTATTTATTTATATATTCTTTACTACACCACTTATAGAGTAATAATAGAAAAAAATATATTTATTTTCTTTCAACTTTATTTGTTAAATTTCTTATTTATGAATAAATTTTATCTCAATAAATGGGTCCAATGGATATATTCTATTCTACTAAAATTATAGATTGTCAAAAGGCTATATCAGGGATCCAGCCTTTTTTATAAAGTTAAACAAATAGCAACATTAGGTATATCTGTAAGCTTCAATCAACCGTTTACGAATGCCTTTCGCTGTTGTTTCTGTACTTAGTGCTTTCTCTGAGGCTTGTGTTTCTGCTTGTTTTTTATCTGTTTGTTTCATTCATTTTTCGTTTGTTCTAAATTGTATTTGTTCACTTATGTTTGAATTAATTAAAACTTTTATTTTTGGAAATTTCTGTGCAATGTATCATTTTCCTAAAATGTATATTTTATTTTAATAAATTTATGAAGAAACATTTGTTGAATGATGAATTTTATTCAAGTCTAAATACCTTAATACTAAAGGTAAGTTATATATTTGTTTTAATTCATCAGTTTGAACTTGAAACTTGTAATATTAATTAAATTTATAGACAATCTCATTCTTTAATAAAAGCTTTAATGTGGTATAATGTTATGTATAATTTTTAATACATAATATTAGTTTATTCACTTTCCGTTTCAATGTACCTATGTTTGAACAAACTTATACAAGCTTATTGTTTGAATTCTCATTTGAATAAGATAATAGTTGACGGTTGATTCACACAATTCATACGTATAAGTAAATGCATGCATATTTATGTTAATGATGTTTTGATTTCACTCTTCTGAAAATTGTAGTACTTGATCTATAATTGTATCCGGTATACTATTTTTTTATGATAGTTATATCTTCAATATATTAGAGTTAGACGCTTGTTTAATTGTACCTACATTTATAATTCTGACCACTCCTTCATCTTGTGAATTTCTCGTAATGATTCATTATGAATATTTATTATGGTAATCACAATCGCTCTTGCATCAAATAAGGTGAATCACTTACAGCTATTTAATATTGGCAATAGTTAGAGCCACTTTTCATATATAGTAGTAAATGACAAAGTATTTTATTGTTTTTTTTTTATTTTCCACTTACAGGCTTTTAGTAAGGATTACTTAGATGATAACTGATTTTTATAATGTTATAAACTGAGAATCTTGGGGGAAACTACTATGTTTGTCATATTACTTCACCTTCCAATGATCACTGCTTTGATCACCACATAATACAAACATTAGTATGTATTAATAATGAGTTTTGTTCATTAGTATGTAAATTTAAAGCCTATAAAATCAAAGGCAGCTAAACACCATAGAATCGATTTCATTTTCACTCTATATTCAAATATAGAAGGAGTTCTAATAATTAAAATTCAAATTATTACTAATATATTTTTTTTTAAACTGGTTTAAAATATAGAATATCAGTTCATATCAGACAAAATATTAGTTTTTATAGTTTTCTGAACATTGGACAGATTTGGATTTAGCTGTTTTTAATTTTATAGGACTCATTTGTATTGGTTTGAGAGATTTCTATGTACATATTAAAAACAAACTTAAGTATGTCTTGTCTACTGAACAAGTACAAGTACTAAACAATGGATAGACATCCATTGTTTAGTGCCATAGTACAAGCTCTACTTATTTTGGTATTAATAGTACTATGTAATATGTTCAGGTGGTATTTATTATTTATTGAATTTCTAAATTTTTTTTTTTAGAATGATGCATCGCAATTATGATGAAGATTCAGGTCGTAGTTCCTGTTCTGCTGCTTCTATAGGACTCAGCCCTATTATGGACTACCATGATGTAAAATCGGATGATGCTTTAGATAAAGTAAAAAGACGACATTATTCTAAGGAGACCACTGGTACTAACACAGATTTAAAAGTAAGCACCCGTCCAAGAAGCTGTATAGCACTTCCTAAATCTCCAGACGAAAGAGACCCATTTCCGAGTTGTAAGCTTCAAAACAGAAATAGAAATGTCATATTTAATTATGGTGACTCCACCAGAATGGGAGGACTAAGCAATGCACACTCCACATTGGAAATAGCTTGCAGCACACAGATTGAGGAGCCTCAGATGCAAAACAATGCTGTCTCTATGGTGGCGATCGGTGCTGCTGAAAAACTTAGCAGAGGCAATCCTGTTCATTTCAATCCAAATGGTAGAAGAGGAAAGCCTGTCCAAAGAGCAGCTTCAAGGCTCTACAAGGCTGAGTGTGGATTTAAAGGCAAGGAATTTTGTATTGGGCCTGAATTCATTGTCAGAGCATCACAGGCTGTGAAACATATGGATCTAACTCTGTCTGCTTTATCTGAGAAGAGAGTAATCACAGTTGTCTTACTCAATGGGCAAAAAGTAGAAGTTGTGTGTGATCCACAATTAATAACAGCAGGACAGCTTTTTGAGGCTCTCGTCCACAGTGAAAAATATGAACAGAACTTCATGCTAGGTATTGCCGTTTTAATTGGTGGGGATTTTATATTCTTGCCAGATGATTATAAAATTAAAAAGATTGCTCCAGAAAGTTGGCATAAGAGTAATAATAAAAAAAATAAAGTAATAGATGAGAACAATACACTGACAGTTTTTTTAAGAATTAAGTTTTTCTTGCCTAAAAACATTGCTAATAATATACAAAGTGGAGAATGGGTGTATAGAGTTTATTTACAATTGAGGAGAGCAACAGTGGAAGGTCAAATGACTTCAACTATTCAGAATTTAATTTTACTAGCTGGATATGCATTGCATATTGAATTTGGAGAATTTTCATATAGAGAACATGGCACTGCTGATTATTTTTTGATGGAGCATTATTTACCAGAAAATATTATTACAAATGACATGGCAGATATCAAGTTGCGTATGAAACGGGCACACGAATCTCGGCATGGCCTAGACAGGAATAAAGCAATATTAAATTATATAACATTAGCTCAAACATTTCGTGATTATGGGGCACATTTTTACTCTGCAGTTTGGGCGACAAGGGATGGTTTTTGTAGAGATGTTTGGCTTTCTATTGGTCCAAGAGGTGTCACACTTTATTCTAGAAATAGTCATAATACAGAAGTGTCAGGGAATAGTACAGATCGTATTGTCTTGCAAAGCTTACCATGGCATCACATACACACTTTTTACTACAACAAAAAGAATTTGTATATAATACCAAATTCTTATTCGGGACTATCTAAAATCGGTATAAAATATAAACTAAAAATGACAGACAATAAAAGTTATTTTACATTTTGGTTAGCCTCTTTACACCACCGATTGTACCTGAAACTATATGCGAAAGATGACTTTATTTCTTACTTATCAGGTGAGAATTGTCCCATAAATAAAAGTGAAAGCCCAAAAAAATCTGATTGTAGTAACTATCAGGACAGCTATAATTTAGCTGTGAGAAATCCAGTTAGAGCTAGAAGACCTGTAAGAAGAAGATTCAAAATGGATATATTTGGAGAAAAAAGAGCACATAATAAAGAGAATGAAAAGCCAAACACAGAGGAATTATTAAGACAAATACTTTCACCATCATTGAATGAAGACAGCATGCATAATACTTCAAATCAAAATATACATGGCAACTCTTCTAATGATGGGTTATCATCATCCGAAAGTTGCAGTCTACCAAGAAGACAAGGTGTTAAGATGGGTACAAGGGTTTTTAATGGCATGAAAACAGCTGCTGGTAATAGGTATCATACTTCACCTATAAATAGATCTAATTATTGTACTAGGTCTGATTGTGACCTGACTACAACTCAGAGTGATTCAGATGATTTTAATTCAGAACAAAAACAGCATTGTAATGTAGACAGTATGAAATTATTACCAGAGAGACATTATAATCAAGATATGAGCAATTTACCAACTGCTTATGTTTTAGAATCTCCGAAAGTATACTCGGACGCTTTTAGTTATAATGGTGTTAGTAATGATTCTTGTTTAAATACTTCTTTATTTGAGAAGTTGGATAATATGGGCTGTGTACAAGGAGAAAGAATGTTTGTGACTGCAGTATTAGAAAGGGACCAAATGAACGCTTTGGGGTTGCAAGTAGCTGAAGGATCAGATGGTAATGTGTATATAAAATCTATAACACCTGGAAGTGCAGCAGATTTGTGCAAAAAACTTTTACCAGGCGATCAAATTATATCAGTGAATGGAAAGACTTTGCTTAATGTTAAGTATGAGAAAGCTTTAAAAATGTTGCAAACAGCTCCGCATAAGGTGGAACTGATAGTTTTGCAAAATGCAAATAAAAGTTCCAATGTTGAATACCAGTTGGATGCAGCAACTAACTTTGAGGAATCAAGTCAATGTAAATTAACAAATCATAGAAGTATAAGTCAAAGTATTGCTAGCGCGATTGATGTTGAAATCACTGATGACGAATTATTAAATGAGGAAGCCTTGAAGACTGTCTATGCTCTTATTAAGTTGACAAAGGAAAAGGTTATTAAAAGAATGAAAGACAACAGCAGACAAAACACACCGAATAGAAGCAATTTGCAGAAATGTTATTCAGAAAATAGAGTATATGAGGAATCTGACACGGGAGGTTCTTCACGGGAAATTACACCACACAAGCGAAACACTCAAAAGTTTAACACATGGCGAGGACAGTTTCCAAATGCAAGACCTAAACGACGACCTTTGAGTCTGAGTATTCCTACAGATGTAGATTTGACAGAAGACTATTTAAATGATGACCCAGGAGAAGCAATAATGAAAAGATCCTCAATGAAATCTATTCAGTCATCATTGAATAGCCTTGACAATAAGTCAGTGAAGAGTGGTTCTTCAAAAACTGTTCCTTTACCACGAAATTTTGGCCTTGGCAGGAAATGGTTGGGACCTGTTAAATATCCTGTGACTCCATGTAAGAGTACCACTGCTTCTGTCGAAACTAGTGCAATTACTGATGATGCTATAGTGAGAAGACATTTTATTTACGGTGGCGGTGACTCAGATGAAGATCAAATATTTTTATAATAAATAACAAAAAACATATACATATTATGTTGTACATATTATATGATAGTATATAGATTGTTATTATTAGACATTAATAAGAGAATTATTATTATTATATAAATAAATAACATTTATAATGCAAATATATTTTTATCTCAACTGAAGAAAAACCTTTTTAGAGATTTATTTACGTAATCTTCTGCAAGTGAGGTTAACCTATATTTGAACAGTTTTTTTTTTTTTATATTATAAAACAACTTTTAAAAATTTTTTTTTACCAGTGCAATAGTTTCAGAAGTAAAATCTATGCTTCAATAGTTAAATACTATTACGTAATTACATTGCATTACATTTATGAACGTATACTATGTACTTAATTAAAAAATAGGTACATAGTATGTTAGTACATATATATGCTATCTCAAAGATCTATAACTCCTGTAAAGTTTTCATTTGCCTCGCTTTTTAATAAGTACCGGCATCCACCCTAAATTACCTATGATCCATAGCAACAGGCAGATTTACATTCGTACCCATGATTCGTATAAAAAATCGTAAGTATTAATAAATACATTATTAATCTTGTTCAATCATAATAATGTGGATTATAACAATAAAATATATTATCTATGGTATTATTATCTATTTAGCGCCAATGAACATTGTACCTACCATCATAAATAATTCCCCCCCTCCTTCGATTTATCACAGACTATTTTGATAGTGGGTATGAATTTACTGATTACGTAACAATACTAACGCGATGTTATCTGCTACAACTGAACAAGTACTTATGTGCCATGTGAAATACATCGCGAGATAGTTTCGTTCACATCTATTCACTTATATTTTATAGGTATTTACTTACAAAGAACTTTCGTTTTCGCTGTGGAGAAAATTACCGTCACTATGACCGTTTTTTCACATGTATATATTCATGTAGTGTTGGTAATCGTTGGTTCATTGCTTTGATCAGATATTTAGGTTTTAATTTGATCGTATTTTTTTATGGGATGAAAATAGTGAGATACGGATGAGTGGTGATAAACGAGGATGCAATCGGGTCAGTTGACTCGTCGTAACTTACCAAGAATCAACCAAAATGGTTATCAAGAAACCACGTGTTCGACCTGATAGCGACCTAATGACGCTCGTCCCATTTTTCCCCTGTCCTTGAGTTTTAACAATTTTTTTTAATTGATGATAATAGAATGGTAACCCCGCCTTCGCTGTAGGTATACGCTGACGGAGTACCAGTGAAAGATGATAGGTGAAAATGACAGCAGGTCAGTTGACCCATTGCGACAAGTTCAAATAGAATTAGTGTGTGTCCCCAGGGACCACGTGGAGGTCGATCTGACAGAGTATATTGCTAGCAATGCGACTGGTAGTCCACATTATTGACAATCCTTTTCCCCTAGATTTATCAATTTATAATAAGTAGGTTAAAGGTACGGTCAGTTTTCACCTAAGGTATACAGGTAATATCACGCTTGTCTACCATTGGAGTAAGCAGAAACGATAGTACACCTTTACATTTATCAATTTATTACTTAGTATCACTTAACATAGCCAAAGATAGTTAGGGGTATATATTTATTTATTTATTCATTAGTACAAATATGTATACATGGCGGATTTAATGCTAAAAGCATTCTCTCCCAATCAACCATAGGGAAGTGTCAGAATACTCGAATACGCGGTACTAGTAATTATTGATATATATACATACTAAAATTACATATATAAACGAATAAATATATATATAAATAACAAATATACTTACACATATATAGCAGATACTATATTATACACGAAATTGAGAATAATATAAAGTACTTACTGCTCGGATAGAGTAAATAAGTGAACGTGAACGTTTTTTTTAAAGACGGTTTATTCGGTAGTCTCTTAATAGCAGCAGGAAGCGCATTCCAGAGTCGTGAAGAATATTGGAGAAAAGAATTTGAAGCGAAACCAGTACGGTGAGATAAGAAAGATAGTTGGAGAGTATTACTAGAACGAAGGTTACGATCGTAAGTTTCAAAAAGGTATATTCTGTGATTTAAACATTGAATTGTGTGATCATTTTCAAATATATTTACGCTAGGGCACTCACGTGGTAGGCAGAGAGAATCTACTTGTCATGATTATTTGTGAAGTTGTTTTATCAATATTATTTATAACTGCTGCTATTTGTAACTCACCAATCTATTTACGGATTTAAAATAGGTACCTATCTAATAAAATCTTTGATACATGTATTTATCTCTTACAAAAAATATAAGTTTTTTATGCAACTTAGAATGGCAAACACGTTGACAGCCCACCTTATGGAAAGTGGTAACCGTCACCTATAAACATGAGCAGTACTATATACATAACAGTGTATACTGTTTCGCCCATGGTACCCCCATGCGTTGCCATTCCTGAGGGCTCAGGTATTATTCCTTTGTATCCTGTAAATTCACTGCCATATCCCACCTTTCAAACCAAAACGTAACAATAACTGCTTCACGGTAGAAACACGAATGGGACAGAGGTGCCCAAGCAAACGACTTTTGTTAGTCTCCTTCTGATAAATATATAGGTATATTATTAAAAGGAATTGTTTCGATTCGTGATAATGAAGGCTATCAATGTGCTTTTAAAATAATCCTGTATATTCTATCTTTACACATACTTTCTTGCGTCGAGGGGTAGGAAAAGAGAACCTGAGTACTGGATTTTAGTATGAATATTATTGTCCCTTGATGTTTCAACGGCCTAATTTTAAATCTACTATATTATGATTATAATAGGTAGTAGCAACATCACTAAAATAAAAGCTCCTATTATCACCATTTCAGCCATCAATTGTTATACATAGATTTCGATGGCTACATGGCCGCTTTAAGGTACTGGATCACCTGCAATTAGCGTCAACATGCTAAAACTGGCATTTTTACTTAAAATTAATGAATTAATCATACTTTACCTATCATTAATTCTACTTTATAATTTCCACAGCTACTTGACTGTATTATATTTAGTAAAATAGTGTAATACCTAATTTCAGACATGGGATAGGTATAACACCTTACTCCCTAAGAGTAGTATTGCAACTTAGTATATTCTGTAATATCTAGTCATGTATAATAAATTCAGTGGTATAAAAGGTACAATTTGAAATTAAATACATTTATATTATAATAAATCATTATTTTATTATTAAAAATAACAATATGCTCGCATACTCAAGCAAACATTAAAACTAAATAATTCTACTATCTTTGTAACACAATCAGACTTAATAATATATGAAACTACTCATTCACACAAGGGTGATAGTAAAGATCATTGCAATCCCCAACAATATGTCACACTGGAGTTCCTTATACACTAAATGCACAAACAGTCAGGTCCATTCTCTTTACATCATACCACCCATGCCTCCCATACCACCCATTCCTCCCATGCCAGCCATGGGGTTAGGCTCCTTTTCTTGTGGAATTTCACAGATCACGGCTTCCGCTGTGGTGAGTAATGAGGCAACTCCACTGGCATCAGTGAGGGCCGTTCGCACAACCTTTGTGGGATCAATGATCCCTTTCTCAATCATGTTCACATACTCATTATTGAGTGCATCATAACCAAATTCAGGTCCCAGATCTTCTACTTTGGCAACAACAACTGACCCATCAATACCAGCATTGCGTGCAATCGTCATGCATGGCATCTTTAGAGCCTTCCTCACAATTTCAACTCCAGTCGCCTGGTCATTGTTGGAGGTTGAAAGCTTTTCAAGCTCTGGAATACATCTGAGTAAAGCAGAACCACCTCCGGGAACAATGCCTTCTTCGACTGCAGCCCTTGTGGCGTTCAGGGCGTCGTTGACACGATCCTTTTTCTCATTCACCTCCACCTCGCTAGAGCCTCCAACATGCAAAACAGCCACACCAGAAGCTAACCTAGCAAGTCGCTCCTGCAGTTTCTCCTTCTCATACTCAGAATTAGTCTCTTGGATTTGATCACGGATCTGCTCCGCTCTCCTATCAATATCAGCCTTCTTGCCCTTACCTTTCAAAAGCAGAGTGTCATCTTTTGTGATGATAACCTCACCAACTTGGCCCAGGTCAGATGGCTGTACATCTTCCAGCTTAATGAGGTTAGCATCATCTCCAAATACAACACCACCAGTAGCAATGGCCATATCACTAAGGGTGGATTTGCGGTTGTCTCCAAAACCTGGAGCTTTAACAGCTGCCACTTGCAGACCAATTTTCAGTCTGTTTACAACAAGAGTTGAAAGTGCCTCACCATCAACGTCTTCAGCGATAATAACCAAAGGTTTCCTTTGCTGATTGGCCAATTCCAATGCAGGAATAATAGTTTGTACATTGCTAATTTTCTTTTCAGAAAACAAGACTAAAGCATCTTGAAACTCTACTTTAGCTCCCTTTGATGAGTTGATGAAATATGGTGAAATATAACCTCTATCGAACTTCATACCTTCAATGATCTCTAGTTCGTCAGTGAGAGTTTTGCCATCTTTTACCGTGATCACACCATCTCTGCCTACCTTCTTCATGGCGTCGGCGATGAGCTGACCGATGGCGACATCACCGTTCGCAGAAATCGTAGCGACCTGCGCGATCTCCTCAGGCGTTGTTACGGGCTTCGACATTTTCTTTAACTTCTCTTTCACGGTGTCTACGGCTAGCATTACTCCTCTTCTTATTTCAATAGGGTTAGCGCCCTTCGATATCTTCTCGAATCCCTCTTTGGCAATTGCTCGTGCAAGGACCGTAGCCGTGGTTGTACCATCGCCAGCTTCTTCATTTGTGTTATTGGCAACGTTCTGAACCAATTTTGCACCTATATTCTGGAATTTGTCCTTTAGTTCGACACCCTTGGCGACTGTCACTCCGTCTTTCGTAATCTTCGGTGAACCCCAAGACTGTTCTAAAATAACATTTCTGCCTTTGGGACCCATTGTAACGGCGACAGCATCTGCGAGAACGTCTACACCCTGCAACATGAGGGCTCTTACATCAGCACCAAATCTCACATCTTTGGCGTAAAATCTTGCAATTTGATGAGACTTGTGAAGTGAGAACGTTTGACGGACAGCACGAGGCAAACGAAGCATTTTTAATTTGATTGGAATGGTTAAACGGAGTAATAATTAATATTTCAAACTTTATTTCTCGAAAATTCTCTTATTGGAAACTTGGTTTCGTAAAACGTGATCTATTGCCGGTTATAGGTTATATAGGAAACAAGAAAGAAGCTAGAACCGACCAACCTCACTCAAATCAAATACTAAAAAGGTTTAATAAAAGGCAACACTAGATAAATGTTACCAGTATTTTAAAATCAAAAGTTACATTTTGTTACTTGAACGGTACATTTTTCTATAATTGAAGTTGTTAACTGAGGAGTAAAAATATCTTATGCTTACCTCTATCTCAAATACTACTATAAAATCTAAAAGTAAATTTTGAGACGTTTATTTGTTTTATTATTATTTTATTCTGTTGCCTCGTTTGAACAAAAACTTAAGATATTTCTGCTAGAAAACCAAATTTCCAACACGTAATTAGTCGTGTTCTTTATGCAATTTATTCATCTCTATATGTGCTTATTCATACTATTAGATATATATTTGCCATTAATAATTTATGATTTATGTATGTACATATACTTACGTTGTCCCACATTAAATTATAAATATTGCATATTATATTAATATAATATGTAATAATTGTATTAATATTGCAAAAATACTGCATAATTGATATACTAATAAATAGTTATATGTATATATATGTCTACTCGGTAGTACCATCTACCATTATTTATACAGAAAATCAACGATTAGGTGTTACGTATGAATGCCTACACACTTACCTGAGTGGTAACTATTTTGGTCGCATAATTCCAAATTTTTTTTGCCTGGTGAAAATGGTATAGTAACCCCGCCTGCGCTAACGGAATACGCTGGCGGAGCACCAGTGAAGGGTGATAGATGAGAATGAAAACAGGCCGGTTAGCCCATCATGATGAATTTATCAGGAATTAACCATGATAGTTTCCAGGGAGAACCGCGAGGAGGTCGACCTGGTTGGGTATATTGCTAGCAATAGGATTCTCAGTCTCCATTACTAACAATCCCTTTCCCCCTATAATTACTAATTAGGTGTAAGTTTATTTTTGTATTTCCTTTTTCGTTACAATTGAATGAATGAATGGTTTCTCTTCACAAAAGGTAGTATGAAGTAACAATTTGAGGTACAATTAGATATGTAAGTTCAATTTTGTGAGAGACTGGTGCTTGCAGTAGGTTTTGAAGAACCTATGTTATAAGTCATCAGTGCCCTATCTCCTTGGACTACACAAATACAAGGCAACTAATTAGTGTTATAATACACAAATGACAATAATGAGATATGAAGTGCGAGAATAAACTTGACATTAAAACTTATTTCTAAACTTATATAATTTAATTGTTTATGTTGTAATTGTTATTGATATACACCAAATAAATATTGTTCTTTCTTTCTTATTAAGACACCAATAAACAAAACTTTCACATTTGTGACATTTATAAGGGTTTAGTTTATAACGAACGATAAGTGACAAATTCCCTTATATTTAAGTGCAACTTGCATATCTATAACATAAACATTACCTAATTAGATATATTTTACCTAATTAGATAAATTTTATAGCGTCATCGCTATAATATATAATAATAATTTTATTGCGTATAGTTAAAAGTTCTGCTCCTACCTTTGAGATTGGTGCCCACCAAATACTACTGGGGTGAGTGTGGTCCAGTATAATTTATAAAGAATAGTTAATAATTATTACAATTCAACACTATTGTTAAAAAAAAATAGTTATAAAAATTGGACGGTATGAACCAAAGTTAGTACATTTAAAGAAAATATCAGTAGATTTACGAAAGTTACGAAATATGTACAAAATGTTCATAACCTGGTAACACTCACTGTTAGCTATCTTTAAATAAGGTTATCTTAGACGATGAAGGAATAATCTAGAATGTGGAGAATTTACTGCACTCCAAGATAACCTTCATTCATTCGCGCGAACATTTTAAACCCGTATTTAAATTATCCAATGTACGTTGTTTAACTTATGGCGTGTTTAATTTAAATGTATATATTATAATAGCTGGCACCTTCGACTATAGCTAGCACATTATGATCTTTCTACAATTTTATTATTTTTTTTATTTCAATTTTTTTGATACATTAATATATAAAATAAAAGCTTTTTATTCTTTTATGGCATAATATTACTTTTTATCATGCATATTATTAGCATAATATTCTTTTCTATTTAATAGAAAAATGAAAAGAATAGTATTTCAATAAGTCATCATTAACGAGTGCAGAAAAACTAATTAAAAAAGTAAATAAAAAAATAAAAAAAAAAGTACTTGAATTTACATTATCTTCATAATTATTAATGTAGATAATGTACATTTGAGTACTTTTAGAATAAAATCAGTCGGGCAGTATTTAGTGCATTGCAATTAGGATAATGAAGTTTTTATACTATTTCGTAAATTAAATATTATTGTTACTTATTTAGATAACATGTTACGCCGACCCCAAATAATAATTTAGATAAGGGTAGAAAGGTGATGATTTAGATATTTTAATATAGAGGTCGATTCTCTCATATCATTATTTCCTTATCTCTAAAATTATAATTTTGATAGTTTAGCAAAACTATTACGGTTTATAATATAGAGTATTAAATGTAAAGCAGTTCTAAAGCAAACCTACTAAAAGTTTTATTTGTACACATTATATTTTAATGCAATAGCTAGTTGAGCTTTTTCCCTAATTCTTATTATAATAATTGCGCTATATTATTAAATTGGAATTTTATTTTTTGTGAAAAAATATATAAATTTTCAATTTATTATAATTTCTCATAATATGAGAAATATATATACTATAAATAATATATATACTGTAAATAATTCATATTATGAAAGATAAGATTTCCAACATAGATCGTTGACGGAGTTTTTATTAAAGAAAGAAGGCTGCATCACAATTATACTGTCAGTGGTTGGCGCTGTCAGTTTGATTAGTGTCAAAGCTGTCAGTTTAGTTCAGCCGTCTGTTGTCGTTCTGCTTGTAGTCACTTTCGTTTACTTTCCTTCATTCTTGTAGCCGCTTTAACAGATAGCACGCTTTTAAATTTCCATTAACGCGGAAAGCATGTGGTGATCGCTCGTGTGGACCGTGTGGAAAGTTCGCGTGTGTGCCATATATTTGTTCCTTTAGCTAGCAACTTAATTCAATTCTATATATTCGCCGGCATAATACAAACATTACATAATGGGCAGCAGGTGAGCCACTTTTGCGCTTATTATCAACATCCTTATTTGTTGAATTCTTTTAAACATGCCCTAATTGTGGAAGATGTTACATTGGTTATAGTCTTAATCGTTTAAAAAATGTATGACCTTATTAAAACATAAGATTTAGGTTTACTATTTGTTGTTCTGAACTGTATGATAAAGCCTAATGTTTTTCTACATCTAGATATGATTAAATGAACTGTAAATAATAAATTAATTAAAGTAAATTGTGGTTTTGCAGTCATAAAATGATTTTAAAATCTTAAACTATTTTTTTTTTAAATAATACTGAAGAATGTAAAGCTTATTGAGTACAAATTTATATTTTACTAAAATTGTTTATGCTTTCTAGTGAATTAAATACCTCAATATTTATTATAAATACTTAAGGAATAGTATTAAATTTTATTCACAAATAATTCTCCTTATAATAAATTGAATAATAATTATTGTACTTAGAAATTTATATATATGAAAATTTTGTGTAAATAAATTCATTTATTTCTTTTTTTTTTTTGCATTTATTATCTTTACATTTTATTTGAGATATTTTAATGTTTTCTAAAAAAAATTTGGTTTTCTTATGAAAAAGTAATCATATTATACTGCCAGTATGTACTTTCTGTACATTATTATTTTCTGCCTAAACCAACTCTCAAATTGTTTTTTTTTATTTTATTAATATATTTACATTGTACAATGTCTTTACTAATATAATTACTAATGTGAAAGTGAGTTTGTTAGTTAGTTACCTTATCTATGAAATTTGGTATACACATACTACATACATATGGAATGGAGAAAGATATAGATTACTTTTTACAGTGGAAGATGATAGGTGAGAATGAATGCAGGTCCATTGGCCCATTATGATGAGTTAAACAAGAATTAACCATGATGGTTTCCAGGGGGAAACCGCATGGAGATTGGCCTTACAGGGTATATTATTAGCAATGAGGCTATTAGACCTCATTACTTATAATCCCTTTGCCCCCCAATAAGGTAGTATTATTGCTGATAGAAATCTTTTCAAGACAACCTCTTTGCTTGTTTATTCAGTTTGCGTGAAAGTCAGCTGATTGGCATTGGCAACCCTCTGCTGGACATCTCGGCCGCAGTTGATGAGGACCTACTCAAGAAGTATGACTTGCATCCCGATGATGCTATCATGGCAGAGCCCAAGCATATGTCACTATACAGAGAACTGGTTCAACAGTTAGTATCTTTGATATAACTTATGCTTAATTAATAAATATAGCTGTTATCAAAAAAAATTATTAATAAAAAACATGTTGTTATTAAATAATCATTGTTATCTAATTACTTAATACACTGACTTATTTTGTATGGCTGTTTGTATATTTATGCATTTCTATTATAAAATTAAAAAAAAATGCCTTTAATTGTAATCCCTGATGGGTTAGAGGTATTAGAGATTATGTAATAAAAAAAATATAGACTTTAAATAAGTATTATAAAAAAAAATAGATACACTTTATTTATTATATAAATATAATGGGTTCCCAGATGCGCAGAAAACAAATCCATGAGCTTAGAGCCCAGGTAACTGCAAGTGATAACGTTAAAAGAATGTTGTTTGAAATCTCAATAGATTTTTTGTTATTAGAGTTTATTTATGCGACAGAACACATACACTTACATCTGCATGCTCACACACATCTCAGATTCTAGACTACAATAACAGGATACCACTTTACTGACCAGAACTATAGTAGACATTTTTTTCTCCTTTATGTTATTTTTAATCGCATCTTTATAACGGCCATAAGTAGATAGTACTTTAGGTGAAAATTAACATTATAAGGAGCGGTCCACAGACAGTCCTCCCAGAATAACTTTGTCAAATCATTCAAGCTTATCTTGATTTAATACAAGCCATTATTTCACTCTTGTCGATTGTTGGACAGATGTGGTCAAGTAAACGACTTTTGTACAAAGTCTCTCTAGTGTATGTATATGATATTACGAAATAAAACATGCTGTGTAGCTTGAATCGCTTCATTTCATGTTAATATTGAGTACATTAGTACACTTTATTATTTAAAAAAGTATAAAAGCACCCATTTCTATATATATATATATACTAGCTGACCCCGTAAACGTTGTTTTACCACTTATTGAGAAATATAAAAATCGCGATTAAAAGACAGGGGTTGATCGTAAAACGATGAAAATTTAAAGTTGTGTGTATTTTTCAATGCTAAATCATAATAAAATTAAAATGGAAAAATTTATTAAAAATTTATAATTTTAGTAAAGAACTAACTTACTGCTTTTTCTTTTATTACTGTTACTATTAATGTCCCATAGGAGATGATTACCATTTTCCATCAGATGAACACCGTCAGTTTTATATGTATTGTTTCTGATGGATAAACTCAAAAACTATTTAGTCAATTTAAAAAATTCTTTCACCTATAGAAAGCTACACCATAAACAAGTAATATAGAATAATAATTATTTTTGAAAATTCTATCTACCTGTGCGAAGCCGGGCCGGATCTCTAGTATACAATACATTTATTGAGAATACTCAAAGCAAACTTGAGTATTCTTACTATATATATATACTCTCTATATCTATACACTCAATATACTCTGAACATATTGTCTACTCATCAGGAATTTTTTTTTCCTTTTTTTTTTTATCATCAGGAATTTTTAATATGTGCATATAACTGCATATTTTTTCCCCCTGCATATTCCTTTAAACCAATTTATTTAGTTAACAGTTCTAATAATAATAAACTGTGGAATTAAAAAATACATAGCCCTCTCTCCTCCCCTTATAAAGTAAAGCGGTGTTTGGCCAATAACAAACAGCTTTTGAAAATCTTTTTTTTTTATCTGAAAGGATATAATTACAGTTCGATCGAGTAGAAATTTTATCAAAATCGGTTTAGTAGTTTAATTTTTATATTAAAATAATTGGTTTTCTCATAGTTGAAGCCATTTTTTTGAGACAATTATTTTTTATCCCTTCTGGATGTTGTAAGAGGTAATAGAGAAAAGAAAGTAAGAGAGAAAGAAAACTCGAATTAAAACGATCTTACCAAAACAATTGGCTGACATAGTAAAGGCAGCCTCAAGTTTTGAGGAATATTCATGCCCAATATTCTGATGTTATGATAAACCTATTTTTAAAATTTATAATTGTAAATTCAAAATTACCCTGTCTTTAATATTATATTGTGTGAGTTGTATGTAGTATTTATTAACACACTGTAAATAGTTCGGTCCTGTAATTTTTTCAATCGACTTAAAAAAAGAGGATGTTTTTGATTGTTTTTTTTTTATGTTTGTTACCTCATAACTCCGTTAGTTATAACTTTGGAAAATTCTTTTTTTTTATCTGAAAGAATATACTTTCAGGTTAGACCCTTAGAAAATTTATCAAAATCGGTTTAGTAATTTAGTTTTTAAATCAAAATAACTGGTTTTATCACAATTGAATTCGATTTTTTTTTTGGAACATAAATTATTTTTGAGATGATGGTAACCCCGTTTGCGCTAATTGTATGCGCTGGCGGGGCACCAGTTAATAAAAATCAGGAAGTAACCACCATTGTTAGTACGAGGGACCGTATGGAGGTCGACTGGACCGGTCTGGATTGCTAGCCGCTAAGACCACCTTAGGGACTTAGCATAGGGACTAAGTACTGCTAGTTTTTATTACTAATAATCCCCTTTCACCAGCTATCAGATTTTATTCTATCATCCTCTCCATTCAAAGGTTGCCTGGAAGAGATCGCTTTTAGCGATAAGGTCGCCCATTGTTTTCTCACTGTGATTGTTCCTTGTAATTGTTTATATTTATAATAAATTTACTATTGTAATCTTTTCGAGGTAACAATAAAGAGTATCTATCTATCTATATCATTGATTGACTGTACCCTTTTAGATACAACGCTGAGTTCATCGCCGGCGGCAGTGCACAGAACACGTTGCGCGTGGCGCAGTGGATCCTCAAGAAACCAAACGTATGTACATACTTCGGTTGTGTGGGGTGCGATGACTACGCGTCTATCCTGAAGCAGAGAGCAATGTAAGTGTATTTATTTATTTAATACTAATTGTTTGCCGCAATTGTCCCAGTGTCCATTAGCACATAAAGTATCCTGTGTATTAACTTAGTATATAATCTACATTACACATGCAGCAATTTTAATTGAAATCAGAAGGCCTACCATGAAATGTTTTCCGAAATTTCGGATCCGAACGAAACACAAATTTGATGTTAAAATTACATGATACGTACCGTTTAAAAATATTAAAAATGCTAAAGTATCGTTCCTTTTTACTTTTATGGTAGGATTTGTGACAAATGAAATGTTAAGCTCCATTTATAGGGTCGATTTTGGTACGAACGAAAACACGAAATTGAGCCCGAAAATTTGGAATTTCATTTCATGGTAGACCCCCAGTTCATCTGTTTAATTGCGACTAAGTAACAAGTTAGCTATGTGGTCCCGGTATAGAATAGGTCATCTCTTTCTTTCCCGTGGGTGTCGTAACTGGCAAACCTTTCCTTATATGTGTAATTTTTGTACTTGTCTTTTAAATTTTTTAGCTTTTATCGCTGGTAAATATACTACACTTACGGGTAAGTGCAGTGTGTATGTTTTGTATGGAAGCTTATGCTTGTGTATAACGGGTAGCTATTTTATCCTCATCTATATTTAAGAATTTTCTGACTATTCTATTTATTTATTAGGCGCACATAACAGAAGTTTACAAATAACTTAAATTATAACATGCAAGTACATTAATGTATTGATCACGTAAACTTGCCACACCATGTGCACACAGCACGATCCAATAATAAATGCGACTGCAACAAAGCCATTCGATTGCAACTATTAGTAAAAAAATTAAACATAAAAATAAACATAAACATAAAGAAAGTTAAATAAAAAACAAAAAAAAATTATATAAGAAATTTCTAAATATTACATTATTTTATACAATTGTCTGCGATATTGATAATAACTGAGTCCAAATGTGTCAATATATATATTCTGCAAGTATTTAATATGGCAACCTTTTGTAGGGAGATGTAGAGATTTATTATATTATTATTTGTTAATTTGATTTATTTTATTGTATTTGTTGCTGCTGCCCATTCGACTATTGAGTTCCATTAGTTGTCTCTTACAACACCCATGGACAAGGAAGGCGGGGCCCATTCTATGCCGGGACCAGCCAAATGGTTTTGTAAGCTGATGTGAAATAAATAGGTAATTGGAAGATTTCCAAATGTGCTACTTGTTGTGTACTTGGAAATATGCAATACTAAATACATATATATTTAATACATATTCAACATATATTTAATAACATGATAACATAGCTTATAATTGAGTGAGTATTTACATTCGAAGATAATTGTAAAGATTGTTATATACTTATTATTAATACCGTATATAAAGTCAAAGATAAATAAAGTAAATACATGATACCTTGAAAAATTTTTTAAGTTTTTCTCAGTATGACTGATGGAAATTCCCAACACAGCCCAAAAGTTATTAACATATATTTTTTTTAACATTATTAACAGGGTACAGAGGAATCACATCTGAGTCCTCAGGAATAGCAATGCATGGGGGGTGTTATGGGCGAAACAGTATACTCTGTTGTCTGTCTGGTCATGTCTATAGACGACGGTTACCACTTTCCATCAGGTGGGCCGTCAGTTTGTTTGCCATTCTAAGTTGTATAAAAAAAGTAGTCTCGTGGAATCATGGCAAAAAAAAAATAGAAAATAAATATTTTGCCCAGGGGCATCAGATCAGCGAGACTAGTTCAGAGTATATTTTCAATCGATTTCAAAAAGTAGAAGGTATTCAATTTAGTCGAATTTTTTTTTTTATTTTTATTACCCAATAATGGTGATATATTCCACGATACGATTACGTTTAATATGATGTTACGTCATATATTACCAATCAGGGCCGTAGCTGGACCCAAATTTGAGGTAGGGCAAAATAACTTTTTGGTAGGGCAGAAGCCATAATTAAGTGACTTCGAAAAAGCGAATCTGTCTAATTTTAAGGTAGGGTATTGGAGCTTTTTAAGGTAGGGCATTGCCCTTCAATGCCCCCCCCCCCCCCCCCCCGCAGCTACGACTATGTTACCAATTCATTGTCTACTGCATTTATGCACTGATTTATTTGTAAAATTTGAATATCTAATAATTACCCTTGTATCAAGGACAATACAATAATATAATCAGTCGATAACATACATGTTTGATCAATATCTATCAATATATAGGTACTTATTTGTTGTATGCATCGTATCTGCTTGCAATTGATATAAGGAAAAAATTGCAAACTTGTTCATTATTAGTAGGTACTACTATAATAACCTTGTTTAGACAAGAAAATAAAACGATATATTTTTGTTTAAAAATGCAAATTAATTTTATTTTAAACTAGCTGTGCTCCCGATTTTGTCTGCGTGGTGATAGATATTAATTTGTAAAAAAAAAATAGGCAATCTATACCTTTATGTGTATATTTCAATCTGTATTTATGTTACTGTATTTCATTTGAATTATTCACTTGTCATTGTATATTTTTATTTATGGTGCAATAAAGAGTTAAATAAATAAATAAATAAATAAAATAACAAATTAGTTGAATTGGCTGAAACTTTATGAAGATATTAGGTACGTAATTATCATTCAAGTGTTATAATACAATGAGGAGTGAGTGATTGCTTAGAGGTCATAGCGCTAATGCAAGTGAAGCAACCCCGACCGTGGTTTCAACTAGGATGGGTGACCACAATCCGTACTATATGGGTTGGAGGTTACTTTTTACTGCGGTTAGTAAATATGTCCCGGCCACACGGACGAAGTCGCGGGCGATAGCTAGTTTTTTTTTTTATACAACTTAGAATGACAAACAAGCTGACGGCACACACGATGGAAAGTGATAACCGTCGCCGATAGACATGAGCAGTACCATGGACATAACAGTTTATAATATTAGTTGGATGCTACTGGTATTTTTATATACTTTAATTATGTAAGTAGTATAAATATAACTTACGGATTTATTTATAAGTAAGTAGTGTTAATAATAATGCTTAATACCTATTTTATTTCTCTCAATATGTGTCAATCAACAATGATGTAAATAGCGTGGAGTTGAAATAAAGATACGCCGTCAGACAGTCGGATCCTGCGATAACATTTGATCCCATATGATCTCACGCTTGTTTCCGTTGATATATTACCTTACTAATATAATATATGTATACAAGTAGATACTAGGTATGAATAGGATGTAGTTTTTTTTTTTATGAATGGTATTGAAATAGTAACCCCACCTGCGCTAACGGTATACGCTGGCGGGCCACCAGCGAGGAATGATAGGTGACAATGAAAGCAGAGAATAAAAAGGCAGGTCAGGTTAGCCCATCGTAATAAATACACTTGGAATTTAGTACGATGGTTTCCAGCGGGGACCACGTGGAGGTCGACCTGACAGGGTATATTGCTAGCTAGTCCTTATAACTAACAATCCTTTCCCCCCCTTTTTATACTGGTTTAAATTGTTTGCTTGGTCACCTTTGATCCATTCGTGTACCGTGAAAGCAGTTTGTTCGCATGGGGGTATCATGGGCGAAACAGTATACTCTGTTATGTTCATAGTACTGCTAATCTCTATAGGCGACGGTTACCACTTTCCATCAGGTGGACCGTTAGCTTGTTTGCCATTCTAAGTTGTATAAAAAAAAAATCTGTAGTTATTTTATACACGTAACTCGCACTTAATTAGCACAGAAGGTCAATCTACACTGAGATCGTGATTGCGGTTTTAATAAAGTACTTAATAATGGATAATGAGAGCAGATGATGTTTTATTAGATGAATAATAAACAATGATTTCTCGCGGCTTCGTACATTATTTCCCGTTTAAGGGGTCAACTTTGGGATTTTTTCTTAGATGTATGCACCTTAATAGGAATTTACATACTTAATTTTATTTTATTTTACTTATTCAAAGGTCGATAATCAGTTTTTGAGGTTTCATGATTTCTCTTTTTAACTGCCTTCCAAAAAGGAACACGATGTTCCAAATTCGGTTTTAAGTTTGTTGTCTTATAACTGCGTCTTTTATAAACCGAATTAACGGAAAAGATATACTTTCAGATTTTAATTTAATTTTATTTTTACGTACGTGCCAGCGCCAACAGCATCCTGAGTATGATAGCAAGCAGGCTGGACTGTGTGTACGTTAATCACTGCTGCGCAATTTCCAATGGAATTGTGCAGCGGTAATTATCTGTATACTGCTTAATATATTGTATGTGTGTGTATGTGTATTGTGTATGTAAATTTACTAACATTAGTTTTTAAGAATATTGTTACTAATAAATATTTAATGGACCAAAAAGTCTGAAATAAAAATTATTATTATTATTAGTAAAATTGGTTTTGTAGTTTTAAAACAAAATATTGTTTTTTTTTTTTTTTAATTGAAATCGGTGTTTTTTTAGTGGAAGAATTTTTAATTTATACATTATATTATACTCTGTAAAGAATTCCCATCCTCTCCCGTTGTCAGCGTGAGTAAGCAAATGTCATCTGAAATGAGTGCGATTATTTTAGTGCAGATGGCGTGACAGTCCGGTACCAGGAGACGAGCGAGGCGCCGACTGGCACATGCGCGGTGCTGGTCACTGGCACGCACAGATCTCTGTGCGCCAACTTGGCGGCCGCGCAGAAGTTCACCCCTGACCATTTGGCTAAAGAAGAATGCAGGAAGAGCATCGAGGCAGCCCGGTTCTTCTATGCGACGGTAAGAGACTTTAAAACTGCTTCGTAACTAACGACAGTTTAGTGTGACTATAGCCTCGTGGTGGACATAGAATAGGCCACCACTTCCTTTTCCGTGGGTGTCGTATGAGGCGACTAAGGAAACTTATGGTGGAGGGCTGGACAGTAGCGTCTTAAAACATTAGCAAAAGGCAAACTGCGGTTGCCAACCCGCCTGCCAAGCGTGGAAACTACTGGCAAGCCACCCAATATATATATATATAGGACTATGTCCAGCAGTAGACAGATAATGGCTGAAATGACGATAATTATATAGCATGCAACTGCAGCTGCTTCGTGGCAGAAATACGAATGGAACAGAGGTACCCGTGCTCACAACTTTTGTACGGTGTTCGTCTGTTTGATTGCAGGGTTTCTTCGTGGCGGTGTCCCCGGAGTCGATCCAGCTGTTAGCGACGCACGCTCACACAAACAAGCTTACGTTCATCATGAATCTCAGCGCGCCATTCGTGTCGCAGTTCTACAAGGAGCCCCTCGAGAAATTGTTGCCGTACGTGGACGTGCTCTTTGGAAATGAATCGGTAATACTTATAGTTTTTTTATGTTTTACTAGCGGCCCGTCCCGGCGTCGAACGGGTGGACATTTTTACATTTGAAAAAGTGGCCATTAAGGCTGCAAACGCGACGGAACTCAGGTACTCAGGTTCTCTTTTCCTACCCCTCGACGCCAAGAAAGTATGTGTAAAGATAGAATATACAGGATTATTTTAAAAGCACATAGATAGCCTTCATTATCACGAACCGAAACAATTCCTTTTAATAATATACCTATATATTTATTAGAAGAAGACTACAAAAGTCGTTTGCTTGGGCACCTCTGTCCCACTCGTGTTTCTACCGTGAAGCAGTTGTGTTTGCAAGGCTGTGTTTCGGTTTGAAGGGTGGGATATTGCATTGAGTTAACAGGGTACAGATGAATAACACCCGAGTCCTCAGGAATTGCAACGCATGGCGGGTATCGTGGGCGAAACAGTATACTCTGTTATGTCCATGGTACTGCTCATGTCTATAGGCGACGGTTATCACTCTCCATCAGGTGGGCCATTCATTAGGTGGGTTTATTTGTCATTCTAAGTTGCATAAAAAAACACCTACCTACCAAAAGTCGATTTTCATTTTAACTAGTACATTAAATTAAACATACAAGATAAGGTTTCAATGTTTTAACCTTTTTTAAATAAAGTAAATATACATTTTGACGTAATAATAAAAGAAATTTATTAAATACTTAATATTTTAAATTTCAATATTTAATTACATAAATACAGTGAGTAAGTACTTATAAATTACTAAAACAGCCTCTGTGTGAACATAGATAAATGTAATAAAAAAAAAAGATAAGATGCCACATATTTGTACATAGTTCTTTTGGGTGATAAAACATTGTTTGTCTGTATTATAGTACTGTTCTTGTGTCATACATTATTATATAATTGGAGAAGTTACCGTCTTGATTTCCTATATAATTATATTTACATATTTTAATTCCTTGTGAATTAAATAATTAATTTGGTTATTTTATTGTTATGTTTTTTTTTTCATCAATTATTGAAATTGTTTTCACATAAGTTATTTATTATTGTAATTGTTTTATTAAAAATTATTAAAATATTGTTCACCGCTATACCCGCTGACATTGATGCTTCTTTCCACTTTGGGTTTGCTGGAAGAGAACTCTATTAGAGTTAAGCTCGCCTTTGTACATTTGATTACCACTGTCATATTTTTTATAAAAACTCGTGTGTACAATAAAGTAAATAAATAAATAAATAAAGATAATAATTTCGAATGTCTGCACGTAGAAAAAAAATGCTAAATACTGAGTCAGGGGGATGATAGAATTGAAAAAGAACATATCCAGATTTTTGCAACTTTTTTGTTTCCCAGTCTGTTTGTACGGGCTAATCTCGGAAACTTTAAATGATATTTTGTATGCTGGTGCCTTACATCCCCGGTCAACATTTTAGATACTGTTAATCACGGAAAATTAAAGAGTTCCCGGTGGGATAGTTAAAAAACTATAAAAACTTACACAGCTTAGTACACAACCTACTTAAGTGAAGTCATTTTAACTTAAAACAAAGAGTGAGAACGACATGTCATTTCTTAATTTTGATCCAGTTTCCCAGACATAATAAATAAGTAGGTACATACATACATCGATACATACTAAACAGGAGTAACAAATACCACGCGGACAAAGTCGCGGGCAGCAACTAGTGTAAAAATAATATTTGTACATTCCACGATGATTAATTATAGCGCTCTAGTTATAGAGCGCTATAATTAATCATTTGATGTTAATCAAACTTATAACTGTACTCATGTTTATGTAAATAAACAATTGATTGATTGAAAACAAACTATGTGTTTATCCATACATTATATAGTAGTAGGAAATGACCAAGCTGTGGTTTTTTTTTATTGTTACTTTGACAAACGGTTGACGGTTCAACCTGATGGAAAGCGGCTACCGTTATCCGTAAGCACCTACAAGACGAGAATAGTTGCTTGTGCCGACATTTTAAATGTTTGTTGACACGTTTTTTGAAATTCCCCATATTATATTGCGAAGGGAAAACTGAAGACGGGAGCTCTTTCTGCAACTTAGATGTACGAGGTAGAAATGAACAGGATGCACGAACAGTAGTAGTAGGTATACCAGCACCCAAGAGATAAGGGTTCAATTAAATTCAATCATTTATTGCTATTTTATGTCTATGGCTCTTTTTCTTCTATGTTCAGCTCTATGGCAAAAGGTACTATGGTAAAAGGGTGACGATGGTATCAAGACATATAATTATTATGCGATTATACCTTTGGTGTTTTATAGCATATATTTTACTAATTAAAGTAAAAATATTCTCATTTACAGGAGGCAGACGCGTTCGCGAAAGCGTTCAACATAAACGAAACGGGTCTCCAGGAGATCGCGTTGAAAATAGCAGCCGCACCCAAACTCAACAAGGAGAGACAGCGAGTGGTGGTCATCACCCAGGGTAAAGATCCCGTTATACTGGTGGAGAACGGTAAAATCAACCTGATACCCGTCAATGTGTTGTCCAGGGAACAGATAGTGGATACGAATGGAGCCGGGGACGCGTTCACGGGCGGTTTTCTAAGCCAATTAGTACTGGGAAAGTCATATGCGACGTGCGTCAAATGTGGTATATATGCCGCAACACATATTATACAGCATTCAGGATGTACGTTCAGTGGCGAGAGTGATTTTAAAGAGAGCTAAAGTGGACGCTGGCCTCAGGATGCGGAACAAACCCGGAGCGCACAATACTGATACTTGCTTCATACCCAATCCCCAAACTTTGTTTCAAGGACCATTGACCAAAAGTTTCGGTGTAGATTATTGGAATGATTTTTGGAAATAACATTGCCTTTTTTTTAGAGCATTGTCGATTAATCATGTTTATTTGATTGTACTTTTTATGTAATTTTCATTTTCAAGTGATTAGTTTGAATGCATTTTTATGTAGGTAGATAAAATGACGAAAGTCCTTTCCCTACCTAAATAACTACCCTTGATGTTGCTAGCTTCAAAAAATCTAAAACGTGAAATCATTATTGAAGAATAATTTAGAATGTTTCTTATTCTGTTTAAGAAAGTTCTTTAGTGCCTTCAAGTTTGTGTCCATTTATCTTTTTTGTTCCGTACTCTGAGGTGTTGGCTTTGGAAGCAGCACTTCCAAAGTAGAATTGGCTACAACAATAATCAAGATAAAGTAAACTGGACTGTAGATAATGTATATAAGTAATCGCTTTTGAAACTTGGACAGTTATGCAAACAGGGTTTTGATCATTCGCGTTCATTTTGCAATAGTTTTAATTTCAGTTGAATATTTTCAAAATAAATTAAAAATTTTCAACGTTTTTTCTAAATATTTTTAAAGAAGTTTTCTGGTAACCATCGCCTTTATTGTCTAGTTTGCATAATTATGTCCAAATACATAAAAATATAGAATAGTTGATATAATTATGTTAGTAATGTATCTCAAAATTAAAAATCCAGGCTCTAACGTAGTATACAGAGGAGAATTGTGTATATATATATACTGAGTGATATATGTATATTGTAATTGGCAATAATGTGTATAGAAGTTATAAGTAGAGCGTGTCAAATGTTTGTTGATAAACAATTATGAACAGTACGTCCTAACTTCTGATATTGTGAACTATCATTTTTTATTAGTGATATGAAATTCGAATAAATTAGTTATAACTGAAACTTTTTGATGGACCACAAAACTATTTTTTTTTTTATGGCAATAATATATAATAGTTTGTACTGTATTGTACCTATCGCACAATTCCATAATCATATCAGTATATAATAATCGATACATAGAATATATTTTTAATTCTTAGTTGTCGACACTAGAGGGAGACACGTACAAGTGCATGAGTAACAGGACCAGTAATAATTTTACGTGTATATCTGCAAAGAATGAAAATATAAGTAGAATATACATGAAAAAATAGTTTATTTGGAATAAATTACAGGGAATGTATGATTTGACAATATGTAGATGTGACGAAGAGGGGGTGTAGGTACCTATCCTGTATCGTCTGACCATAAGGTGTAATAAGCAAGACACATGGGCCATAGCTTTTTTTTACAAAGATAGATTAATTATTTTCTAATTTATGCCTGATGAGTCAGAGATATACTTGTGCTTTCAGATTAAAACACATTGTTGCTTCATAAAAGAATTAGAAAGTTTTAAAATGGTACATTAGATTTTCCAATTATAAAAATCTATTTTTTCTATTTAGGAGCAATACCAATTATTTTGTTTACATCACAGTTCCCAGGAGTATGTTTTGTCCTTTAAAATAGATTAGTATAAATTTTTATTCAAGTTAACTTAATTTTAAGCATTTGCAAATAGTATTTTTGTATGATTCTACCACCCAATTCGGAATGCAATTTTAGCTGAAAAGAATGGGCAAGAAAACCAGCTATTTAATTTTTGTTTTTCAAACAAAAGATAAAAAATTTGTTTGAACATTAAATTAGATTTGCATTACATAAAGGTGAAAAAAGTGGACTAATAAAATTAAAATGAGTGAATCCCTATTCTTCTTTTTTTAAGTAATAATATAGTTCTGTATTTTATAAGGTATGGAGGCATAATACCGACAAGAGCGCAGCTCTTAAATGGATAGATAGATAGGAGGCATAATACCGTATATAGTTACTATATTAAAAACATAAAGCAAAATAACCTTGTCTTCCCTGTAGTAATAAAAACTCCTTGAAAGTGATCAAATTAAGGACTGTTTTATGTTTGCATAAGTATTATAATTTTGCTTAAATCATGATACAATTCAAATCATAAGACATAACTTGAGATAAAAATATCATCTTATGGATCTTCTGGATATGAATGGAAATAAATTTAAACCTCAATAGTTTTTTATGTGCTACTTCTATATACAGGTATGTACATCTATAAAGAAGAATGATTATTGTTATTTATTATTGTAAAATTGCCATCATCATCATCAGTATCATAACAGCCATAAACCAACCACTGCTAAACATAGGCCTCACTCTATTGGAGGTTTTGCCAATAGTTGTCATGGTTGGCAGATGGATTGGCAACTGCAGTTAGGCTTTGGTTATGTTTTAAGAGGGATGCTGTCATCCCTCGTCTATTAAGTTCCCTTAGTCGCTTTTTACTACACCCATGCAAGAGGAAGGGAAAGCTCATTTTATGGTGGGGCTACACTGCATAGAATTGCCATATACTGTGCAATTATATTCACATACTAAATTGATATTTGTAGTAGTTACTAAACATGTTCCTATTCAAATTAATCTATCTTGCCACCTCAACCATTAAAAATTAGAGGGAATTAAATAGATTATGTTTGTGTAGTATATATCCAATCAAGATGTATATAAATGGCAGGTAAAAAATTATCTATCCAAAATAATAGTACCTGTAAAACAACTGTACAGTTACTGTTGTTTTACAAGTACTGTTATTTTGGGGTGATAAATAAAATTGGCATTATTAAACAGAAATTATCATAAATATGCAGTCATTTTTATTTTAAACAAGAAAATGCAACGATTATTATTAGTAATTATTAGTCTTACAATGAATAATAATAAATAGAATAAAATAAACAAATTTGTAGAATTTTTTGCATTTCACGCCAGGAAAATGATATTACTATATTCCTAGTAGGTATTAAATAGATTAAAAAATACTGTAGTATTTACTTTTACTATTTAAGTTAAATTACTATTAACATTATAATGTTAATAGTAATTTAATACTTACTAGGTATATATAACAATCAAGTCATAATTTGTTAAACTATATTTTTTAAATATGAAGGATATTAAGAATCCATGATGAAAGTGGCACATTAACTTTGTTTTACATATAACCTTAGGTTTTTTGGTAAGATAAAAGCTTTTGATATATACACCCTATAATGAGAATCATCTCAAAAATTAATCAACACTTAAAAATAATATTTTGTTATACAAAATAATTATTACATAAAAATAAGATCAAATCGCACAATATGTATGTCCCAATTAGGTGCAGTTTCACTCTCATTGCCTAGCAAAGGCATGCACCTATAAATCTCAATAATAACGAAGTTGCTCTGTTTAACAAGTTTACTTATACTGCGAGTGACAGGACCAGAATATGTTTTGAGATTTATTTTACATTGTACTTTATTAAAAACATACTTTTTCTCCTTGGAGATTTTATTTATTTTTGAATTTTTAGTTTGACTCCTTACAGTTCTGTAAGCAAAATTGTATATTCCTTGGTTGTACTTATATTTGTATTTTTGAAATAAAATTGTCTTCTAAGTAAAAATATAAATAGTTACTGTAGTAGAAATTTCAGTTTGTATAAAATGAAATCAATATGATACCTTACATAGGTATCATATAAGTAACAATATCTAACATACAATAACATTGAATAACAATATTGTACTATAACATGAACTTTTGTTACCTATTGCTAAAATAATTACTAAAGAAAAATAAATAGTACTTAACCTATTTGTTTTTTATTTCCCTATTCCCTTTGGTTTTTAATCATAACTTAAGAATATATTTTAATACATTATTACTTATTTTCGGTTATTAGAAACTAAATTAAAAAGGGCAACTATCATCTATGTTTCCATCTTCATATAGTTTGTTTTTCTCAATGTTCTATTCTTGGAAAAGGTTACACTTCAAAGAAAATACTAATAATCTGCTTACCGCATTTTTCAAACAATTTCTATACAGCAAATATGAAAGTTCAATATTTTTTTATTTGGTTACTGATGATCATATCAAGTTTCAAAGCTTTTGGTGGTACACATTATTTTATAACACTTTTTAAAATACTAAATTTTATTAAATAGTTTTCTAACTTTTAATGGTGAAAATAATGACATAATTATTTATTTAAATACAAATGAATATACCTATGAAAACATTTATAAGAATCTAAATTAGATAATAGCGCGAAAATTACATTTTTTGAAAATTTCTGTTGTTTCTGGTTGCTGTTGTTATAATATTTAAAAGAAGTCAAAGGATTATTTTTATACAGCTTTGTTTCAATCGGATTCGTGACACTAAACTATATACTTATCTAGAGCTGAAACTTGTATAACAAAATGTCCATGAATGAAATGACAATCGGAGATAAATGGCTAATAAAGAAACTTGTAAAACATCTGGTGTAAAATATTAGCGAAGTTAAACAAAATATTTTTATCAAATGACCAGCGATATGGATTTCCATAAAATAACACCTATTTCAGTAAAATATTAACCATAAATATCTCATGAGCAAAAATGTTTAATTGTTTTCATGTTTCTGAAGATTGATATATAATTGGGACGTTGTCGTATATTATTTACGAACGCTTTTTATTTAGTTTAAAATAAAATTTCACTAAAATAAGTTTCAAGATTTCTAATGGGTACTGAATTCTTACTTATATCTTTTGCCGTCTTCTTTCCTGTATTTTATGTATCTCCTGTTAATAAATATGTGGGGATCTGCAGTTAGGACCGTGTTAATAAAACTGCTCAGCTCAGCTCAGCTCAGCGTTCTATACTCAAAGTCATATTATAGTCAATTAATAACAATCCCAAGACCTTAAAAAAGCGTTTTCACACTCTTCTCACACCTACTACAAAAACTAGCAATATCAGACACTTCTATTTGTGTATGATCCCTTTTATATACAACTAGCTGACTTGGCAAACATTATTTTACCACATTCATTATTTCGAGAACTATATATGAAAATTTTTCGTACTACAATTATTATATTCGATTGCTATCTTGTAACCAAGATAGCAATATAAAAATCGCGATTAAAAACAGGGGTTGATTGTAAAAGCGTAAAAATTTGCATTTGTATGTATTTTTTAATGCATAGTCATAAAATAATAAAAATAAAAAAAATTGTCAAAAAAATAAAAATAAAATATTTAGAGGTGAGTCACCCTTATCATTGAGGGGTATAAAAAATAGATGTTGGCCGATTATCAGACCTACCCGATATGCACACAAAATTTCTTAAAAACTGGTAAAGCCGTTTCGGAGGAGTTTGGTAACAAACACCGCGACACGAGAATTTTATATATTAGATAAAATTTGCAAAATTTGTAATTTAAAAAATATTACGCTAAAAGAAACGATAGTTAAGGTAAGCAAACATCTAAAAACAATGAACTATGACGATGTTGCAAACATATTCATGTTAATCATATAAATAAATATCCCGTTCACACATACACACACACACACACATATGAATCTATTGGTATTTATGAAATCATATTGTAAAAATAATAGCTTTGTATAAACTTATAGGTAAAGAGTTATCTGTACTATTAGAAAGCCTTTTTAATTTCTGTAAGCATGTATTTCGCAATACGATTCCTGGTTCCTACAGGACAGGCTCAGCCTAGTGTAGGAATCAATGTTAAACTATGTGCTTATAAAAGCATATTTTGGTAATAAATACATTTTTATTTCTTTACTTCTTTTAAAGGGTGCAAAATGAAGTCTTTACATGAAATGTAAATAAAAATAAATGACTATTTAAAGCCGAAGCCAAAAGAAGAAGAAGAAAAAAAGGCTACCCTGTATTTAACTCAGTATTAAGTTTCAGAGACAAACTACAATAAAAACGTCATTTCTGCATTTGGCTAGGAGTGATATTATAAGAAGCATAAAATAAGTTAAAAAATATAATAATAATAATTAGAGTTAGGTAATTTAGAAATATCATATAAGAACCTTCTACGTTGTCCTCTATTTCTTTTATTCTTAATTCAAAGAGTGATTGAAAGAGATTCGCAAGGATGGAGCAAGTGAATTCATTATATCCTCTAGTTAATACAATATCTGTTATACTAACAAAAAACAATGTTTTTCCTTTTGAATTTATTAACAACGGCAACGTTATTCAACTATCAACACTACATGTGAAAAAATATAATTAAATTATTACGATCAGAGTAAAATAAAAGGGAGTAATCATAATAATTAGTAACTTTAAAAGATAGAGTTTTTCTCACAAGTTAATCACAAGTTCAAACTTATTAAGACCGCTTCTTTTCTTTTTTTTTTTTTTTTTTTGTAAAAGGTTAGTGAAGCCATAGACAATAATTACAATAAATAAAATCTAGATCTAATTTTATTTTGATTAAATGATTATAATTGAAGTGGCAATACATTTCTTCTGACCGACAGGATATCAAAAATATTTTTTTAACAAGGCAATGTGATTGATAGCCATTTTGGAGAGCCTTTTGTTGGTGTTTTGTGAATGTTTTCATGTAAATTTTGTAATAATGCGATGATGAAAAAGCAATTTTAATACATATAACACTTTGTTGTAACAAAACATCAAATTAATACATTATATACAGTAGTATTGTTTGTGTAGTGAACTCGCATTGTGATTAAAAAACCGGAAAGAACTCTTATCGTATTTTAATCTTGTTATATTTTTATTTTACTAGTGTCTTGTATTGTAACCTTTTATTTGACTAGTTTACATTTTGTGATTAGTGAAGTGTAATAAACATCTACATTATTTACGTCGCGTGTTTTGTTGTACGTAAAATTTAGATCGCCACAAGATGGCCGCCCAATGCCCGCTTCGCCAAAACTTGCTTTCGGGGCCCGATGTGTCATCAACGGACGAGTGCTTGACGAGCATGCTGTGAACCGGCGTCTCGGACCGCGACCGTGTTTTCCGGTCGCATTCGGCGAGGTTCCATTTCATAAAATGGAATTTCGCTCGAGGCGCCAAAATATGATGGGTGTTGACACAACTTCAATACCATACCGTTACTCTGACGGCTGTACAAAATAATCGTTGACGAAAATGAGCGAACCGGACGACGTTGGCAAAGAAGTGTGGAAGCGATGGATTTTGGAAGCTATACACAAAATAAGGTCTCAAAAACAGAGGCCGAGCGTAGAAAGGATCTGTCACGCGATACGACAGCATCACAACTATCACGAGGATGTCGTTTCGGAGCGTCTGGAGCGGGCAGTTCGGGAAGGTGCTGTTCTGAAAGTTTATAACAAGGGGCAGAGCTCGTACAAAGATCCTGGTGGTCTGCAGAGCAAGACTCTTCGTATCGCACCTGATGTGGACGTTTCGCGGGCTGTGGCGAAGGCTGTGCGTGAACTGGGCGAGCGAGATGGTTCAACTATAAGGTCTATAGAGAAACATTTGCGGCAAGCATATCAAGTGACAGTGGGACCAGATGTGGATGTGCGCAGTGTGTTAAGGGCAGGAGCTAAGCGAGCAGTGGCTAGGGGCTTGTTGATTCACCACGCGGGGGCTTACAAGGCAACTGAGAGACCCTTGGCAGCTACTGGCGAGCGCACCCCAAAACAAAGAGTGAAAAGTTCTTCAGAGCCTGCTGACAAGGTAATTATTCTTTATTAATTTTTGCAGTCAACACATACAAATATGTTTCACAAAAATGTATTTTGAAAACAAAGAAAACATGTAATTTATTGAACTAAAACATATAATGATTTAACTAGCCATTTATGGTAACAGATTTCTGTGATATGGTATGTCACATAATGTTCAACTTAAAGGTTAAGTGATTCATCACATCATTTACTTAAAGTTATGAATGAAATTGAGTTGGAATTCTCTGAATTACTCTATATATTATAAATGGTGTAATTTACATATAGAAATATAAAAAATTATCAGAGTAAAGAAAATTTATTTTGTTTGGTAGTGTTTGTAAACAAACTTAAAGTTGCATAACAGTGTAATAATGTATGGAATAATTTAAAATGTTATTTATTTTTTATAGATAGACAAAAACTAATAGTAAAATGTACAAAAATGAAAATATAATTTACAAAATGAGAAGAATTGAAATAAGTTATTTCTAAGATTTTTGGGTGTTTTAATAGTTACAAGTAGTTTAAGAGACTTCTAAAGAACAAATGTTAGAACATTAAACACAAATTTTATTTACAATAGTAGGGCAATAATGATTAAAAGTGTGACAGTGAATTAAGAAAAATTATTCATGTTTCTTAACTTTTTGTTTGTGTGTGTTTTTTTATTTTAATTATAAATACTAAATTCGTTATATCCCACTGCTTTGCTTGCATGAATCTGAACACAAAATTTTGAGTAAGAATATAAGTTATCAATGTACAACATTTTATTCAAATCCCATCAGTATCTTTTGTATGAAAGAGTAACAAACATCCATCCAAGCAGCCTAACAAACTTTTGCATTTATAATATTATTAGGATTGTTAAATATTTTATTTAAAAAATATTGCATCTGCACAAGCAAATACACAAACAGTTATTGATATTTATTACATTATCAATACTATTTTTGTTATATTTTTAAATGTCTGAAAAAAAAACAAGTCAACTAAAAATTTGCTTTTGGGTCTAGATATTATCTAGCCTAATTTAAATTTTATTAAAAAAAAAAAAAACAAAATCCTCTACAAAAGTATTATAACTTTTTTAAATTTCTTGTGTTAAAAATTTACTACAAAAGACAAAACAATATAGCTTAAATAGAATCCTTAGGTATATATGTTTGAATGTTTGAGGTATATATAAAAAAGTATTGATATTATTTTTGAGTTTAGTTTGTGGTTGATTTTTGTATTTATAAATTTATAATTATCACATCTGGCTTATGTCCACTAAATAGATATATCACTGTTACACTGTACATTAAATTCTTACTAATATTTTAAATGCTAAAGCTAGTTTGTTTGTTACCTTAAAGCACCTTAACAGCTTAGCCAATCTTTATGAAATTTGTTATATATATATGGGATGGAGAAGGATTAAGGCTACTTTTTATCCCTGTCAGTAAACATAACTCTGTCATGTAGACGAAGTAGTGTAACATATTTTTGATTCTGTCTCCATGCATATTTAGAGTATTGCATATAATATTGTTTTTAAAAATGTTACAGAAACACAATCAGGGTGGTGTGCCTGTTTGCACCGAGTGTCTCGGTACAGACACAAGAAATGGTGTAGGATCAGTAGAGTCCCTCATCTGTTGTGTGCAGTGCAAGTTGTATGCGCATCCTACTTGCATAAACTTGTTGGATCACATCAGTCAAGCAGCTATAAAGGTAAGTCAAATTATTTATAAGCTGTTTCCTATGACTTTGCCTGTGTGATTTAGTGTTGAAGGTACAATATATGTTAATCTGGGACATGGTCTGTCTGTGCACCAAATTTTATTCAATTTCATCCAAGACAAACATCCAAGTAGCAAATTTTTTTATTTATAATATTAGTAGGATTTTAAATTTTTCAATTATTTTTTTGTATTTCTATCATGGTGTTTAACTTACTTTCATGATGTGTGTCACCTGACACATAAACACAATTTTTTAGATGGGAAAAAATTATAAAAAAAAATATGTATAATAAAAATTTAACAAATGAGACAATTTTATTTTAAAGAGTAACTTTTAGCAAATAGAAATTAATTCACTGGTGTTTCAAATGGAGTTTTAAGGAAATTGTTATTAACGTTTTTTCTTTAATTAGTACTTGGTTTTAGTATTGGCTGATTTATGTAATATCTATGTTACAATTATTATTTTTTATAAAGGAATGATGGTATTTTTTTTTAATGGACGAAAATGGAATGGTAACCCCACCTGCGCTATCGGTATACGTTGGCGGAGTACCAGTGAGGGATGATAGGTGAAGATGAAGCAGGTCAGTTGGCCCATCGTGATGAATTCATCAAAAATTAATCACAATGGTTTCCAGGGGGAACCGCGTGGAGGTCAACCTGTTAGGATATATTGCTAGTGATAGGTCTGTTAAATATCATTACTAACAATCCCTGTCCTCCCAAGGAATGATGGTATTGTGAGTGTCTTTAAAAGTAAATCAAGTAACTTAATAGTCAAGGGATGGGTAGCAGAGCAGTGTTCCTCTTAGAACATCACCATACCCTGACTGCGGTTGCCAACCCGCCTGCCAAGCGTGGAACTACTGGTAAAACTCTTTTTGGGAGAGCCTACGTTAAGCAGTGGTCAGTAGACTGCTGATATGATGATGGTATTGTCCAACCGGAAAAAAAACCATAAGTTTACACATGAGTAATTTTTTTATGTTGGATTTTCTCAGCTGAGCTGATTTACTGATTTGGATGGGATTTCATCAAGAGAGCTTGATCGTGATGTCATTCAATATTATATGCGCAGACAGGCTCATGGGTGTGATCTAGTATTGTCAATATTTAATTTAAACTACGTTGTACCAAAGTCTAATGACCGAACATGCTGTGACCATGTGGGGTTTTTTTTTGTAAACAGCAGTTCCGGTGCTCGCCGTTTATGCGACCTATTTTCCATAATATAATTGGACTATAAATATTGATGCAAGTTCCGATACAAATTTACGTTTAAAATATTTGTGACAAGAAGTATTTAATAAACATGAATTCTATTATTTTATATGTGGTAGACATTTTAAGAGCAAAATTGGAAGATAAAATTTTGGGGTACAATTTATAATGATAATAATGGATAAGTGATTTTTACAAGAAATTTAATGCAATTATCTGTTGTGGTGTCAGCTTACTAGTAAGCAAGATTATATTAATAATCAATTTCCATCCTTATTGTTTTTTTAAAAAAGTTTAACTTTCAATAAATAATGCATGTTGTATTTTTTTTATGGGTGAAAATGGAATGGTAACCCTGCCTGCGCTATCGGTATACGCTGGCAGCGTACTAGTGAAGGTTGACAGGTGAGGATGAAGGCAGGACAGTTGGCCCATAGTGATCAATTAAACAAGAATTAACCACTATGGTTTCCAGGGGGAACCGCATGGAGGGTATATTGCTAGCAATTGGGTTGTTAAATTTCATTATTGACAATCCCTTTCCCCTCCTACATGCATGTTGTATTTGGTATAAGATTCAATTTGGACTGTGATAAATTGTAAATTTTTTGCGGGGCAAATTTTGTATAATGAATAGTATACGCTGGGTTACTGTGGAACTTTTCACATATCTTTTATATTGCAAACAATGGATATAGTGAATTGTCATGCGGATGACAAGTCGGGGTGATGTTCAGGCGCACTGCTAGCAAGGGGTGGGGTTAGTGTCGGTCGGTAGTGGCCCTGTCGGCTGACGGTAGTGTTTGTGCGGCGCAGTCGTCGCGGTGGTGCTGCGGCGCGTGCTCGCGGTGCGCGGAGTGCGGCGACGAGCGCGCGCGCGCGTGGGCGGCGCGCTGCAGCGGCTGCTCGCGCGCCGCGCACCCGCGCTGCCGCCCGCCGCCCTGGCGCTGCCACCGCTGCACGCCGCACAAGAGGTGACCATACACACCCGCACACGCACGCGCACACACGCGCACGCACGCACATACCCACCCACACCCACACACACACACCGACAACCATCTACACCCACCCACAACCATCCACACCCACACACAACCATCCATACCCACTTCAATGATCCCCAAAGTTAAATACCTCCTCCATCGTTTACCACTTCTCCTTATCTGTAGCAATATTTGTCCAGTTTTTTCCTGCTTTCTTTATTATGTCATCAATCCATCTTTTTCTTTGCCTTCCAACATTTCTTTTTACTGCTGGACCTCGCCGTCATCAAATAAAATAACAAATATCGACCCACCATATCAGTAATTAAATACGGTGGAGAACAAACAAGAAATGCATACGACAGTAGTCTCAGCATAGAGTGAGTGTGTGTATTTGTGTATGTATGAGTGTGACGCAATATTTACCAATACGAGGTTAGTATTCAAGATGGTGATAGTGGCAAGGATACAGCAGCGCGATCCGATTTTCCCATTTTTTTTTTAATGTTTGGTCATTAAACAGTGTCACAAACAATTTAAAATTGGAGTCAGATTATTATTCATATCCACCTCGGAACAAACAGTAAACATAATCAAAGCATTTTACGAGCATTCGGAGAGAACGCTCTTCGTTGCTCGAGTCCATTAGTGAATACTTTTGTATTGATCTCTTAGTCAAAATCTACCTGGTCAAATTTTTGAAATATTTAATACTTGTAATAAATATCAAAGATGATATTCTTTAGGAAAACTCTCATACCTTATTTTGTCTCTTAATACAAAGGTAGGCCTTTAGTTGCATATCTTAAGAACATTAAAAAAATCAGCGAAGGCAATCTCAATTTTCTGTAACTCGATCTTTCTTTCATACAAAAATAAGTAAACTTCATTAGCTCGAACATTTAATGTACGATTAAATAAAAATGTTCTAATATAGCATAAGTTTTTTAATATTTGTTTACAGATCAACAATGGGGGGTACTCCAAAGGGAAGGAAACCGAAGACGCCGGCGCGACGTATCGACTCGGACGACGAGCCATCGGATGGTAATGATCCGCCGGCCTTCACTCGCATCCCGTCCGAACAGAGAATGTCCAAGGAGAAACAAAAATTTTTCCGATTCTCCGCGTTCAATCTAGTGAAGAGGAGACGATGTAGAGAATCCTCTAGCGAGTGGGAGGGTTGGGAGGGGAAATCGAGGTGGGGGGGAGTCCGCGTGACCCGCGTACAGCGCGTAGAGGTACGACTCGAGAGGCGGTCTGTCACGCCCTCCTCCACCGACTCGGAGCCGCCGCGGTCGCGTGCCCTGCCGCCCGCCCTGCCGCCCGCTACGCCCTGCCCCGTCCCCGCGCCCGCGCCCTTCGCCGTCCCCGCGCCCGTGACCGCGCCCGCGTCCGCCCTCGTGTCCGCGTCCGTGCCCGCGCCCGCGCCCGCCCCCGTCGTGCCGTTCGCAGCTTTCGCGCGATCTCCGCGCCCCGCGCATCTCTCGTCCGTGTTCGAGCGGCTGGCTACCCACACTGGCCCCGACGGCACCTGGGGCTTCGCCGCCGAGGCCCTGAAGCAGCGCCAAATACAGGAATCGTCGAAGTCGCCGCAGTGCAGACCTAAGTCGCCGGCCGTCACGCCCGAGAGGCATCGCGTAGTGCGTCGCAGGAGCAGATGTGGCGATAGGCTGTTGACCACGCTGTTTGATGGATTATCGGAGTTTTACTCGGTACGAACTGCGTCGAGATCTCAGTCGAGACATCGACCGGCGAGAATCGTCGAACCCGAGGAGGATCGGCAGGTTTTAAAAGAGACGAGGAGTACTTTTAAGCGATACCAGGCAGCGCTGAGATGCGGCCGGACGAGGAGTCCCAGTCGGCCGCGGAGCCCGAGCCGGCCGCGAAGTCCCGGGCGACCGAGAAGTCCCAGCCGGACGAGAACAGCCAGTCGAGCTAGGAGTCGGTCGCGGCCGAAACTTGAAAGAAAGGCTGATACGCGGAAACGGGAGTCGACTAGAGAACGAAGTAGATCGCGGCCTCGGCCTCGGCCCCGACAGATTAAAGAGACTAGACGCGTGACGGTCGATGAGCGCGAGCCGTGGAGAGAGCGCAGCGCGAGCCGCTCGGAGGATAGTCCGCTGGCGACGCGCGGGGCCAGTGCGCCGCGGGGGCACAGTGGGGACAGCGGGGACAGCGCGGCCAGCGAGGCCAGCGGGGCGCGGGAGGCGGCGGTTGCGCCGGCGCCGCGGCTGTCGGCGTCGCAGCTGGTTAGGACGCTGGCGGCGGGCAAGCACCGGGCGGCGGCGGAGCAGTCCGATAAACTGTACCGCGGGGTAGCGCTGGCCAGCCGGGCCGCCGCGCCCGCGCCGGCCACCGATCAGACGGGTAAGATCGGTTCGTGAGGTGCGGTGAAAGTGTCGTGGTGGATCTGACCGACTCGCTCGCTCTGATTGATGGCCGGCGCTCCGCTGTCTCTCGCTTCGTTTCTCTTCCGAATTTCTCTGTTCGGACTCGGGCGAAAAAGCCTCGCCCTGGGGGGTCGTTCGCTTCGTACTTGGACACCGAGCGCTGATGACATTTGTTCCTCGGGTTTCGGCAGTATCCACACGTGCACTTTCGCTCGCGCTTCTCGTAGCCGCGCCGTAGAAGTCGCCGGCCGACCGGGTCCTTCATTCTGGTATCTGCGGTAGCCAATCCTCGGTGGTCGGTCACTCGGTACGGGAAAGTTACGAATGAAGGATCCTCTTGGCCGGTACTTTTTTTTATATGTGTCGTAGAAGATACTCATAATGAATCCTTATATTGTCGCGTTAACACTAGGCGGGGAGGGGACTACTATAGGTTCGCGGATAGCAAACAATCGAAAGTATGTTGTCCACCTTTTAGAGTGCTACGAAGTTAACGACCGCTCTACAAGTTTGTCCTGTTCGTCATTGATTTACTGAAATAACTGCAATTTATACTAACGTAACGAATGGTTGACAGAGAGCAAGCGGTTACCGCCGGGAGTGACGGAGGCGGACGCGGAGTTGTTCAAGGCGGCGCGCGCGGCCGCGGGGGCGGAGGCCGAGGCGGCGGAGGCCGGCGCCGCGCCGCCGCCCGCCAGCCCCGGCGCCGCGCCGCCCGCGCCGCCCGCGCCGCCCGCGCCGCCCGCGCCGCCCGCGCCGCTGCCCGCCGCCTCCGCCACGCCGTTGCGCTGTCCGTCTGCGATAGAGTTCGGACAGTGGGAGATCGACACCTGGTACTCGAGTCCATTTCCACAGGAATATGCCAGGTCAGTGAGACCTTTGTACTACACTAATATTGTTTTAATGACTATGCGATTCAAAAGACATGATTAACCAATTATCCTTTGACATACATGTAGTAGTAAAATATATTCTTAAAATATAAATATTTTGTAATGTTTAAAATTTAACTATTTATGATTTTTTTTTTATTTTCAGGCTCCCGAAGCTATTCCTCTGCGAATTTTGCCTAAAATATGCGAAGAGTCGAGCGGTATTAATGAGACACCTAGACAAGTGCCTGTGGCGGCATCCGCCTGCCACCGAAATCTATCGCTGTGGCGACATTTCAGTGTTCGAGGTTGACGGGAACGCGAACAAGATCTATTGTCAGAACTTGTGCTTGCTCGCGAAATTGTTCCTGGACCATAAAACCCTCTACTATGACGTAGAACCGTTCCTCTTTTATGTGCTGACAAAAAATGATAATAAAGGTTGCCACCTAGTTGGCTACTTTTCCAAAGAGAAACATTGCCAGCAGAAGTATAATGTGTCTTGCATAATGACGATGCCGCAGTATCAGAGACAAGGCTATGGGAGGTTCCTCATCCATTTTAGTGAGTGGTGGAATCTTTATTACTTTTTCGTAAAAATAAATTTTATACTTGTAACATTTTGAAATCAATTCTATTAAAAATACAATATATTTTCTGAAAACTAAATATTTTTTTTCATAGTGTCATTGGCTTTTTTGCAGGTTATCTACTTTCAAAAGAAGAAGGGCAGCCTGGTACACCAGAAAAACCTTTATCAGATCTCGGAAGAGTTTCATATCATGCTTACTGGAAGTCTGTAATTCTCGAATTCCTCTATGATCGTAAAGACAAGTCTTTTACATTTGAAGAAATTGCTCACATGACGGGCATGCACATGAATGATATTGCAGTTACATTTCAGTTATTAGGATTTGTAAGATATATTCCAAATAATGAAGTGGTTAAATTAGGACTTTGTATAGATTGGAATAAAGTTGATACTCACATGAAGAAATTAAGAAATAAACCACGATTGGAAATTGATCCAGAATGCCTTAGATGGACACCTCTTCTTGCACCTACAGTGAATCCTTTCAGATCACCAGAGGAGGCGTCAGGGGACCAAGAAACTGAGAATGAGGATACAGAACAAAAAACTGATAGTGATGCTACAGCCACGGAGACAGAAGCTTCTGCTCCTGTGCATACCAAGATCGAAACAAAGGTTCCTACTAAAGTAGAGAAAGAGGAACTTCCAGTAGAGGTAACATCTTCTGGGAGAAGACGTACTAGACCCCTCAAATATAGTGAAACTACTTATCAGACGACGCCGACGGTCGGTGATGGTAGCCGAAAGAGGAAACGAGATCTCAGCAGAAAGATATCGGAGTCTAACTTTGAAGAAGGAAAAACCGATGAGACGCCCAAACAACAAAGAAGTAAAAGTATTTCTAGAAGATCTTCAAGAGTTCAAAATGAAATAAATGATGACAATAACAGTCAAAGGAATAGAAGACAAAGTGTAAAAGAAACTTCTGTATATCCTTCAGATAGCCAAGATAGTCAAGAAGAAAGTGCAGATACCACTTTAGCGTCTACTCCAGTCATTAATACCATTAAACCAAAAACTAAACGGAAATTTGCTTGGAGAGGGCGTTCTAGAAAACGGCAAAAGGTCAATAATAAGAATGCAGTTAGAACTAGTTCACCAGTGCTTAAGAAAGCTAAACTTGATGACAATAAAGAGGAAACCAATGATTATAAGACAGATGATGATTCAATACAAGAAGCAGACAAAACAGCCACGGCGTCTGTTGATGATCAGAATTCACCAAAGAAATTAAATGATGAAAATGAAAAAGCAGAAAAGAATAAAAATACGGATGCTAGCTCTGAAGATTCTTCTGGTGAAGCAGATGATGAAATGGATGTTGAAGAAGCAGAAAATAGAAACGACGCTGTTAAACCGGCAACACCACATAATACTGAAGAAAATAGTACAGATCATCATACTAGTGACATGGAACTTGACAGTATCCACATGGATTCTCCCAAATCTATAGCTGAAAAAGAACGAGACATGGATGAAATAACGAAAGATAAACTTGACAAAGATAATAACGACGATGAAGTGGTGAAGCCCATAGAAAATGAAAGAGATATAAGAGAACCTGAAAACGATTCAAAGAATCCATCAGAAGAAAACGAGTTACCTGAAACTAGAAACGGCGAAATGAAATCTCCTTGTAAACCAACTATTGATGATAAGGATACTATCGTTATTTCAGAATCTGACGATAATAATAGTCAAAGTTGTCCACTCCCATCACCTACTTCGCATTCAATAGTACCAGTATTGCAGAATAATAATAATAAACCAAAAGAGATTGAAGAAAATGAAAGTCCGTCTAAAGTTATTCCAGTTGTATCAACAGAAAATGCTCATATAGTGTTAGATCCCAAAGTACAAGAAGACGTTAATACTGCAAGACCTGTAGTTGATAATAATTTGCCAAAAATCCATCTAATTGAGACAATTGTAGTTGAAGGGGAGTCTGATAATGCCAATTCTCCTGTTATATCTCCTAAGAAAAATGATAAGTCTGTTATAAGCGAATCTCCAAAGCAAAAGAATTCACCAGAGAAACTTGGCACAGAGGTGGTGTATGAACAGAAAAAGTGTGAAGTTAGAAAAGAGACTGTGATACAACATCAAGCTATAGATGAAAGCAAGACTCCAGAGAAAAAATCGCCCACTAAAATTGAAACGATCATACAGAATTTAGATCCACAGAGAGATCTTTCATCGATTGCAAAAAAGCCAGAACCACCTAAAATTGATTCTTTTCTAGAGTCTGATAATAGAAATAAAATTCAGTACCCGATCGTCAGTAAGGAGAATGAGATTTCCTTTCGCAATGATGCCTACACCAGAAAAGACGAAGTTGTAATAACTAGAAATATAACAGATCATAATTTTCAGAATGTACAAAATTATCAAAATCCCGTGAATAATTCAATGACGATACAGCAAATAAATTCAGCACAACATTCATATCTCAATAACAGAGCAAATATAAACAAAGAGTCTCAAGCCATACAGACTGAAAAAGTTCTTAAATCAAGTGAACAGAATCGTGTGATAAGTAGTATGGTAGATACGGCGCCAGTAATAAGTAAAACTGCGACAAAATTAGAAGTTCCTCATCCTATATCGTCGCCAGTTATAAGCCCAGTGATACCAAAAGTTCCCAATGTGTCGGAAATAAATTTTTTACCCAGATGTCAAAGCGCTAATCCTGCTATAAATATAGGTGTCGATAGATCGGACTTAGAATCTAGTTTTTCTAGTAATAGTGCTTTACAAAATTCATTAACTGGATCAATGAATATTGTTCAGACTGGCTCTCAAGACAAAAACGACTCTAAACCTAGGGAAAAGAGCAAGCTTCGGGATGTGCGTGTGAATTCCGCTCACAGCAAAATAGAAAAGACAGAAAAGAAAACTAATAAAAGTGACACTCCAAGAAGTACACCAGAACCGAAATTGTTTTTTCCTGAACAAAACACAAACGCCAGAAAACCTGAGACGTCTGTCCCTATAAATGTTATTAATTCAGTAGCGGTCACCAGCAAAGTAGATAGTAAATCCACTAACGAGGCACCAAAGAAGCAGGATTTTTTTAAGAAAGAAAAATCGAGTGCTAGCAAGTGCGACTCTAAGAATAGTTCAGTGAAACATGACAAGAGTTGCACGAGCCAGTTGAATTTGAAAACGTCCGTCGACCATCAGAATGACGTAAATAAAATGTTGTCCAAATTGAAATACGACAACGAGCTGGTTCCTAAAGCTGATTACTCGATGAATCAAATTCCGAACTATCATACGACGCATGCGCAGTACCATCAGTGGGCGCCGTGGGGCGACCCTACTGTTGGACGTTTGCAGAGCGGATGGGATCCTAACAGGTTTATAGATGTAAAAAATGACAAAAACTACTTTGATAAATTACAACAGTTCAACCTTCCCACCCTGGATCAAATGCAGAAATCACCACAAAAGTTGCATGCGAAGTATGATCAGAAGGATTTTCACAACATCGCATATGGAGCGCTCTCGAGTGGTATCTATGCGACCGGTCTCTCCCATCTAAAGGAGACGAAGGGGCCAAAGACATCAGAATGTTCGCAGAAGAGTGAAGCAAGCAAGAAGCAGTCGAAGACGACGACCGCGTGCCAGACGCAGTGCGAGTCGAAGAAGTCCGCGGACGCTCAGATGAAGCAGATGATGCAGCGACAGGCAAAGCAGCAGGATGCGGCTAGCTGCGCCGAGTACCGGCAGAGCCCGCAGGTGCTAGCGTCGCCCGGCTGCAAGACGCCCTTCAACCAGAACGGTCCGTGCCAAGAGAAGGAGATCGAGAAGAAGTCGCGCCAGCAGACCAAGAAGGAGGAGTCTCCGAAAGACACGAGCAAGGAGGAGATGTGCGAGGCGGTGAGCCCGGCGCTGCAGTCGATGGGCGTGTACACGCCGGACTCGACCAGCAACTCGGTGCACTCGGTGCAGTACCCGGCCTGCGAGCTGGACGTGAGCCAGCTGGGGCTGGAGTCGCCCACCAGCATCGGCTCCGACATGGCGTCGCCCTGCTCCATGATGCACATGCACCCGGCGCCCAGCCCGCAGTACCCGCACTCCTCCATACACATCCCCTCCATCATGACGCAGCCCAATCAGCCGGCCAAGCAGCAGAAGATTAATAATAGGAACAGGTAAGTTTTCTTTTTCAAATGCTGTATCTATGTTTTTATGTAGGCGTAATAATATATATATATATATATATATATATATATATATATATATATATATATATATATTTTGTAATATCTTATAGACTGATTCCCAAATTGACAACTCTCTATAAATCTAATCTGAATATGTCATTAGTTTGTCAGTTTTATAAATTGGGAAGTCGATGTAAAACAATGAGCCTGAACAGTTCAATAGCTAAAACAGGTTTATAAGATATTTGACGTTTTTATGATAAAAGGGGGGGGGGGGGGGGGATGTTCGACCAATTTTAATATTCTTTCACCTATACATTATCGGCGAATAACGTAGGCTTTATATTATTTTCGAAAATTCTATTCATTTCTGGGAAGCTTGGTCGGTTTACTAGTTATTAGGAAAAATACATGCTCGCTCCATATTTTTCTTTATAAATGTCTGATGTTTTTTTAATGGTTGAAAATAAAATGGCAACCCCGCCTCCGCTATCGGAATAGGCTAAAGGGAGATTAGGGACACATGATAGGTGAGGATGGAAAGCAGGTGTGTGTTAGTGCATCGTGACGAATTCTACAAGAATTAAATATGATGGTTCCCAGGGGTAACCGCGAGGAGGCCGACCTGGTTGGGTATATTGCTAGCAATGGGATTCTCACTCTTCATTACTAACAATCCCTTTCCCCCCGATGCAGGTATATTGTGGTCAGCGGGACTGTTAAGCCCCATTACTAAAAGTTTCTTTTTCCTTTTGTTTGATGTGTCTGCGTGTGTGCGTAGGAACAACAACACGAGTGGCGGCGGCGGCGGCGGTGGCGGCGGCGGCAGCGGCGGCGACAGCAAGGCGCTGCGCACGGCCGCCACGCCGCCCGCCGCGGCCGCGCGCCAGCGGGCCACGCCGCCCGCGCACTCGCACCAGCCGCACGGTACGCGTCCAGCGGTCGCCACCACCGCACCATATCCTCAATAGTGCTGTGACCGAGTCATGCCAATTTATTTATTAATATCAACCATATTAACCCTTTGAGTGCCGACGAGCGCCATCGCGCTCGTGCGCATTGCAACTAAAAGTGTCACGAGCGTCATAGCGCTCGTGAAATCAGTCGCTGTTAAGCTTGCTGTAAAAAAAATATATATTGAAATTGAATAATTTTTGGAGGAGATACAGTTTTTTTTTAGAGACAAGGGTGAATGACATTAACACGACAAAGATTTCTTTGGCATTTTTAAGTGTTATATATATATATATATATATATATACACTTAAAAATGATATGATTACATTGATATATATATATCAATGTCATCATATCATACATATATATGGCACTAAAAGGATTAATGTAAAAATTTACCGCTTTATTCATAAAATATTAATATGTTATATGTTTCCTGTAACAAGGAAATATATAGTTAATATAATACAATAGTTCAAATCGATTGTACGAATATTCGATCATCCGGGCTTACTCTTCAAGGCTCTAATTACCGATTTAGAAATGGTATTCAGTATTTATCGGGTAAATAGGTATTATGTTACATTATCATTATCGTAATTTTTTTATAGTATTCTTTAAATAACGTATATTAAACTGTTTTCATAATAAAAATATTGTTTAACTTTGAAATCGATTATTCGGATTTTCTTATGCCAGATACTAATATCAAGTTTAACATATTCTCCGCCAACAAGTTTTTTTTCATAAAAATTCTTTGTTTTTAAGTCATATTTAATAAATTATATAGAGATACGATTATTTAATTTACTTTGATGCATTTTTATGGGAAATTATGAGGATTTTTTATGTGTCAGTCAGTGATGTGACTGACAAAGCGCCAACGGTAAAAAATTACGCGTCGCGTAGCTCCATTGGAGTATTCCAGTGTCAGTCACCCGTGACTGAGAAGGCTCTCAATGTGTTTAACAAACAGTCTTGACGATCCTGTCCTTAATTTTATTGCGATGTGTATATAATAAAGTGTCTTGAAACATTTCAATCTCGACTTTAAACTACACTACCAGAGGGAGACTTTGTACAAAATTCAATTACTTGGGTACCTCTGTCCCATTCGTGTTTCTATCGTGAAGCAGTTGTGTTTGCATAGCTGTGTTTCGGTTTGAAGTGTGGGATATGGCGTGAATTTACAGGGTACAGAGGAATAACACCTGAGTTCTCAGGAATGGCAACACATGGGGGGTAAAATGGGCGAAACAGTATGTGTGTGTACTGTTATGTCCATGGTACTGCTCATGTCTATAGGCGACGGTTACCACTTTCTATCAGGTGGGCTGTCAGCTTGTTTGCCATTCTAAGTCGTATAAAAAAATATATATATAAAAAAAAAAACACGGTTTCATTCATGCAAATGCAATGAATAATAGCAAGTGTTAATTGCAGGCGGTAGCGTGATGCAGACGAGCGGCGGCGGCGGCAGCGGTGGCGGCGGCGGGGGAGGCAGCGGCGGCGGCGGCGGGGGCGGGTACCAGGGCGGCTACCTGCCGTTCCAGCAGCAGCAGCAGTACCACGCGGGCGTGGCGGGCGTGGCGGGCGTGGCGGGCGTGACTGCAGGCGGCTGGGGCGCGCCCAGCTGCTCGCTGGCCAAGCTGCAGCAGATGGCCGACGCGCCGCAGCACCACCACCCGCCGCACCCGCCGCACCCGCACACGCCGCCCGCGCATCAGGTATGCCACTCGTCACACGCCACACTCGCAGCACTACCTCGTCCGTTAAATATTTGATATGCTGTTGGAACGTGATAAAGTACTATTTCAATATCTGTGATGTAGCACTTAGGTTCAGAAATGTTGGTTGATATGTTTTAGAAAATCAAATGACATGTCTTCTTACTACATTGGTTTCTTTTTTTTTTTTACTAATACTTATAAAACATTAGGCGACGGCGTGTAGTGTTTGTAGAAAAAGTATGGATAAAAGATATAATTGAGTAGATTGATAGTGTATGAACTATATGTTAAGGTTACATAATTATATTCCTTTATTTATCTTTATAAACAATATACGGTTTATTATTATTAAATGGCTACAACAATTTGTCCCATGCTTATGCTAATTATGTTTTTTTTTAATGTACAGAGTACTAATAGCGTGTATGTTTTGATACAGAATGAGTTATTGCAGTACGCACAGCAAGCGGGCACCCCGCCGGCGGGTGGGGTGGGCGCGGTGGGCGCGGTGGGAGGCCACTACCACGCCAAGTACTACCCGCCACACAATCAGCTCGATTCGCCTCGGAACACCAGGAATGCCTCCAGTAAGTACACTATCACATCCTGTTATTTTCCCTGTAATTGATAAAAGTTTGAAGTGGTTTGTAAACCTGCATCTTTGATAGTGAAGTCAGTGCTTTACATAAACACATATCTGTCACGCCTGTCTCCCATTAGGGTAGGCAGAAACAATGGAACGCCAAATGCTTCGATTCAAACAAAGCTCTTTCGCTTCTTCCACATTCATCAATCTTTTCATACACGCTCGTTGGTTACGGGTACTTTTAATTTGGCCCTTCTTCAGCACGTCGCCTATTTGGTCGATATACGTCCGTCTAGGGCGGCCCCTACCGACATCTTCATTCATTCTTGCTCGATAAATCTCTTTCGTAATACTTCTTTCATTCATCCTCTCCAAATGACCAAACCAAACAAAGTCAGTGCTTTTATCAGTTAAATTACTGTTTCAAATGACTATCATTTACAATCATATAAATAGTTTTTTTTTTCCCATAGTAACACTGTCTGTGTGTATTAGGATAAAATATTTCCTACAATATGTAGAAATTTAGCCAAAATCTTAGATCTACTGTTCACTGACGAAATCCACCCTGTGCGATCTACCAAATTACTTACTTCTTGCAATCTCGAATTAAACAACACAGTTCAGTACACAATTATGTAGTATTGTAGTTTTTTTTTTTTTATTTTATTAAGAGAGAAAACATAACTGAAAATTATTCTTAGTAACTTATTATTTATATTAGTGTGATCATTGCGTCTGAGTATTTCCTGCTAGATTAGCAAAATATTATATTTTTTGCATTGCCATGATCGACCGGTTTGGCCACCCCTGGTGTACTACATTTATTTCGTACGTAAATTGTTTAGCTTTTTAAATGTAATTGTACTATAAATGAAATAGACATTCCAAAACTAATTATCAAATCATCTTAACAAATTTTTTGATTTATTATATCTATAGAATTTGTATTTATTTGTTAATTATTTAATTATAAATCGATGTAGTAAAGAAATATGTTGTCGTAAAAGGTGACAAAGGATAAAAGTAAAATGCATTAATTCAGGGGAAATTAACTTTAATACTCTTATTTATTTGTATTTCAATGATGGAATAACAATGGTCTAACAATAAGTAACGTGTGCAGGCAACCTGAGCCCGATGCAGCACATGCAGATCGCGCCGGGCTCGCGAATGTCGCCCAACATCAACACGCACATCATCAGCCAGTACGGGCTGAACGGGTACCGCATGTCGCCGCAGCAGCAATTCAACAACCTGCCCGTGCAGATGATGAACGTGCAGGGCGGCGTGCAGTACCCGTCGGACCCGCGCGACCCGCGCGCGCAGCAGGGCAACGTGTACTACGGGTACATCAACCCGCCGCCGCCGCTGGCCATGCAGCCGCTCAACTCCTCCATGCGTCGGTAGCCCGCGCCCGCCTCCGCCTCCGCCTCCGCCTCCGCCTCCGCTACCGCCGCCGCCGCACCTACACCACCGGCCACACGCTAGCGCTCTACGGTGCGATCTAGACAACGATACGAGTGATTTTTCGCCACAAAATAAATAATTCAGATTTGGTTAGTTAACAAGAAAATCCATTAAATTGCAGTGATACTAGGGCTGGATTTAACACTATACTATAGTGTCCAATCTCGGTCTGTACTCAACCTATAATTATTTTGATCGTACTGTATACTCGTTTAGTGTGTAACGTTGACACCACTACGGTTGCCTTATCCTTCCGCGCTGGAACTCTTGGGGTTGGCGCATACCGACGCAGTAGCGGCAGTTGATTAGTTATTCAATCTTAGCCGCTTGAGCATACGACTGAAATTTGTATAACAAAACCAACGGTGGCTCGGAGTTATACAGGAGGCGAGAGGCAGCTTTGCGACCGATCGGTCTGCGCTGACCCTTCTGCCCGCCGGATGGCGCCGCGTCCCGTATGGAAGCTGAATAAAGTACAAAATTGAAGATAGAGTTGTATTTAAATCTGTTTATAGTGATGAACGCGTTGGCGAAACGTAGCATAATTTTATAGTGCAATAATTGTATGTCCTCCGCTGCACTAGTGTGGTGATACTGACTCGCGGAGTGTCGACCGGACAGTGATCTGATGATGGGCGTGCGCTTAAATTCTAATAAATTAATATATATATAATATATATATACATACTTAATTTCCAAAGAGATAATGTTAAGTCTTTGGTTATGTCAAAAAAAAGTGCAATGTTTTATTCGGAGTGGCATACAGTAACATCTGATGTAAAGAATTGTTTGGAATTCGTATTTATATGTATATCCTGTTTGCGTTAAAATATGTGTCCACGCGCGAAATGTAATATACATGATTGCTTGTACAGTTTATGTATCTAATTATATTTTACGGATAAGAACCCAAGTTTGTCTTTAATCTGTTCTTCGAAGTGCCTCTCACGTCCCATCCGCTTAATTTCTATGTAAGATATTGTAAATGTACTGCTTTCGATTAACACAAGGCTGTATAGACATAGGGCCGTTATAGTTGTAGCATATTTGTATGATAATTATGTTTTTGTGATAGTGGAGTGTACGGGCGCGGCTAGCGCCCGCGGCCACGCAACGGCGGGCCTAAGGACGGTTATTTTTTTTTATATTTTGTATTCTTTTACACAATGTAGACTTAAAATTTTTATGTAATAATAATCTCTTGGTTTTTACGCTTCGCTTAAGAATTATTTTCGTGTTTTTACATTAATTTATTGCCAAATGTTTTTAACACTGATTGCGTTTACAATGTAAGGAAGTATTTTAGGTTATGTTAGTTATAAATTTTAGTTTGCTCCCTGCACGTACGTTTTACGGTTATTCGTTAGGTCGGCAGAGGCGCGGTCACCGCGTCGGCCGCACTCTGTTGCGAATCGGTAAATTAATTTGTAAGATCTGCTCCTCTAAGGTTATGAATGTTATTTGTTACTAATGTGTAGTAATTATATAAAATATTGTAAATATAAATAACAGTAAGAAAATATGTAGCACGTGTTATTACACAAAATATAATTTTGTGAAAAAAAATTGGGAAGTTTTATTTGTCACTTAGTACAAGTTGCGTATCCATAGTGCTTCTTTTTTTTTAAAAAAAAAGAAAATAGATTTTGTAAGTATAAGTTGAATAATAAGTAACAAAGTTATTGATGGAAATTGCTATTGAACATCATAGAAGTATCGTTTATATACTTATTTATATATTACTAAGATTCAATACATAATTCAATGAATTATTAGGAACTCTGAATAATGCAGTTGGTAATTATTTCAGACCTTGGATACAGTTCTAGCTCTAGTTGGGTCATAAGGAAAGTAGGTTATTAATTAAAAGAAAAAATAAATAACAAACATAAGTATTTCTCGAATTACGTAATATTTGATGAGATATCAAATATTGTATGAGTTTTTCATGTCCTTTGCAACCTTTTACTGGTGCCTCGCCAGTGAGGAATGAGATGAAGATGCGAGCATGGCAATGGCTCATCAATTAACTGCGATAGTTTCTAGGGACTCCATGAAGCTCCACTTGTCGAAGTATATTGCTAGCATCTAGTACCCGTAAAACCAAACCGTAAAAGTGAGTTTATTATTTCTTGTCGCCTTAATGGCTCGACCAATTTGGTATACATAGTACTTGGGATAGAGAAGAACAAGGTGAAGTCACGGCTAAAAAGTAGTAAATAAATAATTGGAGTTATGTAGAAAATGGTCATTATACCTTTTTATATTTATAAATATGATGTTTCTTTTTATTAATGCTATTAAATTTTAATAAAAATACGTCTGTTGATGTGATATATTTTTTTGTTATAATTAATTTGTTTTAAATGTTCTTTTTTACAAAAAAAATTCTAATTGCCAACTTATCTAATAAGGTTCATTATTTATGCAACTTATAATGGACTAACTGATGGCCCACCTGATGGAATGTGGTAACCGTTGCCTATATACATGAGCAGTATTTTGGACATAATAGAGTATACTGTTTCGCCCATGATGTCCCCCATGCGTTGCCATTCTAATGACTCAGGTGTTATTCCTTTGTACCCTGTAAGTTCACTGCCATATCCTACCCTCCAAACTGAAACACAGCTACGCAAACAGAACTGCTTCACAAACACAAATAGGACAGAGGTGCCCAAGAAAACAACTTTTGTACAAAGTCTCCCTCTGGTGCATTTTAAACACCTGTTATGTTCATGTCTTCTTATCATTTTCCTTTAAGTTTATGTAACAACATGGAGTGAAATGAAAAATGTAAATATATTAACAGCCTTTTATATAACTAATTTATAATAAATTAAATATAATAAGATAGAAAATAAATAAATAAAATAATGTATGCTTAGGATAAATTAATATCACAATATGACAAATTTTCAAAGTTACACTTTACAAATTCAACATTCAATAAATCAGAGTTGACTTAATACTTTCACAACACATTTTAACTATCTATTATAATCACAATTTTGCCTATAAAAAGGGTCTTTAAATTTGAACATAAATTGGCAGTGGCAAAGGGTCTGCTGCTCTTCTGTCGAGGTGTACCCTGTTCCTCATTAACTGAAGACTATTCTCGGTTACCTTGGTGCACCCTCGTACAATCAGCCCTTCTAGCTTCTTACTGTGCAGTGCCAAAGATCTGAAACAAATTATTTGTTCATTAGATATTTCTCACAAATTTTTAATAAAAATTAAATATGATAACACTAGGCCATATTATACTCATATGTGGCTTTCCTGATATGCAGTTATTGCCTGCAACATAAATAACAAAAAATGAAAATATCTACAATATTAAAAGTCAATAACTGATCTGAAACTACATCTTGCTTGGTATCAATATTTTCAATTTTTTTTATACAACTTAGAATGGTAAACAAGTTGATGGCCCACCTGATGGAAAGTGGTAACCGTCGCCTATAGACATGAGCAGTGCCATAGACATAACAGAGTATACTGTTTTGCTCATGATACCCCCCATGTGTTGCCATTTTTGAGGACTCAGGTCTTATTCCTCTGTACCCAGTAAATTTACGCCATATCCCACCCTTCAAACCGAAACACAGCCATGCAAACACAACTGCTTTACGGTTGAAACACGAATGGGACAGAGGTACCCAAGCAATAGACTTTTGTACAAAGTCTCCCTCTGGTAATAAATCAAATAAAGAAACAAAAACAATATTAAAAAAAAGAAACATAAAAAAGCTTTTAAATATATTATAGTTAAGGTGTCAATATGTTTGTGATGGTATCCTTACAACTTTGATATAATAAGTATAAGATTTATAAAGTAGGGATTTGAGAAAAAATAATGCAGGCTTACCTAACACCTTTATCTGTGATCTCTGAACAACCACCCAAATTCAGAAGTCTCAGCGAAGTGCTGTATTTAGACATAGCATACAGGCATCTATCTGTAACTTGTTTATTTCCTTCTAAATTTATAGTTTTCAAATGTTTGAACTTCTTTATGAATATTAAAATGCAACTTTCCGATATACATAAGCAGTAGGATAGGTCTACATCTTCTAATTTACTTTGGTGTAATGCTAGCGCCTCCATGGCACCAGTAGTGAGCCACGAACATCTTGTGAGCTTCAGTATTCTTAAATTATTGCAATACAATATAACAGGCTGTAAACATTTAGCAGTCAAATTTTTACACTGGCTCAAGTTCAAATTCACTAGGGCAGGATTCCGTAACAGCAAAGGGATGAGATCAGAGTCCGTTAGTGTCAAACATTTACTCAGATTTAGAACGTTTAGCCTGGTACACGTTAGAGAGAAGACCTGAAACAATAATTTTTTTAAGACATATAAAGTATTTTTAAATATAATATTTAATATATGTGAAGCACTTACGCTAAAGGTATGCGGTGAAAATCCCTTATTCATTAATTTCAAGGATTTTAGCTTAGAAAAGTATATATTAATTATTTGTAAGCAAGTCTTAGATGCGCAACGAAAATTGAAGCACTCTCGTAGGGTCAGATGGGGTAGAACTTTTGAGACTAATATATCTTCCCAATATAAATCGAATAACTGAGTATTTCGCTTCATGTTCATTCTGATTTTTGCATAATTTTCACAATTTCTTTATATTTACACCGTATTTTGATTTATATTCATTACATTGTACCTTGACATTGGCAGTCATCTGTCAAAATAGCAAATATTTATGGTGTCTGTCATGTCAGTCTATGAATTGATTTTGTCATATAATGGATACCATAAACGATAAAAATAAAAGTATCTCAGGTTCCAGTTAATAGAATCTTAATTAATACAATCTTATTCTAGTAATATATTCTATCAGTACTGTATCACTGATACTATTTGATTTGCAAACCAAACAGAAACTATTGGACACATAGTTAATTCTTGTCGAATTTGTTACGATGGCCAGCTAACTTATTATGCTACATCTTCATCTGTCACAGTACCCCGCTCGCATATGCAGATAGCACAGGTGAGGTTAGCATTCCATTTTCATCCATTAAAAAAAATGTTACAATATAGAGTCACTACTAATGGTCAGTCCTAAGCGATAAATATTAGTAGTCAACGATTTTTTTTGATGGCCTGTGCTAACGGGTTACGCTGGCGGAACACCAGAAAATAGGCCAGTTAGACCTTCATGATGAATTCATCAGGAATTAACCATGACAGTTTCCAGGGGGAACCGCGAGGAGGTCGACCTGGTTGGGTATATTGCTAGCAATGGGATTCTCAGTCTCCATTACTAACAATCCCTTTCCCCCAGTAATCAACGATTAGCAGGTATATAGAATTCCACAAAATAATATCAAATTCAATAAAAAAACTTGCCATTTGATTATATTTATTCATTAGTACATATATGTATACATAGCGGAACTAATGCTAAAAGCATTCTCTCCCAGTCAACCATAGGGCAGTGTCAGAATACACGAATGCGGTACTAGTAATTATTGATATACATACATAGTAAAATTATATATATAAACGAATAAATATATATATTAATAACAAATATACTTACACATATATAACATATACTATATTATACACGAAATTGAGAATAATATAAAGTACTTACTGCTTGAATAAAGTAAAAAAGTTAGCATGAACGTTTTTTTTGAAAGACGGTTTAGTCGATAGTTTTCTTAATGGAATCAGGAAGCGCGTTCCAGAGTCGTGAAGAATGTAGGAGAAAAGAATATTAAGCGAAACCAGTACGGCGAGAGGGGACAGATAGTTGGAGAATATTATTGGAACGAAGGTTATGACCGTGAGTTTCAAAAAGGTACTGGAATTTGCTGTTTAAGTAGTGGGGGTTTCGAAGAAGAGTATAGAGGTGTACCCTCTATACTCTTCTTCGTTCTAATGTTTCTGCGTTGACGAATGGGAAGGCATTTGAGCTGAGACCGATAGAAAGAAATGTGATCGAATTTCCGAATGTTCAAAATAAAGCGTATGGCTTGGTTGAGGAGACGGTCCAGCTTATCGAGAAGATCTTCATTAAGATCTGGATAACACACATCAGCATAATCAATAATCGGAATAATTAGAACGTGAGCAAGATTAATTTTTGTAACGATAGGCAAAAAGTTTTTAAAGCGGTATTAGGAGCGCAGAGTAGCAATAACTGAGCGACGTACCTCCGCAACTTGTTGTATCCAGCTGACTGAAGAGTCTATGTAAAGGCCAAGATCTTTAATGGTCATTATTATCCATTAAAAAAAAAAAAAAACCTTAGACTAATAAATAACATATTATTATTTCAATTAGAAATTTCTTATCTTAGGTCATAACTGAGTTTAAAAAACTTTTTTAGATACATCGTTGCATTTTTCGTTTATAGATATAACTTTATTTTAAATTTTTTCCTTTTATTTGATTTTTTCGTTCATACATGTTCATGTTTCAAAATTAATGAAAAATAAATATAGTACCCCAATTTGGTTAGTGCCTATTTTGATGTGTTGGTTACCCCCTTATGATATTTTAGGAAATACAACAATTTTTTTTTATTATTTCTATTGCAATATATGTAGATCATTTTATATCTAAAAGTATTCCTAATTTCAAAATAATACCATTAGCATTTACTAAGTTATAACGCAGTGATAGGCGGACGAATTGTCAGATGGACGGATAAAGTTGTATCATGAAATTTCCTTTGCATTTTTTTGGCACGGAATTTTAAAAAATTAAACCGTAAAATTGCAAAACATTCCACGAAGTTCAGTAAGTTATTCGGATCTTTTTGTAAAGAGTGAAAGTAATGAAAATAAACAGATGAAATTATAATAGAAAAAGTTAAGGAGAACAGTAATTAAGGATGTACTTTACATTTTAATGTTTTTTTTTTTGTTATATCCAATTACTTTGTTTGGGAGTAAAGGAACTAAAATACAAGTATTTCGCCGTTTACGAGCGACTTCAGGGATAAAGCTGCAACTTATATAAATAGGTATGAATATATGTACCTATTTCATACTGAATACTTTTTTATCACAGCCATGCTAAGAACGGTTGTTCGGATTGATACCTGCTGCTGATTTTCACCACCGTACACCCCGCCACAAACTAAAGTTTCATCCCAATCATCTGGACGAGTAGCGGTCTTCCACCGTGCGTTTTTCAAGGCACTTTCTTCCACGCACAACCATTCTTTGGAATCAACTTCCAGCAGCAGTATTTCCGAACCGATACGACAACATAACCTTCAAGAAAAGAGTATATTCCTTTTTAAAAGGCCGGCAGCACACCTGCAATGCCGCTGGTGTTGTGGGTGATCATGGGCGGCGGTAGTCACTTACCATCAGGTGAGCCGCATGCTCGTTTGCCCCCTGTGTTGTAAAAAAAAAAAAAACCCACCCAATAAAAATAGCTTTAGAAAACCGTATTGAAATTGGTTCATCTATTTTGATGCGTTACCTCAAACAGATACAGAAATGGTTAGAACATTAAAGAGTTATTTATAATTTTGACTTATTTATATATTTACATTATGTATTTAATTTGGACGTGTGGTCCCGGCATATTATAGGTCACACCTTCCTTTCCCGTGGGTGTCGTAAAAATCAACTAAGGGACGGCGAAGGATGGGCAGTAGCGTCCATTTTAAAACATATCTAAAGCCTGACTGCGGTTGCCAATCTGCCTGCCAAGCATGGCAACTATTGGCAAAACTCTCCAAGGGGGAGATTTATGTTCAGCAGTGGACAGTTTAAGGCTGACATAATGATGATGAATTAATTATTAATGTGGGCAAAGTGTTTTTAATATTAGGTAATTATTCTAAGATGCAAAAAAGCTGCAACATCGCAGGATACTGTGTGATGCCTATGACAACTCCGAGTATGTTACCATTTCTGATTGGTTCTGGGGTTCCAATCTGGGATTGTTAGTAATGCAGGCTACCAGTTCTATTGCTTGCACGTCGACTTACACGTGGTTCCTCCTGGAAACCATCGTGCTGAATTCCACATGTATTAATTACGATGGGCTAACTGACCTGTTTTTTCATTCTCACCTATCATCCCTCACTGGTGCCTCGTCAGGGTTGCCATTCCATTACTATCCATTAAAAAAAATACTCTTATCAACAGTAAGAAGAATTATAAAAATCGTAAAATCCTACAAACGGTGCGTGAAATGCTTTTTCACTTAATTATGTAATTAATTAATGTTAAGAATTTAGTGAACATAATGTGGCCAACCGTTGAGAGTGGAACGTTCTCTTTTCAGTTGCTCGTATTCATGGACTATGTCGTTTCTGTACCATCAGGATAGTGTAGAGTAGTTACATGGCGTGATATAATAAGAGAAATCTGTACAGAATTAGCGAAGAAATATTTTTTTATGCAACTTAGAATGTCAAACAAGCTGACGGCCCACCTGATGGAAAGTGGTAACCGTCGCCTATAGACATTAGCAGTACCGTGGACATAACAGAGTATACTGTTTCGCCCATGATACTCCCCATGCGTTGCTATTCCGAGGACTCAGGTGACCTTTGTACCCAGTAAATTCACTGTCATATCCAACCCTTCAAACCGAAACACAGCCATGCAAACACAACTGCTTTACGGTAGAAACATGAATAGGATAGAGGTGCTAACTTAACGTACTTATGAAAAAATATTTCTACTTTTTAAAAAATGGGAATTGTTTGTCTGTTTTTAAATGCAATGATGTAACCTAACTGTCTTCACAACTTGTCGGTTTACGTAGATTACAATTTTCACGCAATGAATTTAACGACATGAAAATAATAGTACAATCATTTGGTAGACGGCATTCGTCGAACAGAATTGTCAGTAATAAAATTTTTATTGCCTGTTACGATGTGCAGATGCTGGTGTTACTGAACCATGGATCTATAGAATTTGATATGGTGTTATATGGTATATCAGGTAGAAGATTTTTTTTTTCAAATAAAACTGTTTTATTTCTTCTTTTTATTTTATTTATAACATTGTTTTGGTGAAACGAAATAGTGTGTCTGAGGTGAACAAAAATTAAATACATTACTTATAATTAAATTTCATAGAATTTAATTTAAAAATATCCATAATAAATAATTTACATAACGTGTATGTGCTTTGAAGATCGAAGAATAGATTGTAAAACTATATAAAGATTTGGGCAAGAAAATAAAAAAATAAGGTTTATATCACTTTCTTATTAAAAGGAAGAAATATTTTTATTTAATTAAATTTAGAATTAAGAATTATTGAATAGTAATTTTTTCATTACCACCCATTCGGAACGCAATTTCAGCCAAGAATTACGAGCAAGAAAGAGAGCTGTTGCTTTTTTCAAAAAGTTCAACTATATAAATAATGAATTTGCAGTTGAGCTGAGGCAAAGCTAATCTAATGGTTAGCTGCTAGAGAATGCTATATGGCATTAAGCTCGCCACTTGTACAGAGTTTTAATGCGCAATAAAGAATAAATAAAAATATAAATTTGTGTGAATACAAACTACTAAGCAGTATTAGATTGTTTAATTAAAATAAATCATTAAAATAAATCGGTTGCAGTGACTAGAGCAGACCAGTCCCTACAGCCTGTTCACGAGTATGACGGGTGAGCCAGCCGTCATTGCGCTAAAATCATATTTTAGGGAACTCAATAACCCGGTCCACCACCTATCTGGACATTTTAGTGACCATGATTTTCTCAAGGCCCCCAACTACTTCATAGCCAAACAAATAATTTCATACTACACACCAGTTACAGTATCTACATTTTGTTAGTAAAAACAGGTCTATTAAAAGTTCATCGTAGACCTTAGAGTCGTATAAGCAGAATAAATCATCCTGATGATGGTCATTAAGAATTGAAAATTCAGTGGTACGATGCCACCGGCCGACAACGTTATCGACCTTTGTGAGTTTTGTAGGATCATTAGAATTGTCTTTCTATTTGTAACATCGAAATGTTCCCACTTGCTGTCATACACTGCCTCTTCAAGCATGATGCTAGCGTCTATGAGTCGCTGACCGACCACGCAGTCCATCATAACTTGTATGAAGGGGAATGGTAATGCTGTATATGTGTTTTCTAAACCACCAAGCAGATGCGACACCATCGCAATGCCTAGCAGTACGAATTCTACAATAATAGAAAATCTAAAAATTTTTTCTATACCGCCGTATAATTTCAAATTCTTAACGTGTATATCCACTATTACATTGAGACGATTTCTAATGTATGTATTTTTTATAATTATTTCATCACAATCGTTAAAACTGGCTGGCGTATCTTTAGAGATTTTTTGTTCTTCATAATATTTTTCTGCATCGTTCCAAATGTATAATAATTCTTCACTGAGTCCTCGCATCTGAGCTTCTGTGTATCCAGAAATAATGATCACCAATCCTGTCACAGTAGCAGACGGGTAACAAATGAAAAAGCAGCTGAATGATACAAGCAGATAACCTATTTCGTAGTTGGGCGATTCATTCATTGGTTCCAAACCTGAAATTTTGTATCGGAAAGTGAATTTACTGGGTACAGAGGAATAACACCTGAGTCCTCAGGAATGGCAACGCATGGGGGGTATCATGGGCGAAACAGTATACTCTGTTATGTACATGGTACTGCTCATGTCTATAGGCGACGGTTACCACTTTCCATCAGGTGGGCCGTCAGCTTGTTTGCCATTCTAAGTTCTATAAAAAAAAAAAAAAAAAAAAAGTTAAAAATATTAAATACTGGCTATAGCTGGCGGAAGAAGATGCATGAATTAGTTGCACCAACAAGAGGAAACTCTTAAATGAAAAGAAAGAAGAGCTTATGAAATCAATATATGGAATACTTGGTGTTAAGATATAAGTTGTCGGGTGTGCCAAAATTCAAAATCGTTTAGTAGTTCAGAAGTAACAAGCATCCAAATATTTTCACAAACTTTCAAATTAATATTTACTTAGTCCCATTACTTAGTCGTAATGGGTAAATCAGCCGTGTAATCCCGGCATAGAATGGGCCACTCGTTCCTTTCTCGTAGGTGCCGTAAGAGTCGACTGAGGAAACTGAATGGTCGAGGGATTGATAGCAGCGTCCCTCTTAAAACGTGATCAAAACCTAACTACGGTTGCCAACCCGTCCGTCAAGCGTGGCAATTATTGGCAAAACCTTCCTTATAAGGGAGCCCTATGTTCAGCAATGGACAGTTAACAGCTGATATGATGACGATGAATGGATGGATGGATGTAGACCAACAGAAAAAACAGTAATGGCTTCTATACAAGTCGGTTAGTTCCATAGAGAATTAACATTATCAGCATTCCGACAATACCGATACGACATCATAACCTTCAAGAAAAGAGCGTATTCCTTCAGCACACCTGCAATGCCGTTGGTATTTTGGGTGATCATGGGTGGCGGTAGTCACTTACCATCGGGTGAGCCGCATGCTCGTTTGCCCCCTGTGTTGTAAAAAAAAATACTCATTGAGAAAAATCATTCAGTACCGTACACTGCTCAATGTATAAAGCCGAGTTTCGTAAATTATCGAAAAGCCAATGATGTGTACGTATTTCACTTCTGCTTGATGAAACTTACCATAGACAGTAAACAGGTCATCCATGAATCGGCGTCCGGATTTGGCGAGAGGCATTACAACGTAAAATACCCCATTGCCTATAATACTCAACCAGTATAAAAACGCACGCCATTTCACTTGTTTCATTGTGCCTAGTATATTCTTAGATAAGCGACTTCCTAGCGCAATTTCTGCATCGAGGGCGATGTAACTGTCAATTGTTTCCCTTATAGCGTCACTGTAATTCATATGGATTAATTATGTAAAACTCATTTGTATATCAAATTCTGTTATAATAATAATAATAATAACAACAATAAATAATATAACATAAATAATAAAAATAAAATAAATAAATAATATAACAATAAATAATAAAATAATAAGTGACAAAGGATTCACTCCTCTATCTCTGGCTAAAGAGGACTGGCAAAAATCCGAAGTTCTGGGTACCTCTCAGCGGGAGGCCGTATGGAAAGAGAAGGAGTTGCACGGAAGGTTCTTCAAAGCCCTTCACGGGCCGTACGTCAACACGAAGACCTCCAGGCCACAGTTCGGTGATCTCTTCGGAGAGACCAAGGGTTTTGTCTGTGCAATACAGGATCAGGTGGTTAAGACGAACAATTACCGAAAGCACATTCTGAAGGATGGCACTGAAGACATCTGTCGGGCATGTCGCCTTCCTGGAGAGTCACTCAGACATGTGCTTTCAGGTTGTTCAGCTCTTGCCAATACTGAGTACTTGCATAGATACAACCACGTAGCCAAAATACTCCATCAAGAAGCTCTGAAGTACGGCCTCGCGAATGAGAGGTTGCCGTACTATAAGTACGAGCCCCAGCCGGTCCTCGAAAGTGACAGCGTCAGGCTCTACTGGGACCGATCCATCATCACGGACAGGACCGTTCTTGCGAACAAACCTGATATCGTGGTGATGGATCGGGCACTTTCGAGGGTGTTTTTGGTGGATGTCACCATACCGCATGACGAGAACCTCGTGAAAGCCGAAACTGAGAAAAAGAGAAAATATCTCGATCTCGCTCACGAGGTGACCGAAATGTGGGAGATGGCGTCCACCGAAAATATCCCAATCGTTTTGTCGGTGGACGGTCTTATCCCAACCAGTCTGAAACAACATCTCAGACGGTTGGGATTTCGAGGCGGCTCACTCCCGGGAAAGATGCAAAAAGCGGTGCTCTTAGATTCTGCCCGCATTGTACGCCGGTTTCTCTCCCTGGGGCCCTGAACCCCGGCCGTGCTTCTGCCGGCGGTTAGTTTGCCATCTCCTCTCCTTAAGAGGGGAGATGTGAATTTTCTAGAAATTTAAAAAATAATAATAAACTTTATACAATACAACTATGACCCCACTAGGCAAAGCCTGTCTCGTGGAAGTCAAAGCTAGAAATTTTACAGTTATGGTGCGGTGAACAGGGTTAATTTAAATGTGTGACATTTTATGTAAGGATGTGTGCGTGTGCGCGCGTGCGCGTGTGCGCGTGTGCGCGTGTGCGTGTGTGTGTGTATGTGTGTGTAATATTTGTCAGATCCGTCAGTATTCTACGACTATGACGATATGAAGGTCGTAAACTTCTAATTCTGTCCCATAAATCACAATGCGCTTCTTAAGATTACAAAAATATATGGAAAATTCTAGTAACTCATGCTATGTATATAAATGTGAATGTGTGTTTGTCATCTAGGCACTTTAACGGCTCAACCGGTCGTCATGAAATTTGATATATACGTAGTATTTGGAATGGAAAAGGACATACATAAGGCTATTTTTATTTTATATAATCAACGATTCTATTCACGTGGGAATATGTTGCTGGTTTGGCGTGAATTTACAGGGTACAGAGGAATAACATCCGAGTCCTCAGGAATGGCAATGCATGGGGGGTATCATGGGCGTAATAGTATACTCTGTTATATCCATGGTACTGCTCATGTCTATAGGCGACGGTTACCACTTTCCATCAGGTGGGCCGTCAGCTTGTTTGCCATTCTAAATTGTATAAAAAAAAAGGTAACAAATATCATCGTGATCATATCAGCTTTTAACTGTCCACTGCTGAACATAAGCCTCCCCTTGGGGGAGTTTTGCGAATAGTTGCCATGCTTGGCAGGCGGATTAGCAATAGCAGTTACGGGTAAAACCAAATAACTTACCATTGGAAGAGTGTATAAAGTAATTTAAAGGTGCCGATTTCGGTAGCAATCAGTAGAGATAACACACAGACGGCCGCCTCATAGTTGCCAGTCTGGCGGCAGTGCCAGATCACGGACTGTATCAAGGAGAAGAAGAAAACGTAGAAGTAACTCAGGCCTGACACCGCTGTCAGCAGGTAGCAGAAAAAATTGATGCCTGCGGATGCGCTTGACCTCAACACAATACAAATATTTATCTTTATGAGTAGGTATATATGTTACTGTAAAAGCCCGCACATTGGTAAATGTTAAGTTTCACCAGTAAATCTTAGTATTTACCAATGTGAGTTGGTAAATGTGAGGATTCTATAAAAACAAGATCATTTTTGTATCTTTCACCAAACCAAATAAACAAATGTACAAGCTTTTACAGTGACATGCATTTACACATTGTTGTTTTTCATGGGTGAAAATGGTATGGTAACCCCGCCTGCGCTAACGGGATACGCTGGCGGAGCACCAGTGAAGAGTGATCGATGAGAATGAAAACAGGCCAGTTAGCCCATCATGATGGATTCATCAGGAATTAACCATAATAGTTTCCAGGGGGAACCGCGAGGAGGTCGACCTGGTTGGGTATATTGGTAGCAATGGGATTCTCAGTCTCCATTACTAACAATCCCTTTCCCCCCGTAATTCGGGTTCTTAACATAATTTGGAGCAATATATTGCTAGCAATATTCATTCATTAAAAACAAACTGCCTATGCAACCGTTCTACTATGTTATGAAAGAAATTAGGTTGTACTCACGACTCTTGTTCCTGCTGTCAACATTGATGGTAATTATTCTAAGTAAGAAAGAAAGGTTCCAGATGGTGGTTGGCAAATCACAGTAGTCCATCCCAAATCTCCGCAGGTACTGCCAGGCTCCTAGTATATTTTTATAAGGATAAAGTTTCGACTGTTTAACATTATTTATACAGCAATGAAATTATAGGGTATAGAGGCATGCCCTTAGTTCTTAAGAATGGTTTTTTTTTATACAACTTAGAATGGCAAATAAGCTAACGGCCCACTTGATGGAAAGTGGTAACCGTCGCTCATCGTGATGAATACATCTGAAATTCAGCACGATGGTTTCCAGAGGGAACCGCGTGGAGGTCGACCTGACAGGGTATATTATTAGCAATGGGATTGGTAAGCCGCATTACTAACAATACTTTCCCCCCACACTACAGTGTTTATAATGTCAATACTTACTTTGGAACATTGTAGAAAAAATATTGTAATTGCTCTGACAAATCTACTAATGTAGGCAAATAAGGAAAGAACAAGCTGGTATGAAGGTAAAATGAGTAATGTTAAAATGCTATGAATAATATTGCTATTCATAATGAGCGTTTTTATAGATTTTCAAAGTACAAATAATTGCTATTTCACTTTGCAATTATTTTTAAATAATTAATTTTAATTGCAGACTATTCAGCGCTGGTTCTAATTAAGACATTATCTTGTCGTCCACAAATGCAGTTGACGTGAAATTTCCTTTAAAAAATTTGAGGTAAAATTCATGTTAAACATACGGTTGGATAGGTTTCAGAAAATAATATTGGTCGGTATACTGAAATATAAATAGTGGGAGGAGAAAGGAGTGGGAGAAGAAGGGACCACACGGATACACAATGCTGGATTTTCGCAAAATTATCGAATTAAAATAGTCCTAAGGTTCCAGCATAAAATGGACCACCCATCAGCATTGAATAAATAAGTTAATTTACTAATTCATTTATCTATATTTTATTGTACACAAAAATTACATTGTCATAATTTATTTTAAACAAAGATATACAACAGGCGAGTTTAACTCTGTAAGAGTTCTCTTCCAGCAGACCTTGAGTGGATAAGAGCAATAATTATATTTATGAATGAAAGAAAGAATGAATGAATGAATGAATGAATGAATGAATGAATATTTATTTGCAAGAAATATGATAAATATACAGATAGATAAAATAATACTAAGTCCACATATTTCGCCACAATTAGGCATGCAACATTTTAAATACTTAAATATTAAATTAACAATTCTTATAACAAAACAATATGTCAATTACAATTTCATGTCAATTAATGTACTTCATCTCATTTGATATATTAGTATGTCTGTGATTAGTGTCAACAATATTATTATTATATTAATTAATTACTCATTAAACTTTTAATTTTAAAAATACAATACAATAATTAACATATATACCTAATGAATTTATTACATTTCAAACAAAAACCATTTAACTTATTCATAATATATGTTTGGATCAATAATATACATCGCAATCACAATATTAATAATACATATGTACTCTTTATTATTAGTACAATACAATAATGAATTTTAATAATTAATAATTTAAAATTGTGTTCCACTAATAAAACCAACTTCAATTGTGGTAAAACCAGTTATTTTAATTTGTGATAATATTTCTATGGAACCAATCTAAAAGATCGATAGCTAGATACACTTTATTGTTTCCTCCATAAGTTTACAATAGTAAACATACTATAAATACAAACAATTACAAGAAAATATTACACTAAGAAAACAATGGGTGGCCTTATAGTTAAGAGCTATCTCTTCCAGGTAACCTTTAAAAGTATATCCTTTCAGATAAAAAAAAAAGAATGTTACAAACTGGTTTATCAGAGGGAGACTTTGTACAAAAGTCGATTGCTTGGGTACTTCTGTCCCATTCGTGTTACTAACGTGAAGCAGTAACGGTAGAAATACGAATGAAACAAGAATGAGACAGAAGGAATGCCTATCTTCTGCATTATTAGTGGTCATGCAATAAAAATTAATGGTTGCATCCAACAGCGAGTAAAAAACTCAGTGATTAAGATGAGAACTTAAAGCAGTATAGGCGGAATATATAGACCGAAGAACAGTCATCAAGATTCTCAAATTTAACATTGCCAGACCGCCGGCCGATAAATTTAATGGCTTTTGAGAATTTATAAGTATCATCCATACAATCTTCATGTTTTCAGCATTAAAATTTTCCCATTTACTGTCGTAAACTGCCTTTTCAAACGCCATGCCCGCATCTAAAACTCTCTGTCCCGCGAGACAGTCCATTCCTACTAAAGCGAAGCCATAGGGTATTTGTATGTATGTGTTCTCCAAGCCACCAAGTAGTTCAGCTATCAGGCTTAATATCAGAAGCACGAATTCGGCTGCTAGAGCACCTCTGAACGCGTGTTCCGTTTGATGTAAAATTTGTATATTCGCTGTATGTATGTTTATTATGTACTGTAATTGTTTTTTAATGTATTCATTTTTGATTGTATTTTGATTTTTTGCTATCAAACAATCGTTTGTTGAAACGAGTTCCCGGTAGTGTTTATCTGCGTCAATCCAAAGTTCTTGAAATTCTTCGGCAAGAGCAAGCATTTGTGATTCTATATAGCCGCTTAATGTCAAAAGCAGGCCAGTTACGTGAGTGGTAAGGTGGATCATGTAAACTGTTGATATTGTACCCAGAATGTAGCTGATCTCGTAGTATGGGGTTTCTAAAGGAGGCTCTAATCCTGGAATTGACAATAGTGTGATTAATGTCTTGTTCTAGGTGCTAGCCTTTTGTTTTAATTTTATTTAAGGCAAACAGACAGCTATAACAATACGTAATTACACACTTAAACAATAATTTAACAGCCACTAAAGTTTTCAAAATTAAACTTAAACAATACTATTGAAAACTACAGCAACATTGTCAATAGAAACAAATAAAGCTTAGATTAAAAAAAAAAAAAAACAATTTGCACCTCATTATTTAAGAATAACATCTAGATATAACTATTAGGAATAAAAATAAAAAAAAAGTAAAATATGAAAATAATATTAAATAAAAAAAAATATTGAGAAAATTTAAAACTCCTGATACTTTAGTAAAGAGAAAAAAAAAAAAATAAAAAAATCTTCGACAACAAATCAAATCATTAATTACACAGTGTCGCCATATTCCGTTTTATCTCGTTTTAAAACTAAAGTTTTAAAACTTAAAAAGTTAAAGCTAAAGCTTTGACCCTACAGAGACTCAATGTCACAAAAGATATCGTTATAGGTACTTGGTAATCTGACAAATAAAGAATTTTTGTCATAATTAGTACTATGGCATGGTACATATAATAATAGTTTACGTCTAGTACGATGCATGAGAGTAACCAGAGACAAAAGTTCAACTAATTCTGAGCACTTCATCGACACGAATCACGTCAAACAGAAGAAACATATCAAGCACTTTGCGACGCTCTTCTAGTGTTTTTTTTTAATGGGTGAAGATGGAATGGTAACCCCGCCTGCGCTATTGGTATACACTGGCGGGGCACCAGTGAGAGATAACATGTGAGGATAAAAGGTAGATCAGTTGTAGCACCGTGACAAATTCAACTAGAATTAACCATGATAGTTTCTAGAGGGAATCAATCTAGAAACTATTATATAAATATACTATATTGCTAGTAATGGGGTTATTTGGCCCCCATTATTAACAATCCCTTCCCCTCCCCCGCTCTTCTAGTGTGTTTTTTAATGAGTGATAATGGAATGGTCACCCCACCTACGCTATCGGTTTACACCGGCGGGGCACCAGTGAGAAATGACAGGTGAGGATGAAAGCAGGTCAGTTAGCCCATCGTGATGAATTCAACAAGAATTGTTCACGATGGTTTCCAAGGGGAACCACGTGTGTCGACCTAATAGGGCATATTGCTAGCAATGGGGCTGTCCAATTCCATTGCCAACAATCCCTTTCCCCCCGCTCTTCTAGTGATAGGAGGCCATAAGCTTGACAGATACCGTCATATTATTTTTTTTTTGGTGGATGAAAATGCTAATGGGATACGCTGACAGAGCACCAGTGAAGGGTGATAGATGTGAATGAAAACAGGCCAGTTAGCCCATCATGATGAATTCATCAGGAATTAACTATGATAGTTTCCAGGGGGATCCATGAGGAGGTCGACCTGGTTGGGTATATTGGGATTTTTAGTCTCCATTACTAACAATCGCTTTCCCCCCTACCGTCATATTGGGTTTCCTTGTTCTATCCAGTAGAATATTGATACTGACCGTAGTAAGGATAGTTTTCTTCTAAAGGTCGTCGTCCGGGCGACAGGAGGTGGCGAAATATGTACACGCCCCCGTTGATAGTCATCATGATGCCGAAAAAAATACATCTTTTTTTCACAATTCTCATTTTTTTCAATAGGTTCTCATGAAAACGGCTTCCAGGAATTACGTGCGAGTTAAGTTCCAGACACTCTCCAACTAAGGTTTTTATTTCTTTTCTATGATAAATATAATGAAATGTCAGCAACAGAAAGTAGTAGCAACTAGTTTTGGTAAATGCTGGTATCATATCAGCCGTTAACTGTCCACTGCTGAACATAGGTCTCCCTCTATTTTAGGGGTTACCAATAGTTGTCACCCTTGGGAGGCGGGTTGGCAACCGCAGTTAGGTTTAGGTGATGTTTAAAGATGATGCAGCTTCCCATCTCTCGCTCATTACGTTCCTTTATTCGCCTTTTACGACACCCACGGGAAAGGAAGGAGTGGCCAATCCTATGCCGGGATCACACGGCGGTAAATACCAACCTGTTCATAGCTAAGAAGACCAGTTTAGTGGGGCCGATTTCACTACACAGCGATATAGAAAACGCCACCATACCGGCTACCAGATCTTTATTCTCCCTGCTTCTGACGAACACGAACCAGATTGTCGAGAAGAAGTACGCATAGTAATACGAACAGACTGATATGAAAGTCGTTATGTAGATGAAAATAGGGGTACCTGAAAAATGTTATCGCTTTATAGCTTCACCAAAGTACTAATACACTAACAAAGTACATCTAATAGTCTAGATTTCATAAAGTACTCTGTACCCCTGTAATAAATTTGTAAGGTTTACCACTAAAGAACTGCTGGACCTTTGCCAGTTAGCCATGGCCACTTATAGATAAGTGGGCGAACATTTATGTGAACTGTATCGCATTATTTTCGAATGGCCTTTCCTATGACTTTTACCTCGGATCCTTCAAATGTAGCGTGTTAAAGCACTTAGTTAGCCGACATAGTGCGGTCAACCATTGAGCCAAACATTCTCTTTTCGGTTGATAGCATTCATGGACCATATTGTCTTTGTATTCGTTCAAGATGGTGTGATCTCTTGTTATGCTATAATAAAAAAAGATCCAGCAGACTTTAAGTGGTCACCTGAACTCTTGTTCAGTTCTCTCTTTGTGTAATTTTGCGTTATTCTTTTATGGTATTTATATTTTTTGACCTAAGTCAAAAAATATATTTCTCTATAGAAAATATTGTATAAATATAGAAAAAAAAAATGCTGACGCAGAATGTATACTGAGGTTAAATAATATCGGAAGAAAAATTACTCAGTTATAAAATACAAGCATCATGGATTATGGATTCCCAAAGAGGGTTGATATCAGGCAGGCGGTCATATGGATAAAAACCATATTATGGCGACCCCAAATAATAATTGGGATAAGGGTAGGAAGATGTTGAGTATTACGATTCTATTAATTATAAGTAAAAATAACGTAATTTTATGCTTGAATGCAATATTTGGTTTCGGTAGATCTAATGTCAGAGAGTAAAGCGTTCAAGGGCTTAATAGCCTGAATGGCGAAATATTTAGAGAAAAAGCCAGTGTAGTGGTCAGGAACATGGTGCAGGACATTTAACTATATACTAACATTATACAATATTGTTACACTAAACTTGAAACATACGTTTTGTATGCCGAGGATCTACATTGAGAGTGAAAACTCTGAGCATCACTCCTACGTTCCAAACCATTGTTGGCAGATCACAATACTCTAATCCGAACATGCGTATTTTTTTGATTATCCACATTTTTAAAGTGTCAATTAAAGAATCGTTTACATATACATCATTTTCTAGTTAGTAAGTATATGTTTAAAATAAATTTTCACAAAATGGTATTGTGAACTGTTTGAGTTGTTTTTATTTCTGTTTATTCCTTTTTGTTTTATTTCAGCGCTTTTCAAATGAAACAGCCGAGGAACGTCTTAATATTTAAGACTATAAATGTTGTTTGAATTTAGTTTCCTTTCTTCATATTTCTGAATGTTCAAAATATGTTTGTTATTGTAGGAAATTCTACGAAAATTGCTATAATTATATGAATATATTAATAACAAGCTTTGATCTAGTAATTGGTTTGGAAGCGTTTAGGAAATTGTAATATAAAGTCATTAATAATAACATACTTTTCGTATTTACTATTTATAAATTTATTTACAAGGATCGAAAAATCAGAAATTGTCTTGGAATAGATTTAGTGAACTCAAACACTTCTTAAATAATATCAAAATTGTTTAAATATTTCATTTTAAAGTTGTTTATTGTTTTAAGTGTATAAGTATCATATATTTGATAATAAAACAGTGCCCAGTGCACGTGTAAACTGAAAATCACGCTGAACGTACATGAGTCTAGCAAAATCAAATCAATTTTTTACAACACAGGGGGCTAACGAGAATGCGGCTCACCTGATGGTAAGTGACTACCGCCGCCCATGGTCACCCACAACATCTACGGCATTGCAGGTGTGCTGCCGGCCTTTTAAAAAGGAATATGCTCTTTTCTTGAAGGTTATGTTGTCGTATCGGTTCGGAAATGCTGCTGCTGGATGTTGATTCCAAAGAGTGGTTGTGCGTGGGAGAAAGACCTTATTTGTAACAAAAGGCAATAAACACATTTATTATTATTATTAAGCAAAACAATATAGCCTATTTTACAGGTTAAAGACGTCCTTTTAACTAACAGAAATATTGTTAAGAACTCTGGTTACTGGTTTATTTTCTGGATTGCAATTTACGCAAATTAGTTAGAATTGTTATCACTAGCGATAGTGTAGATTTTAATATTTTATTTAAAAGATTAACAGATCAACCGTGAAGCAGTTGTGTTTGCATGGCTGTGTTTCAGTTTGAAGGGTGGAATATGGCGTGAATTTACAGGGTACAGAGGAATAACACCCGAGTCCTCAGGAATGGCAACGCATGGGAAGGTATTATGGGCGAAACAGTATACTCTGTTAAGTCCAGGGTACTGCTCATGTCTATAGGCGACGGTTACTACTTTCTATCAGGTGGGCCGTCAGTCTGTTTGCCATTCTAAGTTGCATAGAAAAAAAAAAAACTTTTATTCATCCTTTTTATTTGTTCTGTTTTAGTCATCTTTACCAGATGAAGACTATACAAAAGTTGTTAGCTAATCATAGTAAGTATTTAACAGCACATCCTTACTGGATAACGTAAAACCAATGATTCTATCAAATATTTTTATTTGTAAGAAATACAGGTACAAAGATATTTTAAAAATAAAATATTTATTTTTAATATATACGACACTTACTATTTTAAATATTTTAACAAATTAGGTTAATAATATAGTAATTAAAATATAAGGATAATATAATATACATTATTTATATAATACAGAAAAATATTTATTACTATTACATTCTAAAAAAAGAAATCTTTTTATAATATAAATAATAAAAAAATATACATCTATCATCTACATTTATGTTAAAATCTTAGACTACATAGATAGAGAATCGAGACTCGAAAACGGGCCAACTTTTTGTCAGCTAATTGTCAAATTAGCTAACTTGTATTTTTATCAGTGTTCCATATATTTACGCACACAATGTATCTTGACGTCTCTAAATTTAATTATTTAATAAATAAAATAAGTTTTTACTCATTAAAAAGATGCAAAAATTATGAAAACAAAATAAATATAGAAGTTATAAAGTAAACACTCATAATTATTTAATTCTCAAAAATATACTAAAAACTTGAACTTTTCTCGAAGCATTTGTGTGGAGACACTCTATCTATATAATCTAATGTTAAACTTAAGGTTGATAATAAAGATTATAACAATTTATAACATTCCATATGTAGAATGGATAGTAGGGTTCATTTTGTAAATAAATTTAATCAATAATTTAAAAAATCAATAATTATTTTACTACAAAACAAATAAACTTTTATATTGTCCAAGTTAACAAACTGGCCCGTGCGCGGTATGCGCGCGCAGCCAAAAATCACAAAGCGCCTGCGCGACCTGCGCGCGCATCTTGCGAGTGAGTCCCGTGACCAAGCGTCATGATATAAATATATATATATATAAATGTTAGTTTGTCTGCTTGTTTTTAACTAATAAAAAATTCAGTTATATTATAAAAGTTAATATATTTATATAATAAACATTGGTGAGTATTATTATCTCACCACACATATATTCGTAAGTACCAATAACAGTATCTGATGATGAGTAAACTTAATCATACATGAGAACTAAAAGCAGTGTAAGCAGAATATACAGATCGAGCAAAACTCATTAATATTCCCAAATTTAACGTTGCAAGACCCCCGGCCGATAATTTCAATGGTTTCTGAGCATTCAGAAGTATCATCCACACAAGTTTCATATTTTCTGCATTAAAATTCTCCCATTTACTGTCATAAACTGCCTCTTCAAGAGCTAAGCCGGCATCCAAAACTCTCTGTCCCGCGAGACAATCCATTCCTACCAAAGCGAAACCGTAGGGTATTTGTATATATGTGTTCTCCAAGCCACCAAGCAGTTCAGCTAACAGGCTTAGTATTAAAAGAACGAATTCAGCTGCTAGAGCACCTCTGAACGCGCGTTCCGTTTGACGCAAAATTTGTATATTTTCTGTGTGTATTTTTATCATATTGTTCAATTGTCTTTTAATATAATTATTTTTTATTACGTTCTCATTATTCACTGTTACTGAAGAATTGTCAGTTAAAGTAATCTCTTGATAATGTTTGTTAGCATCGTTCCAAAGTTCTTGAAACTCCAGGCTCAAGCCGATCATTTGGGATTCAGTGTAACCGGTTAGTATGATGAGCAATCCAGTTATATTTATTGTAAGGTGCAGGACGTATGTTGACGATATAAGTGCAACTATGTATGTGATCTCATAATATGGTGTTTCTAAAACGGGCTCTAGACCTGAAATAATAATTTTAGATCTTATTTTATGCAAAAGGCGGTCTTATCCTTAGGACAATCTCTTACAGACAATCTTTGGTTAAAGAAGAACAGATAGAAGTGGGTATGTGACGTAAAAGTGATTAATAATTTTTACGTACATATTACATAAAAATATCAATAAATACATACTATTTATTTAGATTTTATTGATTTGTCCAGTTTAAGAAGAAGAAGGTATCCAGGGCTAATCCTAGTATTAAATTAAAAGAGAAACTCAAAAATTGTAAAACTGAATATGGAATGAATGGTCTCCCGTACATTTAAGATTTTTATTTAAAAATTTACTTTTTTTTTAGTTTAATATTTTAACAAGGTTTTGTATTCATAATAGAATATATTAATATTTTTGTTTTATTTTAAGAATAAAATAATTCTAACTGATTATTAAAACAATTTGTAACAAATTGTATTACTGAGAAAAGGAAAGTAACTACCTACAATAAAAAAATAAATGGGATTTGACTTGTCTCTTAAACGAAGTTAAGGATTAACTACTCTGTATAAAGAGTGGAAGCGAGTTCTATAGGCGCACAGACTGAATGGAGAAGGATTTGGTGTAGTATACGGAGGTATGTGAATGGGTTTTTAGACAAAAACTATTCGACTGCACTTAACCGAGAATTATAAATCGCTCATTGAGGTAGTAAGGTGTAAGAGGATTGAATAGAATAGATTAAAGAAGAGAAAGTATATGTCAATCACGGGGTCAACGTATGGGAGTTACTTGAGCTGAGTGAACTAATTGTTAAACTAACCATAGAAAGGGAAGCTTTCATTTAAAGCGCGTCGTCCAGGTGTTACAAGAGGCAGAATGAAATATACTACTCCGTTCATTATGTTTAGTGACCCATAGAAGATGAATCGTTTCTTCACCGTCCTCATTTGTGTCAATAGATTTTTATGAAAGCGGCTATCGGGTATTAAGAGGGAGTTGAGTTCGAGACATTTCCCAACCAAGCTTTTAATTTCGTTCCTGAAACAGATTTGATTATGATTTGTCATTTACCATAATGATCAACAACAAATAGTACTCTTATTACCTATATGATGATCATCATCTCAGCCGTTTACTGTTGAACATATGTTTGCTTCATAGACTGCCATAAGGAACGGTCCTTGGTCACCTGCATCCGCTTATTTGATGCAAACTAATCGAGGTCATTGCTCTATCTTGTAAGGGTTGTCCTACGTTTGCCAGTACCACTCAAGAGCCATTCTTTCCGATCTTATATAACGAATATAAATTCGCGTGGAGCAAAAAAGTGTTTTGTGGTATCCACGCTACTGTTGAATGTATATAGGCCAGTTATCACTTTGTATCTGGTGACCCGATAGCTTAATGTTAACGATGCGATGCATTAAGATGCATTTGTCACGCTTGGCAGGTGAGATGGCAACCGCCGTTACGCTTTGGTGATGTTTTAAGAGAGACACTGCTGCCTAATCCTCGACCACCTAGGGGAAAGGAGAAGGTAGCCCATTTTATACTCAGACCACACAGCGAAGTAACGTATAATAAGGGTGCATAAAATATGTAAAATCAGTTCGGCTATTTACAGTGGTTATTATCCCAACAACAAACAATGGTATAAAAGACTAACCTGTTCAAAATCAAAAAGAAGAGCTTAGTAGGACCTATTTCGGTACAGACAGAGAGGGAGAACACAACCATGGCGCCCACCATGTCATTAGTCTCTCTGCTTCTCACGAACACGAACCAGAGGGTCGAAAAGCAATATGCGTAGCAGAAGCAACAGACGACCATAGGTGCTATTATGTAGTAGATAGTAGGAATACCTGAATAAAAGAATTTAATATTTAATAGGCACTTTTCTGGGTGATAATGGGATGGTAACCCTGCCTGCATTATCACTATACGCTGATAAAGCACTAGTGAGGGATGATTGGTGAGGTTGAAAGCAAATCAGTTGGCCCGTCGTGACGAATTTAACAAGAATTAAATATAATGCTTTCCAGGGGGTACCGCATGGAGATTGACTTGATACATGGGTATATTGCTAGTAATGGGATTGTCAGACCTCATTATCATTAATTCCTTTCCTTTAAAATATTGGATTATTCTAAAAACCGATGTTAGGAAAAATTAAACGCCTGTTCACCTGTAATATCTACATTCTTATAATACGATTAGCCTGCAATATCTACATTCCCATAACAAGATTAAAGGAATCTTGTAAATTTTTATACCAAAAACGTTTTTCCATTTCATGTATCAGAATATAACACGTTCAGGAGGATCTAAGTAATGGCCAGAAAGATGGTTGCTTCCCTTTTTAGATTCCTGTGATGGATGCTTGAGGATCTAGTTAGTTCCCTGGTTATTTTGCAAAAAATTTAAAATTGAGATCACATTTATTTGTCTTGGTACGTTAACCAGAATGGAAACATTTTACCGAGCATATTGGAACGAAGTATGGTAATGTGTGACCCTATCGGCTTTTTTTCTATTAATAAAGTGTATTGACTGATATTGCCATTAACTTAAGTGTTTTGGTAAGAATTCATTATAGAATTGAGTCCTGTTTGGCAGGCGGATTGGTAAACGCAGTTAGACTTTGGAGATTTTTTAAGAGGAATGCTGCTGCTCATCTTTGACCCTCCCCTAATCGCCTCTTACGACACCCATGGAAAAGGAAGGGGCATATTGTAGGCCGGGACCAATACGGTGAATGCTCGCAGCGCAGAAACGTCGTGGTATCTTCAAAGATTTTGTAGAATAACCTCAATATTTCATACAGTAGAAATCATACCTTTTTTATGCCGAGGATCAACGTTGAGTATAGCTAGTCTGAGCATCACGGCTACGTTCCAAATCATTGTTGGCAAGTCACAGTATTCCAATCCAAACTTACGTATCGTTGTTATTATCCCCATGTCTTGTAACTGAATTACAGTTAGCCTGTTGTTTTGCTCTTAAATGAATATGTATTAGTTCTTCATGGTACTTACATAACCGAATGAATTGTTCAAAATCCAAAGTTAGAAAAGTATTAAAACATTGGAAAGGACTTGTATATAAATTATAAATTATTTAATTACACAAAAATTAATATTCCTTTATGAATTAATTGACAACAATTAAAGGACTGATCGTTTCTTTGACCAAGTAAATTAAATTTAAAGAGTAGAAGCAATTATGACGTCTTGTATAGACGTAGTTTGTAACCCACGGATTTGCCCGTGTAAATTAGGCTAAAAATATCTTTTGTGTTAATTTGTGACATAACTTATCTGCATACGGTATTTTTGTTAAATCCGATTATATAATTGAGTAATAAACATTCAAACATCTGTGAAATTTTAACATTTATAGTATCAGTAGTATGGATATATGATCTACAAACGTTAACCTATTGTGTTATTGCTGTGAACAGTGAATTTCTATATGAGTATCGAAAAAAATATTATTTCCGTCTTTGTCCGTGGAAGATTGCTTTTTATTTGAGATATAATGCTATTAGGTATACTTATGTAAGAATAGAGACTACCGTCGAAAGTTCTATCTGAACACTTTTGAAAATGTTTCTTAATTCGAGTAACTTTCTTAGTCTTAATGTACTTATAAATTGTGTTCTTTAGTCGCTAGGCCAGTGGATTTAGAAAATTGAAGTTTAAACATATCCGACATGTTTTTAGACGTCTTTTTTTTTAATCATCTTTATTCAAATAGACTAGTTATGAAATCTATTGCAGACCTCTGAAAATTGTCATCTGTTAAGGTTATTTCAAAATAAATGATTGTAATTTGATCAAAGGGAGGCACAAAGTCTCCCTCTGTCTCCAAAAGTCGTTTGCTTGGGCACCTCTGTCCTACTCGTGTTCTATCGTGAAGCAGTTGTGTTTGCATGACTGTGTTTTGTTGTGAAGGGTGGGATATGGCAGTGAATTTACAGGATACAAAGGAATAACACCTGAGTCCTCAGGAATAGCAACGCATGGAGGGTATCATAGGCAAAACAGTGTATTCTGTTATGTTCACGGTACTGCTCATGTCTATAGACGACGGTTACCACTTTCCATCAGGTGAGCCGTCAGCTTGTTAGCCATTTTACGAGTAAGTTGCATATAAAAATCTAAATAGTTATATAATAACAATAACAATAGGAAAATAAATTATTTATTAATAATTAAAATAAGGTTAATAGCTTACATGTATATAAGATTTTAAAGGAAATTTACATTTAGTCGACACACCAAGCTGATGGTGAAAATGACAATACAATAGATTTAGAAAAACTTAATGTGTAACATTTACTCATGTATCTGTTGTGAGGAAATTTTATAAATCCCTCCTGCTGAATTGTTTATAAGCTCGCGCCTTTTTCCTTAGGCAGAGACCACATAATACTACCAGTATTTGTTTTAATACAATTTTATGACACCGATTGTTTGCGCCTAACAACATAATTCAATGTTTGACGTGAGAACTAAGAGCAGTGTAAGCTGAATATGCAGATCTAGCAAAAGTCATCAAGATACCCAAATTCAAGTTTGCCAGACCTCCGGCTGACAAATTTAATGGTCTTTGAGAATTTATAAGTATCATCCACACAGTTCTCATATTTTCTGCATTAAAATTTTCCCATTTACTATCATAAACTGCCTCCTCAAAAGCTACGCCGGCATCCAAAACTCTCTGTCCTGCGAGGCAATCCATTCCTACTAAAGCAAAGCCATAGGGTATTTGTATATATGTGTTCTCCAAGCCACCAAGCAGTTCAGCTATTAGGCTTAATATCAAAAGAACGAATTCGGCTGCTAGAGCACCTCTGAACGCGCGTTCCGTTTGACGCAAAATTTGTATATTCGCTGTGTGTATGTTTATCATATTGCGCAGTTGTCTTTTAACGTATGCATTTTTTATTGCATTTTCTTTATTTACTGTTACTGAAGAATTGTCGGTTAAAACTATCTCTTGATAATGTTTGTTAGCATCGTTCCAAAGTTCTTGAAATTCCAAGCCCAGACTGATCATTTGAGATTCAGTGTAACCGGTTAATATTACAAGTAATCCAGTTATATTTATTGTAAGATGCAAGACGTAACACGTTGATATGAATCCGACTACAAATGAGATTTCATAGTATGGTGTTTCTAAAACGGGCTCTAGACCTGAAATTGTATATATAATTAACAATGACAAGTATTTTTCTAGTGCAGTCAGGAGAAGCATCATTGTCTTCAATTTATATGGACTTTTGGTTTACTTCATATAACATAGATATTTTTACTTCTATATTATGTCTACCTATTCTATATGCTATATTAGTGGTCAGAGGAGGCCATGACATATATTTTTTCTTTAATAAAATACACTCTATGATACTCACTGATAATGTAGCTCTCTATAGGTAAATTTACAGGGTACAAAGAAATAACACTTGAGTCCTCAGGAATGGAAACGCATGGGAGGTATCATGGGCGAAACAGTATACTCATGTTCATGGTACTGCTCATATCTATAGGCGACGGTTACCACTTTCCATCAGGTGGGCCGTCAGCTTGTTTGTCATTCTACAACTAAAAAAGCTTTTAAAATCGGTTAAACAATTTTTGCGTTTATCCATTACAAACAAAGAAATAAAAAATCAAATCTTTTCTCTTTATAATATTAGTAAGTATATATTTCTTAGAGTGTAGGCAATGTGAGGACCGTGTGCTAAAGGTCGATACCTTTTTTGTTAATTACTTTTTAATTCATCTCATAGTTTGTGTTTCATTCTAGATACAATCTAAAGATAGTGGCATTAAAAATCTACACCTGTGCATATAATGTTTCGGTCAACTTGGGTCTGAAGCTTGTTGCTTTCATATTGGTCAAGGCGTGTTAATGTCTAGGTGGAAACTCTTAAAGATTGATACAAATGCAGTTGAAAGAGTTACCTTCAATGTTTCACCATTTAGTCTGCAACAGCGATGTTCGCGCCATATGCGATGCATCGTTGTTGCAGGTTAAATGGTATGAGGATCTTTATATGCAGTAAGAGGTGCTGATATGCAGAGGTATGGTATTTTTTTAAGTTTATTGCAAAAATATTTTTTTCACTGTCCACTGCTGAACATAGGCCTCATCCATAAGAAAGATTTTGCCAATAGTCGCCAGGCTTGGCAGGCGGATTAGCAACCCGTAGTTAATCTTTGGTGATATTTTAAGAAAGACGCTGCTGGTCATCTCTCGACCATTAATTCCCCTAGTCACCTCTTACGGCATCCAAAGTAAAGGAAAGGGTGATACATTTTATGCCGCCCTTTAACTTAAATATGTACGATTATTAGTGTTTGCATTGTGATAAACTATTATAGTTTTTTACTATACTGACCATAAAAGGGAAAGTTCTCATTTAAAACGTGTCTTCCAGGCGTTAGAAGCGGTTGCGATATATAAACTACTCCGTTCATTATGTTCAGCGATCCGTAGAGAATGAATCGCTTCTTCACAGTTCTCATTTGCTTCAATAGATTTTTATAAAAGCGGCTATCGGGCATTAGATGAGAGTTAAGTTCGAGACATTTCTCAACTAAACTCCTAATTTGTTTCCTGTGACAAATATAAAGTTCATAATTTCGATTAATTTTTTTAATAATATTAACTGACCTGGCAAATGTTGTTTTGCACCCTACCGCTATTTCCAAGATCCAATTTTTTTATTGTGATATTAACTATCCTATCTTTAAAGTCGATGCAAAACAATACATATTTACATAGTTTTATCGAAGTCAGTTGTGTGGTTTCGGGGAGAAGCGTTTACATACAAAATTGTAAAAATGTTAACAATTCTGAAATTACAATGAATACGCATTAACTCGGTGAATTAAAAATTAACAGTTGACACTGTTATTAAAGATTACTGGCTTTTAATTCGCATTTGAGTTGACTGCTATTGTAAAATATTCTTCTAAAGTATTATATTCAAGTATTCTGACATTTCCCTATGGTTGACTGGGAGAGAATGCTTTTAGCATTAAGTCCGCCATGTACACATATTTGTACTAATGAATAAATAAATAAATTACTGGGGCAGTAACTTTTTTTTTCACTCAAATAAATGGACAGAAAGTAATCCATGCTCTCCTATGTGCATTTTTAAACCAAAATGTTACTGTAGTTTATGATCGAGTTAAATATCAAACCCAAATAGTAAGAAATTTAAATAGTACACCAAGGTAAATATGATATACATAGGTATATGATTTTTATTGCTGATAATAAGGATCGGGTATATATGTATTTTTAAGTTCCGATCGTTAATTCAAATATGTGTAAACAATGTAAAAGTTTAATATTAGAATACCGATTAATTGATAATTAATAGGTAGTAAGATAGATTTACAATCAGTTCATTTTACAAGAGGTGCACTACTAATCCTCAGGAAATGAATGAGATGTGTCGTGGATTTCAATCCAATGAGCTTCAGTTTTTTTTTCTCAGTAGTATAAACAAAAACTAACCTGTTCAATATTAAAAAGAGAAGTTTAGTGGGACCAATTTCAGTGCAGAGGGAGATGGAAAACGCCACCATAGCGCTTACAATGTCGTTAGTCTCCCTGCTTCTCACGAACACGAACCAGAGGGTCGAGAAGCAGTATGCGTAGTAGAAGCAACAGACTATTATAGGACCCGTTATGTAGTAGATAAAAGGAATACCTGGGTAACAAATTGTGGCTTATTAGTTTTATATATAATACATTATGCAAATAAATGAATAGAAAAAAAACAAGCTTTTTAAAATATTCACCATCGTCACGTCAATCCTTTTTACCAGTAGTTGCCACGCTTGGCAGGCGGATTGGCAACCGCCGTTAAGCCCAATTAGGCTTTGGTGATCTAATCAGAGAGATGCTACTGTTCATCCCTCGATCATTAATTTCCCTTAGTCGCTTTTTACGGCATCCACGGGAAAAGAAGGAGTGGCCCATTCTATGCCGGGACCACATGGTTTTCAAAACATTACAAGCGCAATATCAATTGTTGCATAATGTTTTGTGAACAGCACTAAAGAAGTATGTAAAATCAAAAAGAAAGAAATATTTTTTTATGATTCCTTTTAAAAGTTTATATAAAAATCTTACATTTTGTAAATTTAATTCTTGTATTAATAATAATTATTATATTATCTATTAAAAATATACAAATATATGGCAGTGTCCCTCTTTAAATATCACTAAAGCTTAATTCTGGTTGCCAACTCGCCTGCCAAGCATGGTAACTACTGGTAAAACACCCCAATAGGGGAAGGCCTACGTTAAGCAGTGTACAGTTAACGCTTGATATAACGATGATGATACATGGCCGTCGCTAGGGGGGGGGGGGGACATTGAGGGACAATGCCCTACCTTGAAAGGCCTAATGTCCTACCTTAAAATGAAAGGCTCCAAGAAAATTAGACAGATTCGCTTTTTCGAAGCAACTTATTTATTTTACAATTATGGCTTAGACGTATGTAGTATGGCGTAGGGCAACTACCAAAAAGTTCTTTTGCCCTACCTTAAACTTGGGTCTAGCTATGGTCCATGATACATAAGATATAGATATACTATTAGATATCATGTAGAACTTGGCAAGGCCACTTTTGAATCATACCTTTCTTGTGCCGAGGATCAACGTTTAGTGTGGCGACTCTGAGCATCACGGCCACGTTCCAAAGCATAGTTGGAAAGTCGCAGTACTCTAATCCAAACTTGCGAATCGCTGTGACTATCTTCATGATTTATAATTGAATTAGATTCTTTGCAAAATGATCGATGACTTTATCAGTATAACAAAACTGTACAAGTGAAAAATCTCATTTTTTTCTTAAGTATAATCACGCATTTCATTGATGGGAGTAATAACAGTAACTAATTTATTGCCTACAGTCGTGAAAGAATCCATACATCGACTACGCGTCGTTATGCGTCCACAGAATCGAACAAAAGAGGTTTTTTACTTTAAAACTAAAACTTCAATAAAATGTAAAATTGTATTTCCTTTAATTATAGATTCTTTACAAATAAATTAATGAAAACTAAACCAGTGATTGCCTCTTTGATCAAGAAAATAGGATCTAAATTGTTAAAGCAATTTTAGTATATATTACAAGTACGTATATAGTATTGCTTTGAACTGCAGGTTTCTCTATATGTATTGAAAAGGTATTGAGTTTTAAATTATTTGGAATTAAGTGATCCTTTTTACAAAAGTCGTCTGCATGGGTATGGTTGTGCATGCCATGTGGTTTGAAAGCTAGGTAGTTGTATAGCAGTGAAATAACAGGGCATGAAAGCATAATATCTTAGTCCTTAGAAGTAGCAAAGCATGAGGGATACCGTAGGCTTTGCAGTGTAGTCTGAAAGGGAATGTTAGCAATGGAGTTTGACAGCGCATTTTGTTACCTTTATTAGTGCCACTTTTGAGGACTAAGGTGTTATGCTTCCTATAATTTTTCTACCAGATTTATTTATATATATATTAGTTTCTGCTTTTCGAATAGAAACGGAACCATGCTGACTGGTGACAGAGAAAGAGAGATTGCAGAGCAGACGACTTATGTACGAAGTTTCTTTTTGTTGAAAAATATAGATTAAAACGGTCTCAATAATAATATGTACAGTCATATTGCAGGGTATACACGATTGCGACTTTAATTGCTGACGAGTTGGTGGAAACTTTAAAACTGATACTTACGTAAAGTGAACATTTGCAGTAACATAAAGTTGCTGCAGTGTGGAACAAGCGTTATGTCGGTTCATTGTAATTTTTTACTGAAAACATAATATTATGGATGGGAAACTAGTACTTCTAACGGAGAATTTGCAATAAAATGTATATTCTTAGCTAAACCGTATTAGATTATCTATAGTGAAACTGAAAATATAGTATTTTTCATAAATTACACGGTGGAAATAATATACGAAAATAACAAAAATTTACAATAGGGTTTTATTATTTTGTTTTAAAAATTTATTTACACTTTATTGTATCATTTATAAAAATACTAAATACAGTAATTTTAATTTGAAAATCCCTAATTCATATTTCGCTTTCTTTATTAAATAATATAAGTTCACGCTTTTTGTATTAGTCGTAGGTAGAGGTTTAGAAGTATACTACTTAATTCCAGTATTGGGTAAGTTATAAACATACAGAACTTAATGATTGACATGAGAACTAAAAGCGGTGTACGCGGAATATATGGAACGCGCGAAAGTCATCAAGATTCCCAAATTCAACATTGCGAGACCTCCGGCTGACAAATTCAAGGGTTTCTGCGAATTCAAAAGGATCATCCACATTGTTTTCATATTTTCCGCATTAAAATTTTCCCATTTACTGTTATAAACTGCCTTTTCAAATGTCAAGCCGGCATCAATGACTCTTTGTCCCGCGAAGCAATCCATTCCCACTATTGCGAATCCGTAAAGTACTTGTAAGTATGTATTCTCTAAGCCGCCAAGTAGTTCAGCTATCAGGCTTAGTATTAGAAGAACGAATTCGGCTGCAAGAGCACCTCTGAATACTCGTTCCGTTTCACGCAGAATTTGTGTAGTACTAACATGAATTTTGATCATATTGGGCAATTGCTTTTTAACATATTCGTTTTTTATTGCGTTTTGATTATTAGCTGTTGGTAAAAGATCGTTAGTTGAAGCAATTCCTTTGTAGTGTTTATCAGCATCGTTCCATAGCTCTTGAAACTCTTTCCCAAGGCTGATGATTTGTGATTTTGCATAGCCGGTCAATATTATGAGTAATCCAGTGATATTTGCAGTAAGATGTACCACGTACATTGTCGATGTAGAACCAATTATGTAGCTAATCTCATAGTTCGGCGATTCCAAAATAGGCTCAAGACCTGAAATATGTGATTATTGGGCGATTGCAGTTTATTGTATATTTAAGTATAAAGAATTTGACTTCAGACTATCTCTTGTATCTCTTGTAAGGGCAGCCAGAGAAATTCTTTTAATGGGTGAAAATGGAATGGTAACCACTTGCGTTATCGATATTCGCTGGCGAAGCACTAGTGAGGAATGTCTGATGAGGATACAAGCAGGCCAATTAACCTAACGAAACGAATTCAATAAGAATTAATCATGATGGTTTCTAGGTGGAACCGCGTGGAGGTTAAACTGACAGAGTGTGTTGATAGCAAAGGAGTTGTTAGACTCCATTATTAATAATTCCTTTTCTTCGGTCAAAGGTATTAGACAACTCTTGAATTTTGTGGTTGAACGTAACAATTGGGATGTACATATTTTGCTATATACATATCAAAATCCATCGTGGCAGGGGTGAGCTTACTGATCGAATTAGTTTGGTTAATTAACGATATTTTTCTCATGCTTCGATTTAGTGTTAGGTTTCGACCAGATTCGAACTCGCTCCATTATTTTGCAATAAATTTATTATATTAGCTATGAATTGTGCACTGCTGAACATAGGCCACAAAATCCCCCTTAATTTTGTCCCCAAAAAGGGGGATTTTGCCAATAGTTGTCACGTTTGGTAGGTGGATTAGTACCTAACCGTAGATAAGCTTTGTTGGTATTTTTTGAGGGACGTTGCTACCTCGTCTTAGTCGTCTAAAGGGTTGTTTCGGCCTTTCTATGTCGGGATTACACAGTAAATTATACAATCAATTGATATTTACCATAAAAAGCGAAATTATCATCTAAGGAGTGTCGTCCAGGTAAAAAAACAGGTCGAAGTACATAAAGTAAACCGTTAATTGTAACTAGTGTCCAAAAAAAGATGACCCTTTTTTTCACATTTCTCATTTCTTTTAGCAGATTTCGGTGGAAGCGACTGCCGGGTGTCACGTGGGAATCAAGTTCGAGGCACTTTCCAATTAGGATTCTTATTTGTTTTCTGCAATAAATATAATATTAATACACAATATCTAATATCTATCTAATAGTAGTGTTCCGTACAGCAGTGCCATTCTGTAAAATGCAAACTCGATATCGAATCTCACTCAGGTGACCGTTCTCACTTCGATAGCGAAATCACTTGACCTTGGATTGGCATTCTGTTTACACTTGAAGTGCAGAGGCGATGTGAAGTGAGTTTCGAAATGAATTATCGAGAACTAGAGACGTGCTCGGTGCGCCATGTTTAATCTATATAATCGATTTAAAGTATTTCCTTTGTTTTTTTAGAAATTATATACTAATGAGTGTATTATTGGCTTTACTTATGTTTGAGATTATTTAGTCTATTTAATTATACAAATTAAGCGATAGCTAAACCAATTTAAAAAAATTATAATTTCTTGTCAGTATAGCCAACATTCCTTTGCGTCCATGTAAAAAATTTATTTTGTTTGGTAAACTTTGTGTTGTGATTCCAAGAACAAGAACTTTAAGTGGAGAGGACTAAGTGGTTTTACGTTCTTGCGATACACATGGGTACCTATTGAACACAAAAAATTAACATGTTGAGTATCAGTAAGTTTAGTGCATTCAACATTTGTGTTTCGAAAGAAGTGGAAGCAAAAATGAAGTGAGTATACACACAATTTAATGTATTTTTATATTTACAGAAAATGTTGTATATCTAAGTGAATGAGCCGATGATCTATCTTATTGATGTGAGTAGCAACCATCACACAATGTACTGTGATGTCCATGTTACTCCTCTTACATTGTTATATCTAAGGCCATAATTGTTATGCTTTGTTTTACCCTATACCTTTAATTACACTGCAATCACAGTTATTTTGGCGGTAGGAAGACTTGTAAAACATAGATAGGTGTCCATGCAAATGACTTAGACGATGTCTCCCTGTAGTAAAGTAATTATTTACTTTGTTGTCAATACTAATTGTTAATTTTTAAATTTTCTGGTAATTATGTAATATTTTTTTATAATGGACCGTATAACTAACCCGACTGTTGGACTATCAAAGTCATTACAGAATCATTGCGAGACTATTATTTAAATTTTTGAAACTAGTCTATAATGCTAAAAAATATCTTATATAGATTACAAATAGTCTTGTGAAATCATTCTTATATTTTTGTTCTATATTTATATTAAATGAAATGTGCATATATGATAATTTATATATTGTAGCATAAAAATTCCGTATGTTGTAAGTTCGGCAGTAAGAATTTCATAATTACTATTCTTTTACAGCTCCACGCCGTAGGCGGCGATTGATACCTGCGTCTCCACCTTCTCAGAGGCGGTCACAGCTTACCAGCCTCACTGATCGCTTCCTGAGAGTGGAGGAGCAGCGGTTAGAAATAGATAGCAGAAGTGTAGCTGTATTAGAAAATATGGCTAAACTAATGAGGGAACTCTTGCAGCGAGACCAAGATAGAAGTCATGAGGTTAGCCAGGGATTGCTGGCTGTAGGGGAGGGATTAAAATTGTTAGCCGAAGCATTAAAAAAATAAAATGTTGAGAAAAACAAGGTCTTTTATTTTTATTGTTTTGTGACAAAATGTTTGTTATAGTAAATATATGTATTTACTCCCTACGAGAACGCCATAACTGATTAACTAGCATATCTCTGCTTGATTGACCCATTGCCAACTCGCTCTGAGAGTGTGTCAATGGCAACTGACGACCCGCTGAGACGCGTGCAGTTGCACGAAAATTTGCTTCTTCCTCCTCATCATGACTATCTAGAGTCGGTGCAGGTAAACCAGCTCTATTGCAAATGTTGTGCAGGACACAACATGCTATCACTATTTTTCCGGCTGTATCAGGATGGTAATG